CCATAACGAGATCGAGTCCGACTACGATACGGACCGCGACGCCATCCCACCTTACAAGGTACGAAGACATCCAAACATGGATGTCATCTACGAGAAACTGACGTTCACCCTCGACAACGCCACTCACCGATGGACACGCAAACTCGCGACGCCGTACGAATCGCGCTTGTCAAGGCCTTTCGCGCCGCCCGTGCGCGCGGTCGCCACGACGGTATGCGCGAGGCCCGCAAGCGAGAATGGATGACGCACCCGGACAGTGACTTCGTGCAAGTTGCGAAGCGCGGCAAGTACAAGAAACACCTCGGGCACTTTCGTGGCAACCCGATGTTGCATAAAAGGGAGCGCGAGCAGCTGTGTGAGCTACACGCGTATTTCTCTCGCTACCGCACTGCGATCCGCAACGCAATGGACTCGACGACACCGACACTATCCTCGCCCTCATCGACACCTCGCTCAAATACACGCGGCGGGCGAATACGCATCCTGCTGCACTCGCAATGCATGCAGAACGTGTTCGGCGCGCCCGGCGAGTACTCCGCCTACTCCATTCATAACTAGGCTGGAGCTCGACGTCGCGCTCACCCTGCTGTACGTCAACTTCCTTGTATTAATCTGGTCACGGTAACTTACGATTCTGGACAGAGATCTCGTGCTCGGACGTACGGCGATCTACTACGACTGACAATATACATTCAAAAGGCCAACTTCGTTTCTTCGCCTCAGTACGATTTGTCTTGTGCTTCGACTTATGATTGGTGTTACGAACTGACTTCTCCTTCGATTCTGATGTATCTTTTTATGACCTTTCAGTGCTTAGACGCGAGCGCGAGCGTTCGCGGCACACCCCAAAACGTGTGCCGGAATGCTCGTGCCTCGCAATTATGCTTGTCTCTTATGGTTCGACTTGTATGTAACTTCTGCTTTGAATTGTGTGTATGCCTCGGTTTTGACTCGCGCCTCGGTTCCGACTCTTACGAACTATATGCGGTGTACGATATTAGGCTTGCATTCTCGACTCAGTCGTAGTGTACAAGTCTGCGATGTAAATTCCTCGAAAAGCCCCGAATATATTGGCCGTATTCGGTACTCCGCATGTGCGCAGCGACTCGACTCGACCAATATAGGTGCACAAGAACTAGCTATGGAACGAGAGCTCAGTGGTCCACCACCTACCAGAATCCCGCAACCTCTGCAGACCTCGCACACGTCAAACTTGGCCATCTCCCGAGTGCCTTCGCACGTCGCCGCCTCTCTCGACATGTCAACCCGACAACTCGCCGCTTCACCCAACCAGGCAACTCCTCGACGCGCCTAGAAACAAGTAAGTTGCTCGCATGTGCCAGCTCGGCTAAGCAGGGCGTACCAAGCTCTGTGCAATGCCCACCGTACAGTGCAACTTCCGCCCAACGCACACGCCCACCAGTCTCAGCTTCCGAATCGACTACGACACCCGGACATGCGACCGCGAGTCAGTATGAACGTGAGAACGTAAGCATGGAACTCACAGACGGATGGCCAGCGTACGTTGGGTTGATAACGGTCGACCACGAGCAGTGGGAGGAACAAGAGAGTCGCACCAACGACCACGACACGTTCGTCAGCTCGCTAGACTTAGACGCCGACGAAGAGCTACTTGCCTTTACGGTAACGAAGTCTTGGGAGCTTACAAACGCGTCGACCGACGAGTGAAGCCTGTACCGGGAGTATTCCCAGAGGATGCACGAGTCGAACGACGCATCCCGGAAGATCCGCTTGCCTCGTAGAGCCATTACCCATCCATCGCCCGACTTCACGCCAGGAACTCGCCTTACGGTTAGCCATTTGGAAGAAATGAATATCAATCCAAAGGGCTTTCTGTGGCCAGAAGAGGAGAAGCTCTTCCAGCACATCCTCAAGCTTAACGAGAAAGCCTTAGCTTTCGAAGAAGCTCAGCGGGGAACATTCCGAGAAGACTACTTCACTCCATACATAATTCCAGTGGTTCCGCATGAACCATGGGAATTTGCCAATATCCCGATCCCGCCTGGGATCAAAGAGAAAGTCATAGCCCTGCTAAAGGAGAAGATTAATGCAGGAGTCTATGAACCTAGCCAATCATCCTATCGTTCGAGATGGTTCTGTGTGGTTAAGAAGAATGGCAAACTTCGTATTGTCCATGACCTTCAACCTTTGAACAAGGTATCAATTCGTGACGCTGGTCTACCACCAAAAGTAGATGACTTTGTTGAAGATTTTGCTGGGCGGAAGTGCTACTCAGTGTTTGATCTATTTTGGGGATTGATGCTCGAAAGGTTCATCCCATGAGTAAGACATGACATCGTTTCAGACACCGTTAGGTCTTCTTCGCATCACGTCGCTACCAATGGGATTCACCAACTCACCTGCTGAGTTCCAGAAGTGTATGGCATTCATCTTGCAGGATGAGATCCCAAACATAGCCAACATCTTCATAGATGATCTACCTGTTCGAGGACCCGCAACAGACTATCCGGATGAGAATGGCAACCCAGAAGTATTGAAAGCCAATCCAGGCATTCGGCGCTTCATATGGGAACACGCAAATGATGTCCATCGCGTCATGCATCGTGTAGGACATGCAGGTGCAACCTTTGCACCTAACAAAGCTCAAATCTGTCGTCCCGAAGTTGTGATTGTAGGACAGACATGTACACCTGAGGGCAGATTACCAAGTCAAACAAGGTTGATAAGATTCTTAACTGGCCAGTTCTACAGAGTGTTCATGACATTCGGGCTTTCTTGGGCCTATGTGGAACAGTCCGGATATGGATTCACAACTACTCTAAGGTAGCCCGTCCACTGACACAGCTGTTGCATAAGGAGACAGATTTTGAGTGGACAGATAGCTGTCAGGTAGCCTTTGATGCTCTGAAAAGTGCAGTAACATCAGCACCAGCTCTACGACCTATTGACTATAGCTCAGACAATCCTGTTGTACTATCCGTTGACTCTAGCAAGTATGCAGTTGGCTTCATCCTATCACAATATGATGAAGCCGGACGCAAGAGACCTGCTCGATATGGTCAATCCCAATGTCAGAGCGAGAGTCACGCTATTCTCAGCCAAAGCTGGAGCTGTATGGACTGTATCGTGCCTACGAGCCTACCGCTTATACCTCACTGGAGTGCAAAACCTAGAGGTGGAAGTGGATGCAAAGTATATCAAAGGCATGCTCAATGAGCCAGACCTACAGCCTAATGCAACCATCAATCGATGGATACAAGGAGTATTGCTCTTACCTTCAAGCTCATCCATGTACCTGCAGAGCGACACAAAGGTCCAGATGCTTTATCTAGACGTCCACTAGCGGATGGAGAGGATACTGAAGAAGAGGACGACTCATGGCTAGACGATATTGCCTTAAACATAGAGATTCAGGAGCACCATCGCCAGCTAAAGTACGAATGCATCCCATCCTATGCTACACTATTGAGTCAGAGCCATGGCCATGTGTTCATCTCTGCCAACACCAAGGCAGACAGGCTTCTATTTCAGTATAGGAAGTTCCTCACATCCACCGAACTACCTCTCTTAGACACACAGCAAGCCAAACGACGCTTTATCCAGAGTGCAAGTCGTTTCTTCATAAGGAATGAAAAGATGTACCGACGTAATGGTACCCAGCCTCCACGTCTAGTGATCATGAAGGCTGAGAAGAGGTTGGAAATTATGACCCAAGCCCATGAAGGACTTGGCCACCGAGGAGAGCAAGCTGTGATGCATACTGTCAAGGAAAGGTTCTACTGGCCAAGCATGTGGAATGACATTCATCATCATGTAAGCTCATGCAAGCAATGCCAGATCCGCAGTGTTCGCAAAGTCGAGGTACCACTGGTGATTTCCACCCCTGCCACTATATTTGTTAAGGTCTATCTAGACATCATGGAGATGCCTAGAGCGAAAGGATTCAAGTATATCATTGCTGCTCGGGATGATTTATCAAGAGCTAGTGAAGGTAAATCCTTGAAGAATAAGAAGGCAAAATCAGTCGCAGCCTTCTTCTTTGAACAGATCTTGTGCCGGTATGGCGCTGTTGGTGAAGTGGTAACTGATAATGGCTCTGAGTTCAAAGAGGCCTTTCAGAAATTGATGAAGCGATACAAGTTGCCACAAATCAAGATATCCAGCTACAACTCTAAAGCTAATGGAGTTGTAGAACGAGGGCACTTCATTATTCGAGAGTCAATCCTCAAGACTTGTGAAGGCAATGCAGACAAATGGCCCGACTATGTTCACCATGCGTTCTTCACTGATCGCGTAACTGTTAGTCAATCTACTGGATTCTCTCCCTACTATCTGTTGTATGGAGTACACCCAGTCCTCCCTTTTGATCTGGCCGAAATGACTCTGTTAGTAGATGGATTCCATGCGGGGATGTCTACCAGTGATCTGTTAGCATTACGAATCAAGCAGTTGATGAAGAAGCCAGATGATGTTGCACGTGCGGCACAACTGCTGAAACATACACGCTTGCGTTCTAAGGAAGTCTTTGAGCGACGCTATCAGAGGAGACTGAACAGAAAGGTGTATGAGCCTGGTGACTTGGTCTTGGTGCGTAATAAGGCAGTCGAACAGAGTGCCGACCGAAAGCATCACCCAAGATACCTAGGGCCTTTTAGTGTCGTCCGCCAGACAAAAGGAGGTTCATATGTTCTATCCGAACTTGATGGTGCAGTGTGGAGACAGGGAATTGCAGCATTCCGACTTCTCCCATTTGTGTCAAGAGAACAGATTGAAGAATTGAACTGGGCCGATGATGATGAAGACCTGGATATGGATGAAGATGAGGAAATTGAGGATGATGAGGAGTATGATGAACAAGAGCATAGTGAAGAGGAGATGGAAGATGAAGATGAAGAGTAGGACTTTTTTTTTTTTTATGGCCAGGAATGCAGAGTGCAACTGGGGACAGTTGCATTTTCTTTGTGCCGTCCAGATGTCCTGAGCCAATATTGTTTGGCTCAAGGAACATGGTATATACCTCTATTTCCTTTCTATTGATATGACCTGTTACCAGACTACTCATTCACAGCACAGCCCCCCTGCAGTGCATAGCCATAGTCATGTGAGACTAGTCTAGAAGGTCACGTAGGCTTTGAGATTGCAGTGTGACTGGTTGCATAGTCATGAGTACAGCATGAGCATAGCCACGCACAGCCTACGCACAGCCCCCGGACTGGCTAGGGCCTGCTGGGCAATCCACATGTTGTCTCAGAGTACAGCCTCCAGATGTATTTCAAATAGGATACAAGGCAGTGCTAGATACTGACTTGTGATTGGCTGACCCATGTCATATGGCAGTACAAGCTGTACCACATGAGTCGCTTTGAAGTACATAGCTGTGTTCATGACTAAGGATGAGTAAGGACTGACTAAGTAGTGTAATCTGTATGAGTAAAGCTGTTCCCCACATGTATATAAGGCCCCCAGTTTTCCATGGATGAGGCAGTCAAGTTCTCCCAGATTCTCAGTGTAGATCTTGTGAGCTGCTGCTCTGCAAGTTAGTAACATAAGCTAACAAGCGGCATCCTAGTGTGCAATATACTACAGTTCAGCTTAACAGTCTATTGTGTGACTTCAAGCCCCTGTTAGTGCCTCTAGTGATTCTTGATCGGTAAGCTGTTTACCTTAATCAGCAACTCTTGTAGTCACGTCTCAGTCACGCACGTCACTCGTATCCACGTATTCCAGTCCAGTGGGTAGGCTAGTGGTTAGTCTATCCATTCAGCACGTCACGTCACTTCAACGAGATCAGCCAAGTTATAGTGTGTAAAGGCAATTCAATTGCTGTGGTAAGTAAAAACAACTGTACTTGCTAACAAACTTTACAGTACTACCAACACTCAACCAACCCCCTCTACAACGAACAACTGTGATAGCCCGGTATTGCTCATACCCGGTGAACCGCAGCAGAAACACATTCTGACCTGACAACGCGCTCGCAGTCGGCGTGTGTTGCGCACGCCCTCGCCCTGCCCTCCGTCACCATCTCACGTCTCTCGCTCACGCGCGCACGGTTCGTCCATCGGCTGTGCTTGCGTGCCGTGCGTCGTCGCGCAACCGCGCACGATCCACTCGCCGGCCGTGCTTGCGTGCTGGGCATTCGCCCTGTGCGTTCACGGTCGCCGTGGGTGTCGTGCTGCACGACAACGGGCCCTGGTGTCGGTCCACCCGTTACACCCTGTGCCCATCTGCCCGCGCGCTCGTCCATTCACTCACCCGTGCACTCGCCCGCTCGTCTACCCGCTCGTCCGCTTCGCAATCGACGTGAGTGCGGTCGCCGGTCGCCTGTCCGCTCTCCCGCCTGGCTGTCTGCAACCCCTGCCCGTTCTCCGGCCGTGCGTGTGTGCCCAACGCCCTCGCGGTCTATGTGTGCTGTCGCCCGTCCTCGTGTTCGTCTGCCGTGCCTACACGCAGGGCATTGGCCCTGCGTGCTCGCGGTCGTCGTGCGCGTCATGCGGCACGTCACCGCGTCCTGTACTTCCTGTTAGCAAGCCCACTCGCGCCTGCCTGGACTCACCTGGCCTTTGCTGTCACCCTCGCCGTTACCCTAGCCCTCGCCCTCGCCCTCGCCCGTCCACTCCTCGTGTACACCTGCCGTCCGTTTGTCGTCCACGCGGCACGTCTGCATCCGTTCGTGGCAGCGGCCAGGCCCATGGTGTTCATCGGCTTCGTCTGCGCGAGGGCCTATGCCATGGGAGCTCGCCGTGCGCGCGTACACCATGTTGCGGCGCTTGAGGCCGTGCGCGAGTCGACCTGGTGGATGGAGAGAGACAGGCCGGGGGAACCGGGGCATCCCCGCGAGTTTGGGCGCTCGCAGGGTTGCCGCTTTTGGCAATACCCGCACGACTGCAGGGCGGGTATGCGGGTACGGAAATCGCTACCCGGACCCCTACCCGCGAGTACCCCTACCCGCGACCCTCGCGGGTTACCCGAACCCCTGCAATGCACTACATTGCACGGCCAATCCGGAAGCCCACGAATAATTCTATAGAAGGGAGTCTGTAAAATTCCTCTCAGCATATCATCCTCATGATCCTCATCATCGACGAGACGTAAGTATGGCCCGGGATGCTTCAGTAGAATCTCCGATGAGAGCCATAGCATGAGCCTGTGGTTCTCATTATATCGAGGAGAACAGGTGATGCAACACAAAAAAAAGGCGTATGAAATTTATGAAGAGACATCATACATGAAAGAGAATAAGGGGAAAACGCCTGGCGCAGCGGCCCTAGCAGGCGCGATGTTCATCCCGATTAGGCAAGTACCGCATCGGCGCTGGACGGGCGCCAATCACACTAAATTCTAAGTCGGGAAAGTAAGACTTGCCAGTAAGTATTGTTCCACGAAAACGTCACTCATAGAAACTACTAAGCCTTGTACCTCCGTCGACTTAGATCGATACTTACTGGCACTACTTACTCATGCATTCTATGCAGCACTACGACCGACGTTCAACAGGTCCTTCTACTCACCATCATTAAATGATCTCGCTAACCTACAGAGTAGAATATGAGATCAAGACTGCCTCATATACGACCTGATCGCAGATGAACGGCGCAAGATCTTGGGATCGCATCTGTGATCGCAAGTCAGTGCCACAGCCACGCATGGGGCTGCTCAATTCTAAAAAGCGATTTGGATCGCTATTTGGATCGCAATCCGTCAGCGCTTGGCGCACGCAAGCGAGGCGGTGTCCGAGCTCGCCGGGCTTCGCAGAGCCCGAACCTCGCACCGACGCAGCGGGTCGGCCCCAGGGGCCCGCAGGCGCTACGTGGCGAACGTTTCCCACGCTCAACGCGCGAGGCGTGCGCGCTGCGCGTCGACGGCGTCGCGCCGTGCTCGCCGCCCGCTCACCTTCGTGCCTGTGCGAAAGTATGCCATCGCGTTCAGGACTACGCATGACCTTCGGGTCCCGACAAGCTGCACAAGAGTTCCTGATGCAAGCTGCACTCTTATACCTCATCCTCGCACTGTACTTCCCATCCCTCTCGATCCGTGGATATCGCTTCGGAATGCCGCTGCCAGCCAACATGCAGGTGATATCAAATGCTCTCCTTGCACAGGCAGCCGGTATCCTCGGGCTTGCTGTTCTCCTTGATCCTGGACCACGGGGACCGTACAATCAGTTTCTTAAGTGCCCACAGTTCTTTACGATGGCCTTGTCATATCCTGATCGTTGGTTTCGCCACACATTCCGGTACGTCTTTCATAGTTCTACCTTAGTCTTTATGTCATGCCTTCCCTAGTATGGGCCGCACAACCTTTGAGTGGCTGGTCGCGCGGCTTGAGCCACTTGACATCTTTCAGTCGAGTGGGCGTAAGCCACAGCGACCTGTACGACACCAGCTCGGATGCTTTCTTATGCGGTTTGGGTCACGTGGATGCGATGCCCTTGATGCTGCACAGAAGATGGGTAGAGGCTTTGGCACTGTCCATCTCTATTGCAGCCGGGTTATTTGGGCATTGCGTCACCTCGGTTTAGACTGGGTACGCTGGTCGGATCGATCCACCACGAAGGCTTGGGTGTATGCCAGAACACACCTTGCACGATGTATTGGGATGCTAGATGGGACTCTCATCCAAATGACGGAGCCACCACGAGGCTCGGGATCTACTTACTTCTGCAGAAAGAAATTTCCTGCGGTATGTTCTTCAAGTTGTTGTTTATGGCTTTGGTGCTAAATTTGATGCATTTCACTAGATCAATGTTCAGGCCATTGTTGATCACCTTCGCCGGTTCCTCAATGTTGACCTCGGATGGCCAGGGAACGTGACTGATGTATCACTCTGGACAAAGTCATTCATTTGGGAGCACCGTCATGAGTTCTTTGGTCCAGGAGAGTATGTGCTTGCTGACAAAGGTGAGTTGGGTTTGAGCTCTCATGCATGACATACTGAAATGGTCTACAGGATATCCCTCTTCACCATTTGTTCTACGACCTTTCACCGAGCCAGAGATTGCCCGAGCGACACCCGAGCGACACCGACGTATGCGCATGTTCAACCGCCTTGTCTCGTCCATTCGGGTACGTGTTGAGCAGGCATTTGGGATGTTGAAGGGCCGCTTCCCAGGGCTTAAGCTGTTTGGCACTCCTGTGGATGTTGAGGATGTGTACCGGACAGTGGAGGCATTGATGACAGATGTCGGTGCACAACTTCTGCATTGATGAGGGTGACCATCCAGAGGACATTCCATGGTATGACTGGAGTGATCCTGATGTACAGGATGCAGTGGCAATGGCAAGGGAGGACCTTGGGGATGATGGAGGATTGGATGCTGAGGGTCAAGACGAAGTGGCACGATACCGCCAATTGGGACAGGAGATGCGCGAAGAGTTCTTTGAGGCCTTGTTTCCACCACAATAGAGGTAGCAATGCCAGATTTATTCCAGATAATAAGATCCATAGGTACCAGGTACACCTGCAGTAATATACTCAAGGTGTCCCTGTGTACGGGTACAGTGTGCAGTCTTCGCCACATTACAACTATTGCTCACCCGCCGTCCAGTGGCTGGCTCGGTCACGTGACATCCTTACCAAAAGAGGGAGACCCGCAGGCGCCCAACCGTGCCGCACGCGAGGTTCCCTCTCAATGCTCCTCCTCCTCTCTCTTGCTGCCGTGCCACCACCTGCTCAACCCCATTCCGCGCCAGCGCTCGAGCGATGGCACGCGCGGGCAATACTGCGCGTGCAACAACGCCGGCAAGAATACGTACACCACGACTCGGGGCGCGGCGGACGGATGATCGGCGGGCGCGCGCGCGAAGGAACGACGGAATGGGCGGCGCGTATGAGCGAGGGAAAGACAGCCGGCGGTGAGGGCAGGTGAGGAACGGGCGAGGGAGGGATGGGTCGGCCACATTACACGCCCACCGCGAGCGCACTGGGCGAATGCCTGGTGCGCAGACACGGCCGGCGAGTGCGGGCGAGAGACTCCGGGCGAACGAGGGACGGACGGGCCACAGCACATGTCAACCGCGACGGCCGACGAGCGCACAGGCCAGGCAGGCGAGGAAGGGACGGTCGAGGTGAGTCAAGAACGCGCCGTGGAACACCGACGCGAACGAGCGGGCCACAGCACACGCCCACCGCGAGCGCACTGGGTGAATGCCTAGTGCGCAGACACGGCCGGCGAGTGCGGGCGAGAGACTCCGGGCGAAGGAGAGACGGGCGGGCCACAGCGCACGCCAACCGCGAGCGCGCTGGGCGATTGCCCAGTGCGCAGACGCGGGCGACGAGCGAACGGTCGGCAACCGGGCGGGCGAGGGACGGGCGAGGGACTCAGAGGGACAGGCGAAGGAGAGATGGGTGGGTCACAGCGCACGCCAGTCGCGAGCGCGCTGGGCAAATGCCCAGTGCGCAGACACGACCGACGAGCGTACACGCAGATGGGAGCCGGCCGGGCGAGGGAGGGACGAGCTAGGGAGAGACGGGCTAGGGAGGGACGGGTGAGGTGCGTGGACGGCGCGCAGTGGAACGTGGTGACCGACGCACAACACGGCGCCCGCGAGCACGCAGGGCCATTGCCCTGCGCGCAGGCACGGCCGTCGAACGGTGGGCGCGCGAGGTATGGGCGTGCGAGGTGCGGGCGAGGTACGGGCGCGCGAGATACGGGCAAGGCAGGGACGGGCGATGCACCATAGCACATGCCCACCGCGAGCGCGCTGGGCTAATGCCCAGTGCGCAGATGCGGTCGACGAATGAGCAGTCGAACGGTCGGCGGCCGGGCGGGGCGACAGATGGATGGGCGACGGACGGACGAGGTGCGTGAACCGCGCCGTGTAGCGGGTGCAGGACTGCAAGGGGGCGACAGAGTGCAAATGGGCGACAGGCTGCAAATGGGTGACAGGGTGCGAATGGGCAAGGGGGTGCGGACGGGCAACAGGGCGTGGACGGGGTGCCGCGCAAGGTTCAAATCCCATTAGAAACAAGTATATAGCTATGTAAAGGAACGTGGATAGTAGGGAATGGTATTGTGATGTGTTGATCGAGAATGCAACGGAACTAGAGAGTACCGCGAGAGAACTTTAGGAGTGCATTGGAGAGATTTGTCAACGACTCCCTTGCCTGTGCCTTCACCCCCTCGTCGATACCCTCCATGCCCAATATCATCTGGGCTGCATTGAGGCCCTCTTTGATATCGGACAATGATGACCCCTCTGTCTGCTTCTGAATCAGCCCAGAGATGGTTGTGAACGTATCCATGAGTGAAGAGGCGGCGTTCGACGATGACTTGTTCGGGACATGTGCCGGCTCAGGCACACCACCTTGTTTCGAGGATGAAGGCAATGGCTGAGCCCGTGCAGGTGGGGTAGGTGGATCACCATCCTTGCGTGCAGCATGGACAGCCGGAGGAGGGGGCGAGAGACGACCTGTTTGAAACGGAGTCTTGCGCACGACAGACGGGTGTTTGCCATATCTGTATAGGCAGTGAGCATTGACCGAGATGTACAGCAGAAGCACATACCGCGTGTTAAACCAGTCATACCAGCCATGCTCCATCCACGCTTGGATGACCTTGACCGACAACTTGTCCGCCGCAGCCTTCTTGTTCTCTCGTAACCTCCCGAGGTGTTCCTCGATGGCCTGGTCATCAGCAACATCCAGATCGGCATCCCCCTCGCCACCAGTGATGCTCATGTAGTCATGAACATAGCCAAACAACGTACGGAGGCCGGTGAAGTGATTCTGGCACGATGAAGGTGAGCGTACCCCGTTCAAGGCAGATTTTGCAATCTATCCAAGAAATGAGTAGAGAACAGCACACAATAAAGCCCCATACCTTCTCCCATATCTTAGCCGCATTGCTCTGAACCTTCGAGTACACTGAGTCCGCGTCGGGACCGAGGCAGTACTCGAGGAGAGTAGATGTCTCCTCAGGAACCCACGTCTTCCCTTTGCGATCCACACCGGCAGTGAGCACGGACTCGACCCTCGCCCGCTTACCCGCAGGCTTCCTTTGAGCCATGTTCTCCTTGCCCGCCTCGTTGACTTCGACATCACCTCTATGCTCCGAAGCAATTGATGCATCGGACTGCGAGCGCTTCTTCTGAAGGGCTGGTGGGACCTGAGCAGCCGGTGCCAACTCGTTTGCACCTGGCAGAGGCTGCACCTACAAGAATCAAGTCAATTCGAAGTGCATGGATGGAATGTTACAGTGAACGCACCAATTCCGGTCGATCTGCAGCTGGCCACCAAGGCTCTTGCAGATCCTGATTGGCGTCAGGATCTGCAAAAAGCTCTGCTTCATCAACCTCATCCCAATAGCGGTGCCATGCACCATCCGGCAGGACAGGTGGGGTCGCAGGTCGTGGCTCGACAGGGGGAGCCTCGAAGCCACCATGCATCTAGTATGAATCTTTCTGAGTAAGAGGCTACTTGAGAGCAAGGAAATGTCACTTACGACTTGCTCTATATCATACAGAGCTCCCTCGCCAACAAAGTTAGGGGCATTACCCATGTTTTGTGCACCTCCCTCAACATCGCGAGCAGCTAGCCTGACGAGAATGATGTTTGAAGTCCAGTCAATCGAAGACGAAATCCCCACTCACTCATTTAGGAAATCATCCACACCATTCTCGCGCATCAAGGTCTCAACATCTATGTTGTCCATTCCGTGTCGCTCGTGAAGGGGCGAGCGAGGCGTCCTTGCACGGCGCGACGCCGTCGACGCGCAGCGCGCACGCCTCGCGCGTTGAGCGTGGGAAACGTTCGCCACGTAGCGCCCGCGGGCCCCTGGGGCCGACCCGCTGCGTCGGTGCGAGGTTCGGGCTCTGCGAAGCCCGGCGAGCTCGGACGCCGCCTCGCTTGCGTGCGCCAAGCGCTGACGGATTGCGATCCAAATAGCGATCCAAATCGCTTTTTAGAATTGAGCAGCCCCCATACCAGCGTACGTATACAAGGAGAGGCGTGCTTATCGTACCCCTAGCTCATCTTCTCCTTCGAGTTCACCGAGTAGGTTGCCGGCAAGTAAGTGTTCCGACGGTGGCAGTTTGAATGTTGCGCTCATCCCTTGCACCCCTCCAGCCTCGCTCTCTTTTGAAACGACTCACGTTCCTCCTTCGTAATGAACCCAGTGCATACAAGACATCATGCGCTACTCTACACTGGCCTCTACTGTTCTTTTGGCGGTGGCCACAGCTCCCGCGCTTGCTCACCCGATCACCAAGTGAGCCCCTCGCTATTAAATTTGATCTCATGGCTGAGCATGTAGTAACAGTCGCGCGACCGAGGATGCCTCCATGGTTGAGCGTGAGCTCCAAGACGCCCTGATGGAGCGCGGCTACTACTACGACCTCCTCCCTCGGCACTTCGGGGCGCACCACATGCCTAGATCGGAAAGGGCTGTGGACCGCGCCGCGAGGGAGGCGCAGGCACGGGTACGCGAGAAGGGGGCGACGATCCTTATAGCGACCGCGGAACATCACCAGAAAAAGATTGAGCAAAGTCATCAGCCTCAACAAACGCCTCAACAAAACAGCGGCTCGAGACAGGGAGCGGGAGCCCAACACCATCCCCGGGAGTATGACCTCGACGGCGAGCCGTTCGGGCGCGGCTTCGAGGTAGATGAGCTTGACTGAGCGGACTAGCATGATCGTGGGGCCGTTACGATGTATCTCCGCCTGTCGTACACATCGTGTACATTGTTGCGCATCACTTGCAGTGTCAATCGTAACCTGAACACTCACTTATGCGTGCTTGGCGACTAGATCATCAGCAAAGTGTTGCTCATGCTGACATCATACAGGCCAAACATTTAGAGTAGCGGATGTTCAGCATGACGGGGAAAGTCTACATGGATCCCGACGGCGCTGAACCTCAGGGTGGGTGGGTGCTGCCCGTACCAATTGTCGGGCACATTGCTGTCGAGGCCGGCTTGCGGGGACAACGAGCGTAGAGTGTATTTGAGGACGTTGCTGCCGCGAAGATCGATCTTGAGCTTGAGGACTCAGGGAGTTGAAGGAATGCGCGGCCGAGGTCGTGAAGTTAGTGTGGGGTCTGTGAAGGGTGAGCTTCGGGCGCGAGGGGTGGAGAGGTTGGCTCGTGTACGGATCACCGAGTGGTCTCTGCGGTTCAAGCCATCGCCCAGACTACAGTTCGTAGTCGATGGCCGCGCGACGTGAAGAATGTCAGTGAGCACGGCACGGATGAGACACTCGGGAGGTGGTCGGTAGTTAGTCGGTCGTTTCAGCGGAAGGCGGCCCTCGAGACATTGACGGCGAACGGCTGTTGCTGCCAGCGTCTTCGGGGGTAAGCTGGCGACGGACGTTTCTTCGGTTGGATGTTGACACCGAAAGGTTTTGCAGATGCGTACAAATCCGGGAGCTGAGGAAAGATCCGACTGGGTGCGTGGCTCTGGTGTACATGAACGTGTCCGGTCTATACTGGCAACGGCTGCCAGTCAGTCCCAGCAGAGTCTGAGGGGCCTTAAAAAAGAAAACGTACCGCTTTTGCGGCATCGCGCAGACGGCGTCCTAGTTCCGAGTCGTAAGTCGGCTGATTCGGCAGTCTGCGAGTGGGTAGCGGTACGGACGCTGGGGGAGATGGGTGGACAATGCAGGCGCAGGAAGAACAAGGCGGTCGTCTCATAGCCTCCCGCGCACGTGCCCTGAGTAGCAGAGCCGGTTGACGTGTCATCGCCCTGGAAGTTGTACGGGAACTTCAACAGCGCGTCGTCCTCCGTCTCGACGAACGTCCGCGTGATCTTCTGCTGGAGTACCGTGCTCCCCCAGTCGTCCTCGGACCACGGCTGCTCGATCTCCTCTTGGTGCGCGTGCGTGACCAGGAGCGAGTTCTTCTCGCCCGCGACGTCCACTGGTCGATCTTGTAGTTGATCACAGGGTAGTGCAGCGAGCCCACTGTCAAGGTGAGATGCGGATGTCAGTCGGATGGCACGATGGATGCGTCGAGAAACGCACTGGTCGCGTCCCGGATGGCGGTACCTTCACCCTCTGGACTAGGCTCCCAGAAGCCACCTTGCAGGTAGCCCGAGGCAGACAAGCGCACCTCGATCGTCCCGTCGCTGTGGAAGATGTAGTCGAACACTGCATGACATGTCAGCTGCAGTGCAAAATACATTCCACAGGCACGACGTACGGTAGTCGTAGTTGCCCACAGTCGAGATCGAGCGCACGACGAGGTTGTACCCACGCACAGCGCCGAACTCCGCCTCCGAGTAGCCCATATGGCGCGTGATCGGGCGCGCCGAGTCGTGCTCGAAGATGCAAATAGCTCTGAAGCTCACGAGTCAGATGGACTGAATGAGGTTCAGCAAACAACACGCCTCTCGCGTGTGATGGAGCCCACGAAGCTGGTAGTCGTCGCGGGGAGGAACACTGCCTCATGCGGACAGCCATACCCAGGGAGCATGTCGCGCACGGAGCAGCCCTACGCATCGCTTAGCCCTCCGCCGCACGCATCAGAGTGCGACGCAGACTCACCATACCGAAGAACCTGTCCAGCCAAGCCGTAATGCTCTGCATCGGGTCGTTGCCTGCATACTGAGCGATAGCCTCCCGGGGCGCGAGCTGTAATCATTTCCATTCTCAGCATACACTCCCGCCCTCCAGCGAACCAACGGAAGGCGCACCTCGTAGATGACGCGCTCGCCGCGGAACTTGACGTCCCACAGGCTGAGGTCCATGTCGCGGTCGAAGCCGAGGTATATCCCCAGACGGTCACCGATCGGACCCATCTAGCTCACGTACTGCGTCTTGCTGTCGGCCCGTTTAGCACAATATGCGCGGATCCAGCGCCACGCACACGCACCTGTCCACCTGGAGGCGCGGCCCAGCAAACGACACCGACCGCGGCCCGAAGAGATGATCCAGGTCGCGCGGGTGCTGTCGGGCCGCTTGGACGTCGTCCAGTCGACGTCGTGGCTGTCCGGGCGCGGGGGGAGGCGCTTCAGCGTCCCGTTCTGGAACACGCCCATGAAGTTGTCTACAGACCGTGACTCGAACACCTGGTGGTTGTATACGATCTGCACAGCGCATCAGCTAGCGCGCTTCGAACGCTGCGTTCTTCGATATGATTCACCTTGGGAACTCCCATTCCTTGGGGTCCGTGCCTGTCATGTCGATGTAGAGGAAGACACCAACGGGGTGGAGGTATGGCCCGGGGACGTTTGGCCGCCAGTTGATCCAGCCCCGCCGGAACAAGCCGTCGAAGCTCAGCGGGCCCGTCGCGCCTCCGGCGAAGGTGTCGTTCGCGAGGCCGAGCGCGAGGCCGCCGAGCAGTTCCTGCACACGCCCGTCAAACGCGAAGAACATAGAACAGCAAGCACGCTCACCTGAGTCGCCTCGCAATCTTGGGCATCACATCGATCAGGATCGGCTGGACCTCCGCAAGGGTCGTGTACCTGCGCGCGTTGTACGGCACCTCTGGCCGGTGGTGAACCTCCGTCAAAGTGCGCATGCTTGTCTTGCTACTCACCGGCAGCGGGCTCACCAGGTAATCCTGCACCTTCGTGCGTAGCGGTCGGGAGGCGTGATGCCCCGCGGGTCCGCGAGATATTGGAGCGCGTCGGCTTTGGCGGGGCGCCGTGCGCCGATGTGATCAATGTAGTTGTCGGAGATGTGCGCCGATGTCCCGGGGGTGAGGTTGAGCGCGCGTTCATGCGCGCCGGGCCAGTGGGCAATCGCGGTCGTCTCCGGAACGGTGAGGGAGGCCCAGAGGTTGACGGGTGCAGGGGCGAGGCGGTCAATTCCGCTTGCTAATGATTTCAGTGACAGACGAGTTGGATCCAAGACTTACTTGGGGATCTCGTACAATTAACGACTGTGACGCTGGGCTGTGGCTGTCCCATGATTGAGGCGCAGAGCCCCACGGTTGCCGATATGGGCTGGGCTGATCTGCACACCAGCTATGTATCTGTCTAAGTCAGTTTGAAGCCGAACTATCGCTTCACTATGGACTCACCAGTCACCGGTTATGCATCGCTCGGGCTATCCGAGGATGACACGGAACGCATCATGCGGCCGAATGCAGAAGTTAGCCACGACGAGACCTATGAGCAAGGAGCCACGGTGGGATGAACCAGTGAAAAGCGTCCGGATGTCGCTTCTGGGTCCCGTCCAAGTCGCGTGATAGCGCTGGATACCCCGAGTTCAGAAGGGCGCATCAACGCTGTCGACGAGGGTGAAGAGGGAGTCTCTCTTCAATGAGATCAGGCTCCGATATTCGGGCTTCTTACTGGGTTTAAATTACAGGCCGTCAACAGACGTATGTTTTCGCTTTCAGGGTAGGTGTCGTTTTAGGGTGCGACTTCGAGGCGGATCTGACGAGCGTAGCTGACGTCTGCTATCTCGCGCAAACTTAGCGGTTTCCAGTCCCTATGTGCGTTGGGGTGGAGCGATAACAATTAACATATTGCCATACTTCAAGTTCATCTCGGCGCTGAGCAAAGCATGACGCGACGCACCGCTTGCACGTTCTCACACACGCGTCGGATGTCCACAACAGCCTTGCCCTGTGCGCAGCGGGGCTTCTGTATCTGCGCTTTCACGTCCACTGTGACTCTCGCATCCAGGTCCATCGCGTCGACGGTCGACACAGGCTCAGGACCAGCCGAGGACGAGGATGTTACATTAGACATTGGCGGGACTGTAGCGTGAATTGGCCTTGAACTACGGCATAAGTTCCTGGTCGCTCAATCCCGAGGCCTGCAGGTTTTATGTATGTGGATGAGTAACGGTTGGATCACGACTCTGCGAGTTGCATACCAGCATTGAACCGCCGGAGCGGTACGAACACATACTTGAATCACCAGCAGGGCGACTCGCTGAGTTCGTTGTTTTCGCACACGCAGATACGAGTAGCGAGAGAATGTATGCTGCGTTGCAAGAGAGGTACATTGCCACTGTGAATGGTAGTGTATGGAACGCGTAACCGCACGACGCGTCTGTGGCTGAATCTCGGCTCTTGCCGAGACGCAAAGGCGTTCACCGGCACCTTGGTGCGAGTCGTTCTGTGAACGCGTCGGCAAGAGCCGGGCTTCAGCCACAGACGCGTCAGAGCGACCTCTGACTCGTCGCGCCACACACTCGCACTACTCTCAGCCGCATTAATGCAGCCGCCGCCTTTCGTAAATTACACAGGAATTGACGGATCAAGAGAAGCGTCGCCCGACAATATCTGCCTGTGAATGCCTTCTGACGATCTCAACGCTTGTCCACTGCTCCCGAACATTCGACACCGTGACCTTGACCCCTTCCCGGACTCGCACTCTCCGCCTTCGCAGGTCTATACTAATAACGGCCTCTCCGTCAGCGTGTCGCTCATAACTTGAGGGGACTGCACGTCGTACCTCGTTGTTGGAGCATGAGGTTAGGGACGAGCTCGCAAGCTGTGTCGCGATAAAACCTGGCCGAGAACGGATAAGGGAAAGGTATATAGACAGGAGGTTTTCGATGTACCTACCTCACGCGATTGCCCTTCGAGCATCGTCCGTGCCCGGGACACTCGCGCCCGTCGACCGTCGTTCCGTTTGTTTGTTCTCACACTCGTGGTGCTCATCTCCCAGCCGCCGCTAAACAAGTCCCGCTCGGCTGGCCATCTTAAGGAGTACCCTGGGCGCGACAACTCAACACGATGGGCTTCTTTCTCGACGAGGGTGAGAGATCAATGATGTTTACGGCGCATCTGCCTGCTGAGTATAGGCACACCGTACGTCCTCTTTGTCCTATTGATTGCTCTCTGGTATTTAGGAGCACAGTACACATACTCATGTTGTGATGCGTCCTCTCCGCAAGTACCAGCCACGCGATTACCGACAGCAATGAGACCAAAACTCGTGTAAGTAGACGTTCGGATTGTACGACACGAATGCTTGCGTCAGAGCGATCGCTCCCTTCTAATTTTTCCTGTTACTGTAACGTTGACTCGGACTAGATGCGCAAGTCCGGCACAGGGCGACGCCTGCCGTACATTCCACACAAAAGCGTTACAGGACAAGAGGCACTGGACACGGGGCCCTGGCCCTTCCAATTCCATTTCGCAGACCAGTTCTCGTACATGACACGGAGACGATGGCGATGCCCGGCTAAGTAACCCTTTGACCTCGCTCCGAAACTACTAAGCCTTGTACCTTGGTCGACTTAGATCGATACTTACTGGCACTACTTACTCATGCATTCTATGGAGCACTACGACCGACGTTCAACAGGTCCGCCTACTCACCATCATTAAATGATCTCGCTAACCTACAGAGTAGAATATGAGATCAAGACTGCCTCATATACGCCTGCGATGGACCTGATCGCAGATGAACGGCGCAAGATCTTGGGATCGCTTCTGTGATCGCAAGTCAGTGCCACAGCCACGCATACCAGCGTACGTATACAAGGAGCATGCCTATCGCACCCCAGTTCATCTTCTCCTTCGAGCTCACCGAGTAGGTTGCCGGCAAGTAAGTGTTCCGACGGTGGCAGTTTGAATGTTGCGCTCACCCTTGCACCCCTCCAGCCTCGCTCTCTTTTGAAACGACTCACGTTCCTCCTTCGTAACGATCCCAGTGCATACAAGACATCATGCGCTACTCTACACTGGCCTCTACTGTTCTTTTGGCGGTGGCCACAGCTCCCGCGCTTGCTCACCCGATCACCAAGTGAGCCCCTCGCTATTGAATTTGATCTCATGGCTGAGCATGTAGTAACAGTCGCGCGACCGAGGATGCCTCCATGGTTGAGCGTGAGCTCCAAGACGCCCTGATGGAGCGCGGCTACTACTACGACCTCCTCTCTCGGGACCTCGAAGCACGTAAAACCGCTGAGGACGCACCGCCGAAGCCGCACGCTGCGAGTGTCCAGAGCCAGAGGGACCAGGAGAACCACCGGCTGCTCAGAGAGGCGCACGCGAATCTGCAGATACCGAGGCCGGGCGGGCCTTGGTCCGGGCCTCCGCCTGGTCCGTCCCATCCGCCTCATCCGCCTCATCCGAACGGTGGCTCAGGGCCACCGGTGGTTCGAGGCAGAACGGCGGCGCCGGGCACGGGGCGCGAGGCCAGCACCATCGCCGGGAGTATGACCTCGACGGCGAGCTGTTCGGGCGCGGCTTCGAGGTAGATGAACTTGACTGAGCGGACGTAGCATGATCGTGGGGCTGATGCGATGCATATTCGCCTGTCGTACGCATCGTGTACATTGCTGCGTGCCATTGTGAATGACAATCGTAACGTGAAGGCCCGCTCATGCGTGCTTGGCAATTTAAGCATCAGCTAGGTGTTGCTCTGAGTGCCGATATACGGTTCGTGTAGCCGACATCGCCGTCTAGCATACTCATTCCCGGGGCACTCAAGCACGCAATAACTGATCCTCTGCGGGTGCAGCTCGAGCCGCGTCGGGGATGTCATGCACTCAGCTGGACACAAGATGCATACATGAAAACATAGTGCCCTAGCCTTTACGCAACGTCCGAAACGGACTCTACACTTATAAGAGGGTCCGTATGCCGCGGCATCATCCATGTAAGTAGCTTTGTGCCCGAGATATACGCCCCGAACGGCGAATATATGTATGCACGCTCAGGATTCAGGTTATCAAGAAATACATATTGCCCACTCACCTGGCATGCCGCTCACGCCTACGTACGCACTTCATGGGATGTCTGCTTTGTTCTCGAAGACACGGAAGGTGTCTGGGCTGGGCCAGTGCGGGACGTTGGAAAACACTGTGTACTCCTGGAAGGGGAGGATGCCGTACACATGATCACCATCTTTGACAGCTGCATTCTCGGAGCGTAGAACACGTCCACCGGTGAAGCCGTTTAGCCTCGTGGAGTGTCAGGACCCAACGTGAGCTACATTACGAGGATGACTCACAGCTGACCTACATAGAATGGCACCTGAAGAAGATTGAGTAACGATTAACGCGCATATACGGACCCTTGCGGACTTACAACACAACCGATGCTTGGGTCGCGCATCCGGCCGCGCATGAAAGGGTCAATGCTGAATACAGCCGTCTTAGCGAGGAAACTGCCGTTGAGGGGGACAGTGTCGAGGTCGATTGTCTGGGAATCATCGTAGTAAACGGTGGTCTTTCCGGGTTCAGCGAAGGTCTTGGACGCGGGGATCTCGTTGAACTGGATGTGAGGGTTTCAGACTGGGGCCATCGCAACGTGAGCGTGATACGGGTGTGGAGTAATAATGACGGGCATTGCCTTGATATATAGGCGAAAGAATCTGGAACGGCGATGACATATGTCATGAATCTGGCTGTTCGAACCTGGAGGTGGTGATGGCGGCCGAAGACGATGCGCATCTCGTAGATGACGCGCTCGCCGCGGTGATGTCCCACGGACTGAAGCCCATGTCGTGGTCGAAGCCGAGGTGCATCCCCCAGCCCATCTAGCTCACGTACTGCGTCTTGCTGTCGACTCGTTCAGCATGATACACGCGCCGCCGCGGACCCTGCGCCGCGCACACGCACCTTTCCACCCGGAAGCGCAGCCCAGCAAACGACACCGACCGCAGCCCGAGGAGATGATCCAGGTCGCGGCGGGCGCTGTCAGGCCGCGTGCACGTCGTCCAGTCGACGTCGCGGCTGTCCGGGCGCGCGGGGAGGCGCGTGAGCGTCCCGTTCCGGAATGCGCCCATGAAGTCGTCTACAGACTCGAACACCTGGTGGTTGTATACGATCAGCCCGCGCGTCAACCGGAATGCTTCAGAGAATGATAGCCCGGGGACGTTCCGCCGCCAGTTAACCCAGCCTCGGTGGAACGAGCCATCGAAGCCCTGCGGGCCTGTCGCGCCTGCACACGCTTCCGTCAAATGCGAAGATCGTGGAACGGTAAGCTCACGCACCTGAGTTGCCTCTGCCATCTTGGGCATCACGTCAATTGGATCGGCTGGATCTCCGCGAGGGTCGTGTGACCCGCACGTTGTACGGCACCTCTGGCCGGTGGTAGACTTCCGTCAGAGTGCGCATGTTTGTCTTGCTACTCACCGGTAGCGGGCCCACCAGATAGTCCTGCACCTTCGGGACCTCCACCGCGCCATGGTGAATCGTCACCCGCGCGTAGCGGTCGGGAGGCGCGGTGTTCCCCGGGTCTGCGACGTACGCGAGCGCGTCGGCTTTGGCGGGGCGCCATGCGCCGATGCCAATGGTAGATGTAGTTGTCGGAGATGTGCGCTGACGTGCCGGAGGTGAGGTTGAGTCCGCGTTCAGGGGCGTCGAACCAGTGGACAATCGCGGTCGTCTCCGGAACGGTGAGGGAGGCCCAGAGGTTGACGGGTGCAGGGGGGCGAGGCGCGAGGATTCCACTTGTTAACGATGCAACTGGCAAGGAACGGACTGGATCCAAGACGTACTTGGGTATCTCAATAAACGACCGTGACGCTGGGCTGTGGTTGTCCCATGATTGAGGCGCAGAGCCCCACGGTTGCCGATATGGGCTAGGCTGTATATGCACATCAGCTGTCTGTCTAAATCAGTTTGAAGTCGAACTACCGCTTCACTATGGACTCACCAGTCACGTTGTGCATCGCTCGGGCTATCCGAGGATCACACGGAAATCATCATGCGGCCGAACACGGAGGTTAGCCACGACAAAACCTATGAGCAAGGAGCCACGGTGGGACGACCCAGTGAAAAGCGTCCGGATGTTGCTTCTGGCTCCCGTTCAAGTCGCGTGACAGCACTGGATGCATCAACGTTGCCGACGAGCGTAGAGAGGGGGTCTTTCCTCAATGAGATCAGGCTCCTCCAGTATTCGGTCTTGTTACTGGGTTCAAATCACAAGCCGTCAACAGATGTATGTTTTTCGCTTTCAGGGTAGGTGTCGTTTCAGTCGAGGCGGATCCGATTCTCTGACGAGCGTAGCTGACGTCTGCTATCCCGCGCAAACTTAACTTAGCGGTCTCCAGTCGAGTATGAATACGTGGCGACTCACCAATTTTTGGCTTCCTGACGCGCTGGCTATCTCCGCGATGGCAACCACACCATATTTCTATGTAGTCTCTATGTGCGCCTCGGCAGTGGAGCGAGAGCACTGAAGCATTGCCATACGAGTCGTCTTGGTGCTGGGGGAAATATGACGCGACGCAAAGCTTGTTGTGTCGCGCAGAATAGTCTTACACCGCAGCATGTGTCTCTAGTCGCTCGGCATGAAGATTTGCAAGCTTTTAGTATGCTGATGAGTAATCACAACTCCGAGTCTGCGACTCGGTCAGTGCATACCTAATACCAGCGTTGAACTGCCGGAGCAGCACGAACCCGTACCTGAACCACCAGCCAGACGGTTCACTGAGCTCATTCATTTCGCGCACGCAGATGCGATTAGCCAGGACTGTACGCAGCGTTGCAAGAGAAGTGAATTGCCACTGTAGTGTATGGAACGCGTTTACAGTAGGGTCGGAAACAAACTCCACGACGCGTCTGTGGCTGAAGCTCGGCTCTTGCCGAGATGCAAAAGCACCGCCTTGCTCACCTCTCCGCACTTCTCGACCAGCTGTGCGAACGCATATCAACAGCCTCAATCACTCTCGACATAAGCGTAGCCCTCGCAATGCCAGCGGGATTGCGAGCCATACCCCGTGTCTTGATGGATGTCTCGCCACCACCGACATTTCCATTCGGCCGGTCGTTATGCAGGACAGAGGCATAGAGGCGTGTTGGCGGACGGGAAACTTGTCCATTTGGGATTGGGTCACCGTAAGTAATGCCACTTGTCCGTGCTCGCGTGCACACCCGTACAAGCGCGGTCGTGACCGTCGTCGTTGCACCAATTACATCTTCGAGCCCGATCATGTCCCAGTCTCGGTGTGTCATGACATTGGCGGACACGGCCTTCCAATTGCGCATACCCGTTCTCACTCAGCTGTTGTGCTCAATATGCGGCAGCCCGCGAAGCAGAGCCTGTGAAGTGCGGTGTAGGGTGCTTATATGCGTTTACCAGGAGTGAGTCGTATCCAGCCTCTGTGCTCACGCTCCTCAAACCCCGCTCTTCAATTTCGACTCTCCGTACCTCCCCATGACCATTGAAAACACACACTCTTGGATCAACTCTCGCTTTACGGGAGAACACTTGCCTTCACGGTGACTTTCGGCGGCCCCGACCCCCGGTTTTGTCGCGAACATGCAACACCTCCACTTGGCGAGCTATATGGCATCGAAAGACACACCGACAACCAGGTTTACGGTATACTGGCTTGCTCTGTTGTGTCGTAAATTGTACTTGTCTCATTTGTTCGTCAGTGCTTGCATCTGCGCAAAATTTCATCCCTACCCGTTCCCCGCTTCGACTCGGATGTCATCTCACGTCCCTCATGTCCGACCACGTAACGCTTCATCGACATTCAGCACACATCGGGTACCGCTACGCTGCGAGCGGCTCCTCCCGTCCGCGCTGCCGTACTGCCTCTGCGCTCGGGAACCTGTACAGTGCATGAATCGGCAGTGTAGGTCGTTGTATGCACACAAGGTTTCACGCTGGTTCCTCACCAGCGCCGTCAGCAGGTGCTCTGATCACTCTTCATGCCCCACACAGCGTCGACGTTACAAGCAACAAGAGCGCTCAACGCCGAAGGTCGCGCCCTCCGTCAGCGGATAGCTCAGCGCAGAAGTCTCGCAACTTAGGCGCTTCTTTGACGTGGTACGTGAAATCTGTCGGCGGTATTCCAGGCGAGCACTATGGACCATGGGCTCTTTGGTCGATGTGTTGTTGCTCTCGCCAACTGTACTTATCTGTGTCGTGCATATCGCTCGTGGCGAAGCCACGTCGCCTCATCGCATATCTCGATTTGAGACGAGGCAGACTCAATTCAATTGAAAGGGATTATTGAGTGCACCCGTCTGTGTGTGGGGCCTGTTGGTCCGCTCATCGAGGGCCTCATACGCCTGCACTGCATTGTGATGCGCATCATACCTCTTACATTATGTGCACCTCTGTAGCACCTGTCCACTGCGCGGAAGAATGCTCGCGCTGATCTCCCTGCCACACAGATTTGACCGCCTGCGTACCCGCAGGTGGAGTCGAAGCCCAGGTCTAGTTTTCCCCAGTACAGTTCACGTCCCGTGCGCGTAGCAGCGCCCAATCATTATATTCCCGGGCGAGGCAAAAGCACCCCAAAGGTCTGGTATAGGCTCAGCTGGTACAGCACACTATCCGCGAACACCGAATGCACAGGATACCGGTCCACTTGTAGCATCTCCCGGCATCAACACTGCAATTATGAAGAGTGATACACAAGTGCATGCAAGTGCACCGCGGTGGGCCAACGTCTATGCGTCGAAGACAGTCGGGTGGTGTGGCTGGTTGATGTTTGTTGTCATTCTATGTGGTAGCATTCTGACTTGAGTGCTCTTCATGTGCAGGCTGGAATCAATTGACAATCTATTAGTGTAAGTGAGTACCCAATAATACTATGCATGCAGTGAGCATTGTTGCATGTTGACAAGACATTGTGGTAGTCAGTCAATGGTTACAATGTGAATGTAGCATGTGTACATGACTTCAAGAGGAATGCCATGTGCAACAACATATGGAATATATCATCTTGGATGTGAGCAAAGCTGCAATTGTATGGAAACATTCACATTCAAGAACAAATGGCAAAATCAATGGCAATACATTAAACTGTTCAGATTGAATATGTAAATATACATGTTCAAGAATTGACCTTGAAGAAGACAATACAAACAAACACCCCAACCCATGCATATCAACCAACACAAGGAACAGTACAACTCTAGTCATGCTATCACCAGCTCTACATTGCCTTGTATCTGGTTATCCTCAACAAGGGCCACAGCAGGGACAATGCTGTCCTGTCCATCCATGACACCTTCATCATCCTCTTCACCATCTATGTCTTCATCCACAAAATTGTCTTCATCATTGAACATGACTGAGCCACCAAGGTCATTTGGACCAGTGAAGTGAGGCTCAGACATGGTTCCTGACTCTATTGTGCCTTGTGTTGGATCTACTGTACTCCGAAGATTGAGAAAGAAGCGGGACAATATTACTGTTGTGAGACTGCCAGCACAAGTTGTGTTGACAAGATCAGCATAGCACACATGAGTGCTGAAAACTCACCTAGCAGGAAAAGCATCAAATACCTGAAAAGCCTGTTATCAAAATTTTGAGTAGTTGATACACAGACATTAAGCACTGTAAAGACATTAGGATCCTTACTGGGATATAATCAGCCACAACCTCTGAGGTATTCACAACAAGTAGTGCTCTATCAAGAGAGTTGGAGTGAGTATTTGAATGCATGATATTTTGTGTTCAGGTACCCAAAATAGACAGATCCTAGGATATATATCAGTATCAGTATTAATCTACTTATTGCAATTTGAACTGACCATCCCAGAGTAGTATTGTTGTCAGTGTAGCTTTCTCACCAATAGCATGGGCCATCATCTTGATTCTGAATGTATGATACCATGTTGCCAATAATACAAGGGCTTCTGCTATCAGAGCTGTGATCGTGGCAGCAAGGTTGACTTAAAAAAGCATGTATCAATTATGAGAAGCATGGGCCCTGGATAATCTGCTTACACCTAGTAGAAGTCCATCAGCCTGATCAGCAATTCATACCAATGAAGTGAACAATGCATACTGGTTGTAAAGGCTTTCATTATATGGCCCAAGGTAACATCCAACAGGGGTTCTAATTGAATGGGTAGTTGCAGCTGCATACTGTAACTCATGTCAATGCTGCTAGACCATGAGCAAACACATCTGCTCACAATATCATACACAACTGTTGCAATTGTGAGTAACATAATGAACCAAGGAAGCAACCAGTGTCTTCCATTTATGGCATAAACACGCAGGGCTCCAATGGCTGTAATGAAGAGATCAGCTTTGCTTCAGCATGGTCTGCTAAGCATAGTCATACCCCCTGTTGTTGTATTGAATATAGCTTTAGCTCCAAGATGCATCAAAAATAGGGCTGCAGCACTACAGCAAAATGCTCAACAGCCAATTTTGTAAAATGTTGATAATTCACCATACCTCTGCAATAAAAAGTTCCATCAATGACCCTTGTATATGGTAGGAAACATGACTCAAGACTACACACACACCTTGCACCCCAGGACAAATGGGAATCCAGCCATTGATACCATCCAAAGCAAGCCAGACAAATGTAGAAGCACAAGCAACAGGGATGGAATGGAGAACTTGCGATTCCACAGGAAATTGACTTGCTGGTCAAAGGTAAGGCACAAGTCAAACAGATAGAAGCCTGAGTTATTCAATATTACCAGCTAGCTAACAGAAAGTAATGGCACTCACAGAGTGATGCAATGAATGCACAATTCTGAGCAAAGCTTAGGATGAAGTCAACATGGTTGATCATATACAAGTGATAACTTGCCATCACTCACACAACATCAAGTACTGCTTCTTGCTTCTGTATACTGGCAGGAGCACTGTTGTTCATGATGGGACTCTCCAAAGCAAAGGTGATGATGTACTTGAGGTAATTATATAGCATAGTGGCAAATTGCTCGCAGCTACTACCACCATAATTGGTTGATGGTTGCCCAGATATGTTGGCATGCAGAGTGTATCAAACCCTAGATGTTTGGCAATTAGAATGACACATTAAATCACTGATCAGTCACGCATTGGAATTCCGGGAAGATGGTAGGCAATGTGATGAACCGCATCAAGCAGTACCAGTACACCTCGAAACGGGCGAATTGTGCGTCTAACGTGGCGACAGCAGCTACGGGACACGATGTTCAATACGTGCGGAGCACATGCAAGCCAGGTGTCGGACAGCTGACGGCAAAACCTGTGTGGAACGTGCTGTCACGGCTTTGTCAGCAGGAGACAGGTTCTGTCGCCGCGGTCCTCCACCTTGCCTCCACCCACTGTCAAGATGAGTCGAGCGCGCATGCGGTATCGGCCGGTGGCTCGATGGACCCCCTCCTCCTTCGAAGTATTACTCGTATTTCAGTTCTGTGTGTACCGGTACGTCCTTCAAGTTGCGTGGTAGTACTGCCTCGTACTCTGATGATAAACTCGATGCAATTTTACGGGCACCAGCAATGATTAAATAATGAGTACTCGGTGCACTGAATACGCGATGCCGTCGAGCACTGCACCGGTGCTGGGAGCGCAGGGTGAGATGTCTGATCATTACAACACTGCCTTCCCACTGATCTAGCTTTCTCAAAAGTGTTATGTACTAGTAGCGCGTTCTCCTTGTCCTTCAACTTGAAGGTGGCTCGGTAGACGGATCCGGGACCAGCCTAGGCTCGGATGTCATCCGTATTGTGGCGAGCCAGATCTAGAGCGGTGTCTCAGTGAGATCCACATATCAAGTGACCACGTCCAGCGCGCCACCCCCGCGCGCCCCCGACATTGGGCCTCCGCACGAGGCTACAGTGCAGCCATTTCGAGACACTAGGCTCCTCTCCCGTGCAGGCGCTGACGTCTGCTTGCTTTGCCATCTGACATCGGTCACTGGCGTGTATCTTATAAACATGATATCCGACTCGGAGTCTCTCATTTCCCCCCTTTCTGCGCGAGGCTCCTGCTGCGTCTCCCCCGCGGAGCAATGCACCATCTGTTCCGTCCTCCACGGCGTCGTCCACGCTCAGCGTCGCGACTAACAACACGACCACGCCGTCAACGCCCGCAAGCACCGTCTCCAAAAGCAGGAGCGTCGGGAGTCCCGACGCTCCGGCTTCTTTAGCCGGTTCACGGGCGGTTTGACTGCGTCGGCGTCGTTGAGCCTCAGCTCAAGCATGACGTCGCTCTCGCTCGAGACCTGTGTCCACGCCGAGCGCGGCTCCGTCGACGAGCTCGTCCTGCCAGGGACTCCACTGACTGAGCCCTATAGCGCCTCATTTATGAAGAAGATCAATCAACTAAGTACTGGGTCACACTCGACGACCATCTCACTAGTCTTCGCAAGTCGGCTGGAAATGACGCAAAAAAGCTTGCACGGTATGTCTCCCTTCTGGGCTTCTATTCATTATGTACTGATATCGTGCCACAGAGTCTTTAGATCTATCCTCGACAATGATAGGGCATCACATGGCAATAACCCCGCCGCGATCAACGCTGTTCCCGAAGATGAAGTAGTAGATGAACGGCAGCAACAGGTCAACAAGGCTTTTGTTTCGTCGACTGAGAGAGATGATGCGCAGCCAAGCCCCAGCGGATCTCCTGCGTAGTAGTCCTCGTTCTACTAGTGCTCTGTGCCACGCGTGTATCCCGGGCCTGGGCTCAATTGTGGATTTCATTTCACTGTACTCATAGAGCATTATTCGAACTGTTCAATGTAATGTGGGCTGCGTAGACGTGAACCATTACTATGCGATTGAATACCGATTCGTGATCGTGAATGGGTGCTTGAATACTGCAAGAATGCTGTCTGCGACGCAAGGACCTCACGCTCAACGCATGCATGCAGCTCATATCAATGTAATTTGCACGGCGGTACTACGTTAACGCATGTCAAAACCACGCGCACCCCACCTCGTAGGCAGCTGGCACACCACCTGTCTGCCACGTACGACTGTCGACACGGTGGGGCCATTTCCTCCTTTTCGTGGCCACCATGTGTCGTCAGCGCGTCTCAGGTGGCAGGTCCATGTATTTCGCGGGCCGCACTCACGTGGACTCCATGTGCCAGCCAACTCGAGGTGTACATGATGCCTTCCCACCGAGATTGTTATATTCCTAGCAGACCTAGCATCGGGATTACCATATATGCCAGCTGGCTATCTCATACAATATGCTCCTGCAGGTAATGCTCGGGGGCTACCATGCACCGGTGCACGTCTTCTTCACATCTGCCAAATACAGTACCGGAAGACTCACATCAAGGGTGAAACAGATGGTTACTGGAGCTTCGGGTGCTCCATGCTTGACAGCCAGGACCTCGTGCGTTCTCATTCAAGCCTCAACATCTCAGGGCTGTATATGCGCGCGGTCAATGCGCCACCGTGAGTGTTTCTGTCAGAACGATGTCGATGTAAGGTTGCATGATGAACTCACTAGAAAGATGTGCATCTGTCATGTTGGCATCTCCCGACTCAGACGAGCTGGTATCCGCGGCAGTGCATCAGATAGGGCTGCGGGGCCGTGATCGCAGTTGCATCGAGTAGTCATCGACAGTAGCATTTATGCATCTTTGATAAGTGAAGGCAGTGTCAGTAACTGGTTCGTTCTGGCTCGCATGATCTCGACTGACAGAGAATTCACCGACTCATGCGCTGAGTGTCTTGAGCGCGATCCGCGAATCATGCGAGGCTCGTCAGGGTTATGCGGACATTCAAAAGAATAGACAACAGCATTGAGCTCGACTCAGCAGGTCGGACCGCCACGCACTCAACGCCGCAACGGCTAGTGACCGAAATGTAATAGTCATTACGCGATGCTAAGGTCGGACTGCCGAACAGTTGGTCGTGGCTGCCTTGTTTGGCGTCGTGCCCGAGCGGCGCTGAGAGTGACGCGATGGAGATGTTGTCATTGCTGTTAGTCCTGAATGCTCATTGAGATTGTGATTTTATTGTCAAACGACGAGATACGTACTAATGGCGGGATCCCATTGACCACAAGGCAGGTTGCACGTTGGAGTGGACGATCGGCGGCAAAGAAATCCAACTCCACTGAGATGGAACTCAATGCAGGCTCTGGGGCGAGTGTTCCGTGCGATGGACAGCGTGAGATCACAGAAAACGAGGGAAAAACAAGGGACAGATGGCCCAGGCATCGGGAGACACGACAGGAGTCGCTCTACTCGGCTATGCAATGCATCTCCTGCCTACGTTACTATTCATGTCAAGCCCACCAAGTTCTCGCCTTCTAGCGAATGTGAAGGTGATCCGTAACTGAACCCAAGAACAGGAAACTGAGTGAGGCTCACCAATATCAGCCAATGCCTTACTGACGGATGCTGTTTTTGTCACGACTCGGAGACAAATGACACGGCCCGCACTTCGCGCGCGTTGAGGTGGATCGACACCATTGACAAAAAAGAGCAGCGCCTTCCTGAGCTGGGTCTGTTTGCACTGTTCAAGCGTAGATGATGGTCGTTTCCAGCACACGGTGCGAGATACAAATCGTGTGAACGACAGACGTTGGGAGATGTGCGTCTTCCCTTCAGGGTGTTTGCGACCCGCTGGCTTATCAAGTAACTCCGCAGTGGTTTCCTCGCAATTGACATGCGCAATCTCGTTGAGACCAGGTCAATTATGAGGCTGTGACCACTCGCCAATGAACCATCCTCTCAGGCTACCATGCAGTGTGGGCGGCCACTGTCCCGGGCCCAAGTTTCAAGCCAAGGCCGCGGCAACTCTTCGAAGGCATATGATCCTTGCATGTTCTCTGGCGGAGAGGAATCCAGCACTGGTGTAAATCCCTAGGGCCTCCTTCGTCGATGGACATGAGCCGGGGACTGCAGAACACAGGACACCGGCCTCACCTTCTGAGACACGACAGATGTCACCGCAATGCCCCGATCATCGCAAAGATTGACAATGACGCGTTACCTCACGTCCTTCTTGAGAGCAGGAGCACAATATTCGGCGAGGGCTATAACTTGAAGACAATGTGCATGTAGAGCATCATGATCGAGTCGCCGGAGCCTGCCTACTGGTACGAGCGATTTGAATCACGATGATTGACGGCTAAATCATGAGCTCAGTCTTGACACAGCCATACGAGTAGCCAGTACATTTGTTGCAGAAGAAGGTCATAACGCGAGTGTAGCGTGTAGCGCGCCGTGAACAGGGGAGGAAGCAAACTGAGACGCGTCTATGGCTCAAGCGCCGAAGCTCGGTTCTCGCCGTGGCTCATTGATTGGCATGCACTGGCGTCACGAATGCTCCTCCGAATGTACTTACATCCGAGGACTGCCGTCGCCAGACAATCCCTCTTTACCCAAAGCATGCTGGAGTACGTGATAACTATCGTACTATAGGCTCTGGGCAACGTCAGCTCAGCCGACACTTATACCTACCTGCTAGTGTCGCATATGCACTCGTTGAGTCACACGCACTTTCATGTTGGCATCGCAGTCGTTATCGGGGGATGTACATATGGTTCATGGTACAGCCTACTCGTCCTCAGCCACAATGATGACCTTCTTCCCCGTATTCGTGCCCTTCTGCACCGAGACGATCGCTTCACCCGTCGCCTCGAGCCCGAATGACCTGTCCTCGCTGTACTTGATTTGTCCCGAGGCCACCATCGGCGGAACTTCCTCGTAAAATCTTTTGAGGTACTACACCGACGAGCCGACACAATTGAGGGAGCGAGAGGAACACGGACGCGGGCGGCGTCAGCCACGTGGGATCGGAGCAGCGAGTGCATAGGACGTGCGACATACTCACCTTGTGATGTAGGCTCAAGACAATGAACCCGCTCATCTTGATCTCCTTGTGGACGATGAGCTGCAGGTTCTTCGGTACGTACGGCTCCGCGTTGTACGCGCTGATCATCCCGCACTCCTACGATACAGAGTGTCAACCACGCGCGACTCGGAGGCGTAGAGCGAGGCCTGGCTTACGATGAATCTCGCGTGGCTGTGCGCCGCAGCCAACGCCGCCTCGAGAGTCCGCCCGCCGACATTGTCCCAGTAACTGTACCAACATTAGCATACGTCATCACCATATCTGATCGTTACGCACATGTCTATACCACCCTCACGCTCCAGCACACTCTTGTGTCTTCTTTCTTGTAGTTGAACACGATGTCCGCGCCGAGCGACTTCACAAACGCCACCTTCTCGTCCGACCCCGCGCTCGCGATCACCTTCAGTCCGCAGATCTTGGCAGCTGAACGACCGTCCTGTGATATACGGTGTGTCAGCAACCACGGCACGTAGTTCCCTTGTAACAGAGTGATAGAATTGTATGGAAAGACCGTGGGTTGGATACTTACGCGCCAACAGGGCCTGCAGCAGCAGTGACAAAACGGTCTCGCCGGGCTTGGCGTGCGCGTGTTCGTGCCAGGCGTGATGTGCGGTCTGTCCTGTGTGTCGAGAAAGTCGGTCAGTATGAGTTACTAATCCGATAAGCAGAAAACGCGGAAAGCGCCCTGAGTAGTGTACATATTACGTCGTGGCATACACTAGGCTGCAGCATGTCCCCACAAAGAAGCTCTACACAGTACAGACGACGAACAGATCTCGTGGCCGAGCATCCTGAAAGCCCCCGATGTAGCGTCGGGCCTTCAAGTTGTCTCTCACCAGCGACGCGTAACCAGGCTGGGCAGTTTCAAAGAGCACGCGAGGCACCTGGCATGCCGCATACACCCAAGAACGCACTCCATGGGAGGCCTTCCCTTTTCTCCAAGATGCGGAATGTATCCGGGCCAAGCTCGGCAGGGTCGGAGAAGATGGTGTACTCCTGGAAGGGCATGAAACCGTACACGTGGTCGCCCGGCTTGACGGCGGGGTGTTCAGCGCGGAGGACCCGCGCGACGGCGTAGTTACTGAGCCTACGAGCAGTCAGAACCTGGACTTTACGGGTGGGAGCGTACTATGAGACACTTACGGCTCGCCGACGGAGAACGCGGGCTAGATCGAAGACGTGCTATCAATGCGTATCGGCGCGTATATGCACGTACAGGACTCACGGCGTAGCTCTTGATGCTCGGGTCTCGCATGCGACCACGCATGAAAGGGTCGATGCTGAGCGCGAGCGTTTTTATGAGGAAGCCACCGCTGAGCGGGATGGTGTCAAGGTCGATAGTCTGGGAGTCGTCGTAGACAGTGGTTTTGCCAGGCTCGGGGAAGGTGTTCGGTGCGGAATGGCGTTATAAAGGACGCGGGCGTTGCGGACGGGGGCCATTGTGGTGAACAGGTATGCGGGCGAAGGGTTGAGTTGAGAGCATACTCCGCTCTGCAGTCATGGCTTTATAGTATAAAAATACTCAGCAGCGAATGTCAATTTCTGTGTCTCGCTGAATGACCGGCAGTACTTGGCTGGAACGCGGTAGCGGCCAACAGCCGAGAATAGGTCAGCGTCCCGATTGCGTCGTTCGCGATGCTCCCGTAATCTCCTCCATGCCCGAAAGACTCGGCCGTCCGAGCCCTCGTTCTGCTCTGGCCATACCACGTTACTACGGATGGCAGCGAACGCACAAAGCCAACGGTGGTGAGCGCCGCGTGGGCAGCAATGCCCACACCTGTGCCATTTAGGGATGAGCGCAGCGAGTACTCAAAATGAGGCGGACCTGACTCGACTAAGAGTGAGTCGCAGATCGCGGGTCTTAGACATGCTTATTATTGTCCGAGTTTGATGTTTCGAAACTCGCGGCGATCCTATTTTTGCTCGTGACGAAATCACCCGGAAATGTTCCCTGAAATATAGATCAGCATTAGTTCGGCGTTGATATGGGCGAGCATGTTACATCGAAACACCAGTGACACTGGAGGATTTCACGTACCTTGGGTATTCTCCTGCAACAGTGCAGTGGCTGAGTGCACGGCCAGGAGCGAGTAGCGACTCCTAAGTCTGCCGTATCGCTTGCTCGACACGAAGCTTGCGACAGCTCCAAGACGGCCTACCGTAGGGCGCTCAGTACGCTGGCGATTGTCTGGCCATAGCGGACGACGATGCCGATAGAGAGCGTTGCATTGAGGTCCGACGATCGGGTCTGCAGCAATAACCACGTTACCAAGAGAGGTCCTGTAGGTAGTGACAGATGGGAGACGAGAGAAATGTGACCGTAGCGCCGCGGCGGCGGTTACGAACTTGAAGTTGATCCTCCTCCCATCTGTGAACGCGTCGGCAAGAGCCGAGCCTCAGCCACAGACGCGTCAGAGCGACCACAGTGACTGACATGTCAATGCGTGTCCATTGCTCAACATTCGGCACCTTGACCCCCTCCCGGACTCGCACTGTCCACCTTCGCACACATACCACCGGCTTGGATGGCTCTCTCCTTCTGTACTTGCACTCGCAAACTCAACTGGTCGGCACGCCGTGCTACCCTAGCTGCTTATCTCCCACTGTGGTCGCCGCCACCGCACAAGCTGCGCTCGGCTGGTCGTTCTGAGGAGCTTCTTCGTCGACAAAGTGCAAGAAAGTAACGGTCGTTACGGCGCATCCGTCTGCTGATTATAGGTACACCGTACGTCCTGTTTGTCTGACCGACACGGTACTCAAGCTGTTACACGTCCTCTCCACAAGTACCAGTCACGCGATTACAGACCGAGACCCGCGTAAAGTAGAAGTTCAGATTGGGCGGCACGAATGCTTTCGTCAGAGCGGTCGCTCCCTCTTGCTCTTCCTGTTATTTCCACGTTCCATCACTAAGAGCCATTTCGGAATACGGGGCTTCCGTTTCGCGTACCAGTTGATTCTCGCACGTTGACACGGAGACGATGCCGATGCCCGACTAAGTGGCCCTGTGGCCTCGTGCAAGAACAGTCTTGACCTTGTTCGCAAAAGGCCTGCTCACGCTTACAGCCAACCCGGACACGGGGCTTGCTCCGAAACAACTAAGCCTTGTATCTCCGTCAACTTAGATCGATACTCACTAGTACTACTTACTCACGCATTCTATGCAGCACTACGACCGACGTTCAACAGGTCCGTCTACTCACCATCATAACTGGTGAAACGATGATCTCGCTAACCTACAGAGTAGAACATGAGATCAAGACTGCCTCATACACGCCTGCGATGGACCTGATCGCAGATGGAACGGCGCAAGATCTTGGGATCACTTCTGTGATGGCAAGTCAGTGCCACAGCCACGCATACCAGCGTACTTATACAAGGGGAGGTATGCCTGTCGTACCCCCAGCTCGTCTTCTCCTTCGAGTTCACCGAGGTTGCCGGCAAGTAAGTGTTCCCACGGTAATGGTTTCAATGTTGCACTTACCCCTTGCACCCCTCCAGCCTCGCTCTCATTGTTGACGACTAGCGTTCCTTCCACTGAACACATTCGTAACGACCCCAGTCCATACAAGGCATCATGCGCTACTCTACACTCGCCTCTACTGTGCTTTTGGCGATTCCCGCGCTCGCTCGTCCGGTCACGATGTGAGCCCCTCGCTATTGAATCTGATCTCATGGCTGAGCATGCAGTAACAGTCGCGCGACCGGGGATGTCTCCATGGTTGAGCGTGAGCTCCAAGACGCACTGATGGAGCGCGGCTACTACGACACCCTCCTCTCTCGGGACCTCGAGGCGCGTAAAACCGCTGAAGAGAGTCCGGATGAGAAGTACCATAGAGAAAGGCAGAAATACATGTTAGATCGTGGGGACAGAATGATGGGGCACGCTGAAGGCCAGACTCACTCCGCGGGGACTTCCAACAGGCCAGCTCAGCACTCCGGGTCTCGGCCTCGTCACCATTCGTCTCCCCCACATCCGAGTGGCGGCGCCGGGCAAGGGGCGAGAGGCCAACACCATTCCCGGGAGTATGACCCCGACGGCGGGCTGTTCGAACGCGACTTCGAGGTAGATGAGCTTGACTGAGCGGACGTAGCATGATCGTGGGGCTGTTGGGATGTATCTCTGCCCGTCGTACGCGTCGTGTACATCGTTGCGCACCACTTGTAATGTGAGTCGTGACGTGAAGGCTCACTCATGCGTGCTGGCAGCTTGATCATCAGCTAAGCGTTGCTCATGCTGACATTGTGGACCATCTAGAGTAGCGGATGTTCAGGATGACGGTGAAAGTCCGCATGGATCCCGACGGCGCTGGACCTCAAGGGGGATGGGTGCGGGTCGTACAAGAAGTTTGTCGGGCACATTTCTGTCGAGGTCGGCTTCCGGGGCAACGAGCGCAGAGCGTACTCGGGAGGATGCGTTGTTGCCGCGAATATTATGGGGCGAACATGAGAGAGAGGTGCACGCTATATATGGCGGGTCGAGGACGCGTTGGGTAGAGTGTTCATAGCACGGAGGCTCTCGACGCGGCTCACCTCACTTATAGCCCCTCCCCTCCTACCCGTCCGACACCCGGAGCGCATAGTGGCAGGTAATTCAGATTCCGGGAAACCGTTCGGTGGCGAATAGGGTTCAAAACGTAGGCCAGCGGGCACCGGGGGCATGAGTCTTTATACCGACACACTGCCTTCCAGATATTCGGATTGTGCATGCGGGCGATGCTAGCTAGTATGGAAGGTGCCTGAGGAACGCTGTAAGGACGATGGTAAAGTAGTTTAGTCAGCGCCTTAGTCAGCGACCCGGAGTCCGCCGAAGGACCGTTTTATAGCTGACGCGCCCCGTTGCTCTCGTCGTCTTTTCCCCCATCGTTGTACACCGCTCGCCCCTGCAATATACAGGCTTTGGCTAGCTCAGTACGGCGTCCGAGAAGACCTACACCCCTTACATCTTTTTGAGCTACCGACCTCGTTAAATCGAGGAGCCCCCTTACTCTCTCGCTTCACTCTCTCGCTTCCTTCTGCTTCACTCAACTCTCGCGCCATCCATCTACCCGCAATCCATGTCGACAACAACAACAAAGACCAAAACCAAAAGACGGACTCAACAGACTACTACTAGTCGACCCGTCACCCGCGCATCGAGCCGAGCTACGATGTATGCTCAGGGCAATATCCGGGACGTCGACGAGCGTCGTCCCGAGGACCAGGGCCCCGGTGAGCAAATGCCACCTCGCTCACCTATCCCTGACGGTTCTGTTCGCAGAACCTCTTCGCCTCAGCACGTCGAGCAAGAGCTTGAGCACGAGCGCACACCACCCGCCCGCGCACCATCCCTGGAGCGCACACCACCCGCGGGCGCACCATCTCCTGCGCCCTCAGCTCGCTCCGAAACACGGCGCACGTCGGAGACCAGCATCCGTGACATGTGCCAAGATTTTTTCGACATGATCAACGACCGTCTCGAAGATTCGGACGAGGTCATCCGAAATGCGGCGAATTTCGCCAACACTGCCTTGCGTGACGTCATGGCAGCTCAGCAACGAGCGGCCGAGACGCGCAACCTCACGCGGACGATGTTCCTGGACATCCGTAGACAACTGGACCGTCTTGGGTACGGACCAGCCGAAGAGGAAGACGAGGTACGTGACAATGATCACGGACGCCATGCCTCTCCGCATTCTGTTGACAGCAGGCAACCATCGCCGCATATCCGCGATGACGACTACGTCGAGACCATGTCCCTCGACACTATGTTCGCGCCGAGGCGACCGAATGAATCCGACGCTCAATACGCCAACCGGGCCCGACGTCGGGATCAATTTCTGGACCGCCAAGGAATGGAGCAACGCCGACGCGAACGTGAAGCTCGCATCGCGCAGACCTGGCGCGAGGCTGCGGAACGACACGGAGGTGATCCGTACGCCAATCAGCAGGCCTACGCGCCGTACCCGGGTCCTCATGATGACGATGACGACCCGGGGGACGACTACGACGGTGACCCGCGCCAACCGTCGCCGCGAGACCCTAGGCCACCCCGAGATCATCCAGATGCGGATGGTCAACGAGGTGGAGCCGCTCCGCCGCCACCTCCGCCACCTGGCGGACCACCCGATGGCGACGATGGAAGCAATGGGTCGGACGATCGCGACGACGAGCAAGACCCTCAAGATGACGAGCAGGACGCGCGCGAGCCCCCGCGCCGAGATGAACGTCGCTTCACCCGTAGTCCCACATACTTAGCTGACCGACGTGTACCTTTGTACGATACACGCACTGGCAATAGACGAGTCCGTGACCCCTACGATCCGGACTACGATGACACTTTCAGAGCTGAAGGCCTTCGTATGATACGAAGGCTAGTCCGCGAAAAACTGTCTGAAAGCATGCCTGACAGCAATGCGCTCAAGAATATTAAGAACATACCCACACCCTCGCAGTACGATGGTACTGACGACTACGAGCAGTTCGAAAACTGGCTCAAGAACTTACTTCGCTGGATGAGTCTCTTCCGTCTAGGTGGACCGACACTCGACAAAGAACGCTTGTATATACTTGGCCAGTTCTTGAAGGGAAAGGCTGCCGATTGGTATAATGATACCATCGATGCTCCTACCACGAACGGAAGGCCTTGGACGTTCCTTGAGGCACTCTGTGGTCTATTCGATAGATTCTTACATCATGCGACTGCCAGCACAGCAGCCGACAAGTTCTACGCTGCTAAATACACTAAAGAAGGTGGTATTAACGGCCTCTGGGACTATCTCACGAAGTATGCGGCCCGTATGCCCATACCACCTGACGACTACACGTTCGCACGCGTGTTCACGGAGGCGCTTCCCAGCGACATCGGCGTGCCGCTGTTCCAGGCCAAAAACGTATCCGTCGAGTTGACTCCTCTACAGCGACTCCGACGTCTTGCTCTGCAGCAAGAACACAACAATAAGCAAGTTGCGGCCTACCGTTCAAAACACGCTGCGCGGGTTGCGACAACTATACCCAATACTGCAAGCAACCCTTCGACGCGAAGCACTGACCGTCGTGTCGAGTCGAACCATCGCGATAGCCGAGGGCATAGTAGTGGCCAACAGGGCACTCGTAAGTTCATTCGTTTCGTTCGTCGCTCTGACCTCTTGGCTGCTGCAGCTCGCGGCGGAGGTGCGCCGCTGATTCGTCCTAAGGGACTGCAACAATCCTCTCAGCCGACCTCAAACATCCGTGGTGGTGTTGCACCTGCTTCGGGCAACCGTTCGTCAGGCCAGCAGGGTGCGTCGCACCAGTCTCATTCTCACGCACATGGCACTTCGCAGCACTCACGCAAGTGCTTCAACTGTGGAGAAGAGGGACACTTCTCAAAAGACTGTCCCCATCCACCACGCACAAACTTCCGTGCGGCGCGTATCGTCGATGATCGCGACGATCCCGATGTAAACGAGTCGGAACGTCCGCCCGACAATCCTGTCGAGGCGCCCGAAGTGTCGCCGGATGCGACGCCGGAGGCTCCTTCGCCTGCGGTTGAGGCAGCAAGTGCTGATAACCAAGACGAAGTACTCGCCCAATTAGAGGACGAGTACCTCGCCATGGATGGATCACAGTATGATCCTGACGAGTACATCACGATGGAGGATGCACTCGAGGATGACGACAATGTCGTATACTACGGCTCAATGCGTCGCATCGAGGTTTCACAGGTCGATAATGACTTGGTGGAGCACACCGAAACCTCACACGGAGACCATACGTCATATGGGCTCGTGTCTTCCATATTCCTCGCGATGTTAGCATGCAGGACAGTGTCTTCGAGCTCGAGTGGCGCCGCGCGCTTAGTAATGGTGCTGACAACATCGACCTCGAGTCGATAGACAACGTTGCAGTGCGCGAGATCCTGCGTCGAGGCCCATCAATTGAAGCCGTCTCTGAACGCAGTGGTATAAGCTATGAACACATAGCCGAGGACTTCGTGGGACCTGCACCAGTGGACGCTGCAGTTGCCACTGGGTTAGGCGAGCCCGACGCCATGTCGATCTCTTCTGACGACTCGATACCATCTCTTGAAGAGATACCCGAGTCTGATCATGTTGTCCCGGACTTCACTGACGAAGAGACGTATGCTCTCGCGCTTACAGGCCGCTTGCGCACGCTGTGCCGCGAACTCCTTTGGACACGATACGAGCTGCTGCGCAGCCTCGAGCGCTACCGGCCAAGCGCAGAAGATCGCGAGCGCATTCGCAATCGACTGGACAACCAAAACTGGTTGGTAGGTTCCATGAACATACCAGATTTATCTTACGACTATCTAGACGAGCCCTCGTTTGGCACGACCATTGCACTTGCCGAACAAGTGCTCAGAGAAGATGCAGACATGCATGACCCACCTCCGCCATACCCGGCATTACGAGCAATGCTGGCTCGTACTGGACGCATTCCCGACGCGCCCAACTCGAGTGTACAGCCCCTCGCAACACGTGCAACCGTGCGACGCGCTGTAACAGGTCGTCGACCTGACTTAACTCGGTATGACCAAACATGCCTTACCGCTTACCTGACAATCAACGGATTGCAGGCCTTAGTACTCCTCGACTCCGGAAGTACTACTGACTCCATAAGCCCCGACTTCGTGCGAGTCGCTGGTATCAAAGCTTTTGAACTCGAAAACCCGGCGATCCTTCAACTTGGCTGTGTCGGAAGCCGTTCACGCATCAACTACGGCGTGAACGTACCCGTGATCTGGGGTCAATTCAAAGGTGAGGTCTACTTCGATGTTGTGAATCTTGACCGCTACGATGCAGTGCTCGGCACACCGTTCATGCGGAAGTTCGGTGTATGCCTTGACTTCGCGAAGTCGGCAATCTGCATCGGAGACATTGCGATACCCGCATTGCTTCCGCGGGAGGAGGAGGACGCCGCAAATAGACGGCGACGTACCTTCCCTTCTCGCCGGAGTGTCACAAATACATCGCAGCAGACGCCTGCTCCGTCTGCGCCCCCGCCTAATCCCTCACATTGACTAGCCGAGATGGACAGTAGTGCGTCACCCGACCCACTACAAACCGTCTCGTTCCACCGTATTACTGCTAATGAGTCTACTCCAGTTGCAGACGAAGCGCGCATCACACAGATCCGCGAGCAATTCATGACGAAATACGCTGAACTCTTCGGTCCAGTACCACCTGGACTACCCCCGGTACGAGAGGTCAATCACACTATACCCCTAGTTGATGACCGAAAACGGTACACTTACTATCTACCTAAGTGCCCAGACTCTCTCAAGCCCAAATTGCTCGAGAAGATACAGCTCTACACCGCCAATGGCTGGTGGAAAGAGTGCCAGACAGAGCAAGCAGCACCAATGCTCTGCCTCGCGAAGAAAGACGGCGGACTACGCACCGTCGCAGACGTTCGCCAGCGCAATGCGAACACCATCAAGGATGTAACGCCTTTTCCGGATCAAGACCAGATCCGGAATGACGTTGCCCGCGCTCGATACCGCTCAAAGATCGACATGTCAAACGCCTATGAACAGGTGTTAGTAGAACCGAAGGACGTCCACAAGACCGCCTTCGCGACGATCTATGGTACGTTCTACAGCCTTGTTATGCAACAAGGGGATGCGAACGCCCCGTCTACGTTCCAACGCCTCATGACATCGATCTTCCGCGATGCCATAGGGATATTTGTCCATGTTTATCTGGACGATATTTTTGTCTTTTCAGACACTCTCGAAGACCACGAGAGACACCTTGAATGGGTTTTCAAGAGGCTTCGTGAAAATCGACTGTACCTCAGTGTCAACAAATGCGCATTATTTGCGAGACGAGTTGACTGCCTCGGACACATCATCGACGAGAAAGGACTCCATGCAGATACTGACAAAATGGCCCGAGTTCGCAACTGGCCTGTACCTCGGAACTACCACGAAGTACAGCGCTTTCTTGGCCTTGTGCAGTATCTCGCTCACTTCATGCCTAACCTCGCAGCATACACAGGTCCAATTTCGAGCATCACACGAAATGGCCAGTCATTCGACTGGCGACCTATCCATCAAAAGTGCTTTGACGAAATCAAGGCACTCGCGTGTAAGACACCCATCCTACGACCAATCGATCCTAGGAATTCCGACCCCATTTGGGTCATTACTGATGCGTCTACATCAGGAGTCGGTGCTGTATATGGCCAGGGCCCTCAGTGGGACAACTGCCGCCCGGCTGGCTTCATGTCGAAGAAGTTCACGTCCGCGCAGCACGCGTACTTCACTTACGAGATGGAGGCCCTAGGCGTCCTCGAAGCACTCCTTAAATGGGAAGACAAACTGATCGGACGACATTTCAAGATCGTCACTGACCATCGCGCGCTCGTTTTCATACAAGACAAGCGGAAGCTCGCGCCACGACTCGAGCGTTGGACGGAATACCTCAGTCGTTTTGACTTTGAGATTGTGTACGTCCAAGGCTCCAAGAACCTTGTCGCTGATTCATTCTCTCGCTACTTCTCTAGTGAGGGCGCCGACGTGTTACACGACCCACAAGACTATGTCTCTGCGGACATAAGGATCGATCCCTACGGTGAGACACTTTCTGATGCTCGACTCGCAGAGATCCGAGCACAACGTGTTGTTGAACACGTCGAGCCTCGAGTTCGCGAAGCCGAGGAGCTTGCGGCTCACTTCCCGCAAGACCCTGGTTCGTCCGACTCGGACGCAGGCTCGTCATCCGGTCAGGACGACCCTACTGCAATTGATTCTGCAATCGCTGGACCACCACTAGACACGGTCGTCCAGCAAGCCCTCGACCTGCAATCAACCGTGCGATCCGGCTACGCCAAAGATCACTTGTTCAAGGCCATAATGGACCATCCTGAAGACCATCGCATGTTCTTCGTACGCGATGAACTACTTTGGTACAAACCTCATCCAGATACTGAGGTATTATGTATACCTCGAGTCACGGTACGTCGTCGGCTACTCCCTGAGATCATTCTTGACGAGGCGCACACTGCGCTGGGTCATCTGGGTGCTCGGCGCACGTCGGACTATGTTCGACGATGGTACTGGTGGCCCAACATTGGCAAGGATATAGCCGCCTTCTGCGCGAGCTGTAGCACTTGCCAAATGTCCAAATTCTCGCGTCAGAAGCCAACTGGGCTGCTACATAGCATGCCTATTCCTTCGCGACCTTGGCAATCTGTCGGAATGGACTTTGTCGGTCCATTCCCTTCGTCGCGAGGGTTTGATTACCTCTGGTTAATTATCTGCCGACTAACCTCACATCTCCACCTTATTCCTGTGACGACTCGAGTACGAGCGTCTGAGCTTGCTTGGCTCTATTTCAAGGAAATAGTGAGACTGCATGGTCTTCCCGAGTCCATAGTTTCGGACCGGGACCCCAAATTCACGTCGAAGTTCTGGAACGAACTTCATCGACTCATGGGTAATAAGTTACTCATGTCGACTGCATTTCATCCACAGACTGACGGCGTCTCGGAACGTGCTATCCAGACCATCTCGCAGATTCTGCGAAGCGTCGTTCGACCTGATCAGACCGACTGGGTCGACCGCCTACCTCTTGTCGAGTTCGCAATCAACTCGAGTGTCAATGCCTCGACGGGGTTCGCACCATTCGAGCTCACCTACGGATACATGCCCCGGATCATGCGCACACTCGAAAACACGCCCGCGATGCCCGGAGTACGAGCATTTGCCGATCGTGCAGTCGAAAATCTGCTGATTGCCCATGACGCAATCATCGAGTCGCGCGTCACTCAGACGACGCATGCGAACCGTCGCCGACGTGCTGACAACCCTACTGGTGATGACCAACCTCGATACGAGGTTGGCAAACTCGTCTACTTGAGTACTCATAATCTATCCCTACCGAAAGGACGAGCTAACAAGCTCGCCCCACGCTATGTAGGCCCCTACCGTATTGTCAGGGCACACCCCGACACATCAAATTACACACTGGAGCTACCAGACATGTTGCGGAAGCGTCGCATTCACCCGACCTTCCATGCGTCGCTCCTTCGGCCTCATCAGCCGAATGATGACACCATGTTCCCGGGCCGAGACGTAACAAGATTTTACGACTTCGGACTCGACGGCGAACAAGAATACCTAGTCGATGATATCCTCACTCATCGCTGGGCTGGTCGACGTATTGAATTCTTGGTACGTTTTGATGATGGCGACATCCTCTGGGAGTCATACGATAATTGCAAGGATCTTGAAGCTCTTGACAGGTATCTCGAGCTACAAGGTATCTCGGACTGGCGACAGCTGCCGCGACATGCCGGGCCCGACCGCCACGCGCGAAGATCAATGCGCCCTGGCGGGTGATAGTTCCACTATCTAGATCGGCGACCGACTCGCCGCCCAACACCCCACTACCTGACGACCAACAGTCGCCAGAAACTCTTCGAACCCGCGTCGAACATTCGCGACTATCCCGCCGCGACGCTCGTAGGCCGACGTGATGCCTATTAAAGTGCACGCCGCCATCGCGCCGTGCTCACCAAATCACCTAACTACTCATCTGTGCGTGCTCTACCCTCGCCTCTTTTACTATGTCCACTGCTATCCTTACTGCCGACGTCGACCACCCCATGGCCGACATCCATACTGTGCAGGTCGCCAATGGACCTGTCACCAACCCTGTCGCGAACATCGCACAGGCGCCTGCGATGTGGCGCCACAACGAAGGCGTGAACACCGTCTTGCACGCCAGCAACTGCGGCGTCTGCGATGCCTTTTTGCACCACGCAACTGACGCCCTCGGTACTCGCAACTACCAGGTCGCACGCACTGAACAGGACGACACCGCCGCCCGTTCCGCGCGACGCGAAGCCTATGAACGAGGCTATGAGGATGCGCAACAGGACCGTGCGACGCTTGCGACCACAATCCAGCAACTTCAAGCTCGCATCGCGGAGCTCGAAGGCCAACTCGCCACCCGTGCAAACACCGGTGGACGATTTCCTGGAGGGGGAGGATTGGGACCTATTCGCAATAGGTTCGCCCCCTACAACACTGATTCCTCTGTCGATACTTACCTCGACAATAGCCTCACTCGCAGGCTCAACATGAACGAGCGTACCCGTGGACCCGCTCGCCACCAGACCCTCCTCATGTCAGAGGTACCTCTGACCATCGACGAAGTCGACGGCGCACTGCGTCGAGCGCAGATCGACGACGCTGTAGGCCTCGCAGCCGTGCGCCAGCTTCAGCAATGGCGCAGGGCGATCTTCGCCACCCTCGCTGTGGGACGACCCCTCTCAGTGACCCAAGAGACCCTGCAAAACCATTGGGTTGGACTACCCGACTGGTACCTCCACCGCTTCCCTCGCACCCCCCGACTTGATCGCACGACGAACCCGCCTACCCAGGAGCAGCACGAGACCCCTCCGCGCTATACCGACCCACATCAGCAAATCGGGCAATTGCTGAGCATCTGATCGGCTGACAGCCACCTCTCAGAAGCTCAGTTCGCTCAGACTTGCCAGTCACTCTCAGAGATCGACAGTTGTCAGAGTATCTCTGTCCTCTTACTAGGCTCAGTACAAGTCTTAAGTTTTTGCTTGTACAGTACTCGAACGGTCGCACCAACACTTAATGTCGACGTACATCACTCACACCCTTGACCTTGTGCAATGTCGGCCATCCGACACCATTATATTGCATCATTCTCTATTTAAGTAAATAGAGATATGAAGCTCCCATGCCCCGTTCGTCGGCCATGCCTGCACGCAGGGCGTCAGGCATGCTCACAGTCGCCGTGTACTGCCCGTCGTTATACCCTGTGCCCGCCTACCCATTCGCTTGCATACCCACTGTCTGTTCGTCAGTGTCTGCATGCCATTCGCCATGCACGCTCGCAGTCGGCGGCGTACACACCATGATTCACATCGCTGGGTCCTGTTCCTGCAGTTAGCGCACCCGCTCACGCGTGTCTGCACTCACCCATCTGCACTCGCCCTCGCCCATCCCCGCCATCTGCTCGCAGTTTCCCGCCACATACTCGCCGTGCCCACACCTCCCGCCGGCACCCTCGTCAGTATGGCTGTGCCCGCGGTGCATTTGTTGGCCACGTTCGCACGCAGCACCTCTGCCGTGCATGCTTGGGGATGAGGATGTAGGTAAGGGGCGTGACGCAAGGACCGCTCGGGCAGCATACCAATGAACACTACGTTCGTCCTACCCACTTGCGTAACACCCACTTCTCGCTGGGTTCAAGATTTCGTGGCATGTGCGGGTCAGTAAGGGAGGTGGGACAAGCGGGGGGAAGGAAGGTAGGAAGACGAGCGGCCAGGAAAGCGAGCAGGACTCGGTGCGCTGAACGTCCGTTGCTGCGCGATCGCCTGGCCGAAGCTCCCTGAGCCGATCGCGCCGAAGCCCATGCTGCTGAAGTTCAGCGAGTGCGACGCGGACGCGCGCCGGAAGTCGATCTTGTAGTTCTGCCCGCTGTTGTTGTCCCACCACTCGCCGCCAATGCCGGGGGAGTAGCGCACAGTAAGGTACAGCATGCGGTCGGTAAGCTTGTGCTCGTAGTCCTCTAACCGGATTGTGAAGCTATAACCCGTTGATCAGCCTACATAAGGACGAAGTCGTAGTATAGAGACGTACCTGAAGCGATCCCAACCCGGTCTCAGCTCATCCGCCTTCACCCGCCCACTCGCAATGCCCACCGCCAGATCGCCCACGGTCCGATGTTCGTGCGGGAACGGCGGCGGCAAGCTCGGGAGGCTCACGACGTGCCTACACGTAACCTCGCTCGTGGTCTGCCAGTCGTCGAGCGTGAAGCGCACGGCGACGCGCTTCTCGAAGTGCAGGTTCCGGACGAGGTCCGTGCCGCGGAGCGTCAGCGAGTGCGTGCGGGGCAGCATGAGGGTCTCGAGATGCACGTTCGCGTACGGATCCGGGTTCGGCGGGCGCGGGGAAGCAAGGGAGCGAGGCGGATGGATACTCGAGCGAGGCTCAAGTGCGAAGCAGGTGGGTGGGTGAGTAAGCGAGGGTGAGTGAGGGAGCGAGGTGGATGCAAAGTCGAGTGATGTGGGCGGGCAAGCCCGGCAGGTCGGCGAGCAAGGTCAGCGAGCGAGCGGGGTGGCGAGAAGGCGAGCAGGAGAGAAGACGGGCGCGAGAGAAAGCGGGCGCGAGAGAAGGCGAGCGGGAGGGAAGACGAACGGGCGGGAAGACGGGCGGGCGAGAAGACGGGCGGGCGAGAAGACGGTTCAAGTTGGCAAGATGGTCTGGCGAGCATATGCACGCGTACGAAGTGGGAGACTCACCTGTACTAACCCTGCCGGGGCCCGCCTTCCCAAACTCCGTGCTGCCAACACTTCTCCGAATTGCATATTGCGTCGCTACCGCGCATTGTTGAGGAGGAGGAGGAGGAGGAGGAGTTGAGCGCAGCGTTGAGGAGGAGTCGATGCTGGACGTGGGTGGAGGCGACTCGCGAGAAGTGCTAAGCGCCTCAGCCACGACACGTCACACGCACTCTCCGGACTTCCTCTCACTTCAGCCTCTCCCTGTCTGTTACCTCCGCTTCACCCTCGCTTGCCCGCCGCCAACCTCCAGTACACGCAGGTGGGCCACTCCGTAAGGGACGGTACGTGCATTGGAACACTGCACGGCTCAAGATCGCGACGCGCTTGAGGCGCTCGTACCGTTCCCCAGCTCGAACACGACGGGATCAAGGGCAAAACGAGTCCAGACGGAGAAGTCACAAGAATGAGGAGCAAGAGCAATGGACGAGGCCTAAGCAGAGAGACGAAAATCGAATGTGAGTTCTCTACTGTGTACCTACTATATAACGACTGCTGTTGCTAGACACTACGCGCATTGACGAGCTTAAAGCTCCGAGTCGTGGTGCCTACTTGTCCACCAGCTCGCGCATCCAGCGCATCCTCTCACTCTCGCTTGCCCTCTCGCGCCCGCCCACCCGCTCTCACCCCCAAGTTCTGCCCTCTCGCGCTCGCCCACTCATTCACCACATACCCAGTCGCACTTGCCTCATCTCCTACTCACCCGCGCATCCGTGGGTTGCGGCCGCAGGGTCAGCATGTCAGGTGAGTGCACCGCTGTCCACCTCGACCCCATTGCCAACCCCGGCAAGTGATTGTCCAACAGGACGACCGGACAGTGATGAACCCGACGAAGACGGCCCTACCGGTTCGCTCGGTTCCAGCACCTCGCGCGGCGTATCCTCTCCACCTACGGGCTCAACCGCTCGCCCATCACCATCCTCGTCTGGCGCGCTCTCTGCGGCGAACCGCGGCAAGCCGCTCCTCCCCCGCCTGTACCGCACGGTCTCGTACGTTGACTCGGTGTTCTACGTGGACTTCCTGCTCCTCATCCCACGGACGCCGCGCCACATCGACTTGCAGCACTGGGACGAGGTGTACGGCCCGAAGTACGTGCTATCGACGAAGATGGAGTATGAGTACGTGCGAAATCTGACGGCACGCGACCAGCCGACGACACAAGCCCGTTGGTGCAAACCCAACAGGTATGCAGTTGACGAGCCTCAGCATACCGCGCACGGACCCATCAGCATCAAAGGATTGGCCGCCTACAGATACGGATCACGAACCGACGCGCACGGATACGACGCGGGCCAGTTCGCCATACATAACGTGCCCAAGCTCGGTACGACACAGCTCAACGAGCAGCACTGCGACAAGCAACAGTCCACCAGGCATCCGGCGCGGCTTGAAATGGCCTGCCGAGCAACAGCTGGGCATACTCCAGCTCGATGCACATACACCCGTGAAGGATGAGCGTGCTGCATCCTAGCCCGAGGAGGAGCCAGGCCACCGAGTTTGTAACGAACGCAACGAGCGGGAGAGAGCCCGCCATGCACACCCACTGGGCAGACGGTAGATTGCACTTCTCTACAGTACATTATGATTAGCTAGCGCGATTCTGTACAGTAGTAGTGATCAATGGAATAATATTGAGTTGATTTCTATGCCCTGGCTGATCTTGGCTGACGAGCTGGGAGGTCTGACAGGCTGTCTGAACAGTCTGAGGATCCTGTCTGACGAGTTAGCATCAAAAAAAAACGAGGTCATGAGGGCTGAAGATCTGAAGCAATCTGAAGCAATCTGAAGGCTTCTGAAGGCTTCTGAACCCCCTGACAGGGCCGTCAGACAGATTTCATGTTTTCCTGATGCAGCCGAGAAGTGGGCCTCTTACTTCTCGCGCTACCCAAGAGCCCGCCTTCCTCGCGGACTTGTGCGCGACAACAGCGGTCAAGTCCCCATCGACCGCGCGAATCTTCATTGCATGATGATTCGCATCGCCTCTCCCCTCACGTCGACCCGACGTCGCTACAAGTCGGCCATCTTCGACACGCTTGCCGCCCTGTTCACCGACCCGCAGGTCTACATCGCACATCTCCAGGCCGCGAATGTCAATCCCGAACCGGCCCTCAATATCACCCCGTTGCCGGAGACGCAGAACGGGGCTGTCGTGACGGTCGACGTCACGATGACCACTGTCGCGGTACATGCGGCGCGCTGCGGCATCACCCCGGAGTTCGTGCTTCACCACCTCTGCCTGTGGGCCCGAGACTACCTAGCGAGTGGACTACGAACGGCAGACCTGGGTCCGACCGCGACTGGAGCCCCGCTGGTGGCCGAGCACATCGATGGCGAGGTCGCACCAGGTGGACAACCCGCGACTGGCCACGGCGAGCAGCCCATTCCGAACGTCGCAGCCGGCGAAGAGGCAATGGCGGTCGAGCCGCTTGGTCGGGACTCGGCGTAATGCCGAGGGATGGTTCGTCCTCTCTCCATACTCCTTCTAAAAGTTTGTGTTTGCCGTATTCGCGATCCTATGTATCCGTTGTTCGTCGCACTTCGCACCGACGAGCTTATGCCCACTACCACTGAGTGGCTTGTTCACCACTTATTATGATTATGTATCTACGAATCCCCGTCGACTTTAGCTGCGACGGGTATCTTCATTATGCACATTATGCTATATTCTATGTACACTGCCCTATGTCGACGTCTACGACGTTTTCCTGGAGGGGGAGGATGTAAGGACGATGGTAAAGTAGTTTAGTCAGCGCCTTAGTCAGCGACCCGGAGTCCGCCGAAGGACCGTTTTATAGCTGACGCGCCCCGTTGCTCTCGTCGTCTTTTCCCCCATCGTTGTACACCGCTCGCCCCTGCAATATACAGGCTTTGGCTAGCTCAGTACGGCGTCCGAGAAGACCTACACCCCTTACAAACGCGGTCGGCGGTGTTCGCAGGCTGCCAAATAGTGACGAAAAGAAGAGACACAGCATGCCATGAGGTCACACGAGGCCTCGCACCCGGGCTGCCGATGAACAAGGCTGACCATAAGAAGTGAGATTGAGCAACAAGGGAGGAAGGTGACGTGGGAACGGAAGAAAGCCTGAGTATAAGGATGAATACGTATAATCATGATTTGGAGCGCCATAAAACAGACCTATGCCAGAGTCGACGAGCCCCACCGGTCGTGGTGTGAAACCCTCGTCTCGTTTGGAGGAGTGCAGCTCGCAGCGACGAAAGCTTGCAGGTGCGTTGCGTACTGGAGGATTTTCTACGATGTATAGCAGAGGATTCCAGGTGATAAGAGGATGATTACGTCAAGCGAGGGAGAGAAATACATACCCTTGGGCTGCGACTCTATCGAAGTACGAGCACAAATTGAACCTAGACGAATTATCAGTTGCAGGAAGACCGGAGAGCAGACGCTCGTACGTCGGGCACGCGATCACGTGCACGCTGTAACGACGTTGTCCACCGCTCCGCGTCGCGCTTGCAGGGCTTCTCAGGCACTCTTAGCGCGTCAGTCCGGTGTCTAACCCAGGACGGGGAGCTCGTGTCCGATAAGAAGACGGTAAGGACCATCTGGCAGACATCCCATTCGTCAATCACTGCCGGACGTCTGTGAGAGTAGTCCTTGCATACATATGCCGGACAGACTTACCTCACTGCCAAGTAGCACCGGCCGTTCTAGCTCTCTCCCGTATAGATAGTGCGCGTCTGGTCGGTTGCGCACAGTATAATATAGCTCGCTCGACCATGTAGCCCCGACCGGCCCCTCGACCTGAACTGCCCCCAAGATCTCGACATCCCGTCAACGACACGCCCACCGATGCCTCCTCCCAAATCCGACCGGTATCTTGACGCTGAACCAGCGCAGCCCCCGCGCCGCCGACCCCTATATGTCGAACGTCGGCGGCGTCCGTTCTCTACGTAGAAACGGGCCAGCCGACGAGCCAGCCGGACGACGCGTACCGTGCCTGAGACCGGGCGGTGCGTGAGCGAATGGCTCCCAATTTCGCAGGAGCCCAGCTCACAGTCGAACTTCGGCGCGCTGCTGAGCACCGTCCCTCCTACTTCCACCACCGCGGGCCCGTTCGCCCTCCGCCCCTTGTACTTCCTTGTACTCCGCTTCGATACGTTGTATCGGCCTAGTCTACGGCGATCAAGTGCTTCGAACAACACGATGGCAAAGAAGACAGACTTACAAGAGCTACTCAAACGGGGGTGCGCAGACCAAACCGGAGTGAGTTGTGCTTAATGCCCGCGACTACCGACACGACTCCTGATCATTCCACTAACAGTTCGCGGTCTGGCGCGAGAGATGGGGAGAAAGTGGATACGCTGCCTCTGCTCGCCTCGCCGCGGCGAGTGGAAGTCGCGAGGGTTCGTTCGAGGCCACATCGGAGGCGCCCCAACAAGTCGCGGACACATCTTCTGGAGTTTCGACCTATTCCGCGCAGCACCATGGCCAGCAGGCTGTGGGCTCGGGTCAGCGAGTGGAGTACGCGTCGCCTATGGGCTACTCGCCGACGACAGTGAATGGATCTTCGGGGCTAGGTACGTCCAGCATCTCGTTGTGCTTTCGGTCTCGAACCCGCTGATGACAACGGACAGTAGGCATGAGCGCGAATGTCCTCGACTCTACATCCATCTTCAACACAACCCCAGTGTCCACGACGTTCCACACAGGCCCCCAGTCGTACCTCGACTACTCGCACGAGGTATCAGCGTACTCATATCCGACCAGCGAGTACGCTGCCACGAGGGACCTGTATGCTGCACCAGCCATTGCAGACCATGGGTCAGTCACGCAACGGGCCCCGCAGCATGGACTCATAGCACGACGGCCACGTACGGTCCCCGTCCTGACTACATGAACGAGAGCTCGCCGAGCATCGAAGGGTTCAGCGGATTCTCGCCCCACCCTCGCAGCACCTCCGCGACCTCTCTCACTCCATCCCACGATGGCCAAGCTTCCGAGCTACCATCTGCGCAAACAACAATCCGGAACCTAGAACTCTCACCAGAGCCTCTGCAATGGAACGGAGCCTACGGCGACGGAATCATCCCGATCGAGGAATGGCTTGCGATACTGAGGGCTGCTGCGTCCGGAAGTCCTGACGCACCCGACACAGAAAACGAGGGAAAACAGGACGACCTACAGGCCTCCACAGGTGAGTACCGTATCAATATAGCCGACTCCCGAGTGATAATGAAACGTCTCGAAGACTTCAACGCTGCGCCTGTGCAAGGGTTCACCGCAGCGGCTTCTACACTGCTCGGCGCCGAGCCGCAACCCGTCCCCGAGAGCACAGGCAGCCAGCCGGCCTCCTCTGGACGGATGCTCCTTCCGCCGAATTGGTCGAATGGCTGGACCTTCCTAGCGATTTCGACTTCACTTTCGGCGCGTCGTCCCAAGGGACCACCGACGACGAATCGCTCCGCGCACCACGTCTCTCAGGGAGCGACGAGTTCAACCCTTGGTCAGGCAGCGGCGCCTCCCCCAGCTCCTACCAAGGGCCATCCTCCCACGACCTCTGGGAGCACCAGAGGGACTGGTAGTCTGGATGACAGCCATCCCGTCACGAACCAAGATCGTCCTAGAGCAGGATGAACTTACCTTTGAGCTTGGACTTTACATCTCTTTCGCACCTCTCACGTACTATCGTCTCGCAATCGTCTCGCTGTCGCCGTTATCTCTGCTCTTCATTCCGTCCAGTCTCGCTGACGATTACACACGTTTGTCGCGCTGTCCCATCATACTGACCTTGCTCTGAACTTGTCGCGCTCCTATCGCTCACGTACTGTTTGTATCTGTAGACTGTCCACATCCTCCGTTTCTACTGGTCTTATAGTGAACCAGGTTAATATAAATCTCATCAACCCATATGCAGAGCCTCTCACCGTCTCAGTGTGCTATATTCCGGACATTGCGTCGTTCCGGCTTGTTTCGCACAGATCTTGTGGGTGAATCAAAGTACTTCATAGAGAGGATAGTATGTGATTGCGACGGGATACACTAGGCAGTAACGCACGACTTGCTACGTGGCATTCAAGTGTGGCGCTGCACGTGACATGCATAGTTCCAGATCGCGATCGTATGTGATCTTATTTTGGTTCCGCCGCACGAAGGCTTGGACCCACACACGTCGCTGGCCCGCCGTCGTGTTCTTGTTCTCTGAGGTTGCTGTGCTTGACATAAATGATACACTTTCTTATTTTACGGTGCCCAAGTGTTTTCCGACACGATTGTGACTCAGTAACCAGCCTCGAACAACAAGAAGCAGGCACGGAGAGCAGTCCGAGTCGGACCTACATGGTAGTCACGGAGGATGTATTAGGCTCAAAGTGTGAATGGTTCAGGGAAGATACAAGTGAGCAGACTTGCAGCGTGTGCTTATACCAGATATCTAACTCGAACGCCCAACGTAGCCCGACCATTAACCTGAAGTTCTGTGTTCGCTGATGGACATCCTCTCGGCGCGTCGCCGTCGTTCAACTCGGAAATCATATAGGAGAGACCGTTGGCGTCTGTCATTTTATATGGCACACAGCTCATGAGCGTCGGACGTTAGGTGCAGCTTTTGGGAGTCGGACTCTTGAGGCGGCATGCAGATGCCCTACCGGAATCATTGGACGCTTGATTAGGGAGGCACGAGAAGGAAGGAGGCGCCCCAGAAGGTAAGACGATGCAATACATTCTGGATACGTTGCTCTCAGATGGCGTACAATGTACAGCGTCCCGACCCGTTGTCACCTGCTCTTCGACGGTTTATGGAAATGCTGCACGTTAACGCAAGCATCATGGGACACAGCGCAAACACAGCGCGGGCCTTCGGGGTATTGTCTGTCTGTACAGTAAGTACTCGCTCAGTCGATTGACCTTTGGAGGCGCTAACAAAGACACCTTGACGTGACGGCACATTGAAAATACCGCCAGAGCTGCCACTCGCAACGTCTCGGATGGCCTGGAGCTCTCTCGCTGCAGAAACCCTGTCATCTTCATGTCTTGAGTGCTAATCCGCGTACTGGTCATTCAGCATGGCTCGATGGGAGCATCATAAGCAAAGCATCTCCGGGAACTAGAGGATCAAGCAACGTACGTGCGTGACGTGCGTCGGACACCTCGCTCAGACTGAGGGAAGGCACAAGCATCTATCGCGCGGGGCCCCACCCTTCAATCGTGCCCCTGCCAGCGAGGATCGCCGAACGACACTTCACCGTCCGGTCTGTGCTGCACAGGGGCCTGGTTCGGCTCCCCTCCTGTGTTTTCCAATTTGCTCGGCCTCCTGGGGTCCCGCGGTGGCAAGGTCCTGGAGGTAAGTGATGAGCACGCGTTTTTTGTGTTGGACAATATTCAGTCAAGTTAATGGCCTTCATCAGGTCTCCGTGTGCCACCATGCTCCGGATCTTTGACAGAATGTGAAGTACTTCGGCCTGACCTCAGGCTCTCCCCGATGACATGCGGATACGATACATTGCCAATCTTTCGTAGAAGTGGCGCACCGCGCGCTGTCGCGTTCAGCGTCTCCGGTGGTCATCTGCCTCCTTCATTGCCCGGTTCGTCCGTACAGTCTTCCGGCGGCTCGTCTTTCGACCGCCAGCTTCTGCGAGACCGCCGTCTTCCAACTGGGACAGCAAGATGCTCCGGTGAAATAGTCGTCGTTGCTAGGCTCGCGGTATATAAGTCTGGTATCATGCCCGACATTATCACCAAGCTCAACCGCAAGCAAGTTCTTCCATATCCTCTTCTCAAACATTCTTACACTCAGTCATCGCAGCACAACACTATGCCTCTCAGCATCCAGAGCGTTCAAATGCACCTCATGATCGTTGCTGGGGAGTTGATTCTCGAAGCGGGACCTGCTCCTCGCCGTGACCCAAGAGCGGAACACATTCTGATTATCGGCGGCGGTGTGACCGGTTAACGGTGCGTCATGATTACTTAGCTGCCTGATTCATTAGAGGACACGACACTGAGACTCTCACTCATAGACTGCATGGGCTCTCTTGGATGCTGGTTACGGGCACCGTTGTCTCGACCGATGGGCCAACCCCAAGAATCGCATCACCTCTCAGATCGCTGGAGCCTTGTACGTGCAGTAGTCGCCCCTTCGAATCTGCTGCGTTCTAACTTTTACCGACCTAGGCGGGAATGGCCACCGGCCGTGTGTGGAAGACACACCGATGTCATCTCCCTGGAGCACTCGAAGGGATGGGCGATGTCATCTTACCACGTATTCGACAGGCTGATGGAGCTCCTGCCCGTGGAGGCCCACGGCGTCCGCATGTGCCTGGCGAACTTTTTCTTCGACCGACCGTTGGAGAATGTGCCTGATCAGTACGAGAAGATGATAGAGATTGAGCACTGTGGGGTAAGCCACGAGCGTCCATCGGTTTCCGCCTGCTCATGATGATCACAGGTTGCTGGATTCAAGCGAGATCCCAGCCTCGTGAGGCAGCATGCAGTAAACCAAAGAGCCGGCGTTGTCGACTCTTACCGCCATCTCGCCCCTGTTGTCGACACCGACCATTATATGGTCTGGCTACGGGATCTTGTCAGTCAGAAAGGGGCCACGCTCATCACAGGACGTGTCTCCGGTGACCTGAGAAGTGATTGTATATGAAGCCTGGGAGCGTGAAGGACCGCCCAGGGCCCGCATCATAGACCTTCCGGGCCGATGACATGAACGTCCTTGCCTATGGTCGCGGGCCGAAAAATATCTGCAAAGAACACTCGTTCACCAATTCTAGAGCCTCCGGTTATATATACGATGCCTTGCCTCAGGACATGGTAGGCAGCTCCCGACGGTCCGTGCCTTCCTACTTCCGTCTCTCGTCATGATCTCCGCTACTCTGGTCACAGTCTGCCTGTTGGCGGGCGTTGCGCTGCTACGCGCTCTCTCCTACCTGCGAATGCGAATCACTAGCTCAGCCATGAACAGCATCCCAGGTCCCGCGACGGGCTCTTTCTGGACTGGTAGGTATCGTCGCCACTACTTTGTCACCGCCTCTGAACGTGTTTATCAATTCAGGTCACATGAGCAACTTGTTCGACCGGCATGGGATGGAGTTTCATCAGAGCCTCGCAACGAGCTATGGCCCGAACTTGGCGACCTGTTTGGCAACGGTTTCCGAGTCCCTGATCCGAATCCTTGGCGACTTACACCCTACAGTAAACACAAGTCACCCGAATAACTGCTCTACGATACCGCGCGCATTGTATACCGCGAAGATTCTTGTCTTAGTCACCCGCTCTTTTGCTGCGAACTTGGAGATAAGTTACCATTGGACCAACGCCCGCACGGCGGCCTAGCAAGCCTCGCGGTCCACCACAAACACGGCCGATATATACAAAAGAACACCACCGGATAGGAGAGCGAATGACGAACATATACAGCACCAATTTGTACTCGTCCTCTCGCTCTCTTCGCGTTCTTCTAACGTCCACGTCTCGACGACTGGGGCAGCACGATTTGGGAGCCGCAACTAAGGATGAACATCAGGCATTGTTAGGTATGACCGAGCTATGTTTATCTGTAGATGCGGGGGGAGGGTATTGGGAAGTACTCGCCGGTAGGCGTGGTTTGCGTTTAGGTGGGTCCTGTGCACTCTCTATTGAAGCGCCAGCTGACGCTGGCAGCCTACCTCGTTGATGTCTTCCGCACACTCCCTCGCCGCTCAAGACAAGACGGATTCTCCTCGTGCTTACGCATGAGCCTCCGCAGACTGCGATGTACGATCCTTTTTATCACATTCAGATCGATTTGATCAAATCGCAGCGCCAAAGAATGTTACATCGTGTGGATACTGCAACAACGCCGACCTTATCACTCGATTGAAAGGTGGCGGAGAGCTTCTACGACGCCAGGTGCGAGGAACGGCGTACCAATGAGATGCAGATTAATGCTCATCCTGTATGAGAACCCCAGAACCTTGTCCGCCGAGCTCAATTGCGCATAGTCTGCCGTCTGTTTGTGACGCCTCCACGGCACCTATAAGCCATCCTAACACGAGATGGGTCATGAAGACGTGAGCTCTTGCTGTGCAGGCTCAGCTCCGATAACCGATACTTATGCGTGTTATTAAGGTTATGCGACGTCCTTGAGGCATGGCCACTGACGCCCAAGATAGCGCTCGTGCGCACACAGTGTGAAGCAATATAATGGGTGAGTTTCAGTGCCACAGCTCACATTATCTCTTCACCCGCCATGACTTCCGCCCATGAATCACCGCAGACTATCCTCCAGCAGATCTGCTCGCCAGAGGCGAACCGTGAGGACGTGGCCGTAGTCGTCCGCCTGGACGACGGAAACCTGCGTTTAAATCCAAGAGACTCTTGTTTCGAGGAATTTCTGACGTACTTGCATCCTAAGGTTGCTATCAAGGCATGTACACCCGCACTCAACTCTCTCTTGGCCGCCACGTCCGTAAACCTCCTGCTCTTGCGCCGCGTCATCTCATCTGTTGCAGTGGTTCCACAGCTTCGCTTGTCGATGTCGGCGATGGCATCGAGCTGCCAATCTACGACTCACTTGCATCAGTACCTCGCCGTGTGGCGTCGCAAGCTGCAGCTATTATCGTGAGTAATCTTCACCGGAATTCTACGCCTAGTGCTCATACTGTGGGGTGGACGTTAGCGGGATGTACCAGCTCTAGTCGTCTGGTCCGACGACGCAGATAGCATAGCGCAATGGTTCCTGCACGTAGAGCACCGGATTCGTCATTCTACCCGCATGTGCAGCTGCGCTGCGTTTCCGTCGTTGACGTCTGATAGCTCTCGCACGGCCTCAAACTCAGATTCAACCCAGGGCGACGACTGCCTCCTCACGTCGTCCAGTGGCGACGAATCGATCGACTGGTTTTTGTTCGATGAACCGTCGGTAGCGCTCTCTGAGCTGGAGGTGCCACTTGCCGTGGCGCCGTCCTTCGACCTGGACGAGCACAGAGACGGTGGTGTATCGCCACCTCAGATACGGGTACGTCTCTGCTGGACAAGATTCAAAGATGCAGACTGACCGACGTACAGCTCGATGGCAACGGCTCCGTCACGGTGGATATCAGCACCTTACATGAGAGGCTTTCGGCCGGCTTTTCGGCATCAGACTCGCTCTTGCCCTTGTCTAGTAGCAGATCATCCGACCTTCATCCGACGTCGACAATACCCCACGAACAGCAGACAATATCGCCTATGCTGCTGCAATCTTCTACGTATACCCCTGATTCCGCCACGCTCTCCCCTCTCTCACCGTCTTACGCCCCACTTTGTAGCGTATACACCGCCGCTTCCCCTCTGCGCACTCCGTCCACAATAACCCTCGATATCGACTCGGACTCACCAGCAATGAAGGCCTCCAGCCCCGAATCTGGAAGAGAACTGGACGCAGACTGGACGCCTCCACGCATCTCTCTTCTCTGGCACTCTCCTCACAGTCGTCGCGCTTGACGAGCCCTGTGAGTCACCATCATTTGTGGCTCAGGCAACCCCGATTTGCCATCTCAGCCCGACGTAGCGGCCGTGCCTACGAAAAGGAAGCGTGGTCCCTCCAACTTGTCTCAGTCTACCAAGGGTAAGACGAGCCGCTCAAGATCTCGTGCTCGAAAGCCGCTGCCGAAGCCACGCTCGAGCCGCATGACGGCTCAACCTCAAGTCCGCGAGCCTACATCCCTACCGGGGCGACGGGTACTCCCATCATATCGTCGTGGACCGAAGGAAGAGACGGAGCACCCTCCCGCGGTTCATCCAGAGTCTTGCCACTCGCATCACGATCACAACGCAGATTCCAGCCACGATGAGGACCCCACAGGCAGCGATCATGACGAACCTGCCGCGATTGATACGGACGGCGAGTTCGAAGTCTGCCGCGAATACCATGATAATGACAGCGGATCTAACGAAGATGCAGACGGTGAGTACGAGGTGGATGAAGACTACGACGATGAAGATTATGACCGCCCAGCGAAGAGGTCCCGCACAAGCAGCAGCTCAGTGACTGGACGTGCACTCTCCGAATGCAAGCGCTGTCGGAAGACCTTCGTACGCCCAGGAGACCTGAGAAGGCACGCGGATACTTCGGCATGCATGAATGGCGAGAAGAAGCATCTCTGCACCAACTGCGGAAAGAGATTATCTCGTCACGATGCTCTTCTACGGCATCACCGGAAGTGCCGTCCGAGACCACCAGTGGATCTAGAAGAAGCGCTTCCAGGAGGGAGCGTCCGACGAGCAGCTCTAGGTCGCCCGCGACGTCGTCCTGCCTGAGAACCCTATTGCGAGATTCTGGTTCTCTCTCTTCCACACGGACATAGTCTATACGTATACTCATGTAGTGTTGATGTTTTTTACAAACGAGCATATAAGTTGGACTCAGGGTTGTCGCAGAATAAGACTGAGTACCGTTACGAATATGCTTGCAATGCCTTGTATGCCGTCACATCTGCCAGTGGACCGCGCTTCCAGCCCTGACGTCATTCCATGGGGTCCCGGTCAATGCTGGCACAAGCCTAAGTATCGTTGACGCTCTCGCGATCGGCGCCGGCAACTTACCGCTGGCAGTAGGTCTCGGCGTCTCGCGACTCGCCCAGCGACAGATAAGATACGCCATCGTGGAGTCTGGACACCGTGACCTGTTCGAACTCGTGAAGCCCTCATAAGAGGCTGAGGCCATGCGTGCTAGAGCTCTGTTGCCAGCAAGTTGCCAGTGAGCAAGTTCTACCATGGCTCCCGTCCGCAACGCGTGCATCATCTTCAACGAGATCCCACTAGGTGAGTGTTTCGAATCGCAATGCCTCTAACTCTACGCGTCTACAATCCATGTATACGTATAGGGTATCCTGAGCCTGGAAAGACCGTCGTTTACGATTCCTCTCAAACCATCGATCCCGATACCGTCCTCTGGATGGGGGCTTCCTCGTGAAGGTCCGCGTCCTCTCGATCGATCCTTACATGAGAGGGAGGATGCGGGATCCATCTATCACGAGCTATACGGTAAGCAGTCATGTCATCAAGGTACCGCAGTTCGAGTTCCTGAGGGCCGCGCCAGCCAGCCTTCGACTTGGGGAAACCGTGAGTTGTATCTGCATCGAGAATGTTGATTCGAGGCTCTGATCTACCTGCAGGCTAGATAACTTCGGAGTGGGGCTTGTCGTTCGCTCTGAGAACCCGTCAGTCAAAGTTGGGCAGCATCTGTATGGCTTCTACGGTAGAGTCGTGTCCCCTTTTCTCAGCCGATAACCACTTGAATACCCGCGCTGCACAGCCTTCCAGGAATACTCCGTCTTCAAGGACCTGTCCGAGTTAAGACGTGCGCGTGTCTTGGAGAACAGGGAAGATCTACCTTGGTCGGTATATGTCGGCGTATGCGGGATGCCAGGTAAGCCAGCGCGCTCCATCTGTTGTTTCGCAGCGGCACGTACATTGAAGCATCCGGGTCCGCTGACGGTCTGCACAGGTCAGACTGCATTCTACGCATGGAATGAATTCGCAAGTGTCAAGAAGGTGATCTCGTCCGTTGGTCGGCCGACTCAAAGTTGTTCATGGGCACTCGCCGCTTGGGCAGGATGATGTTGTGTTCGTCACTGCTGGTGCGGGACCCGTCGGATCGTAAGTTGCAGTCTCCGCATAAGACCAATGTTGATCCGTACGCTGCCCCAGGACCGTCATTCAGCTCGCGAAGCAAGCGGGCTGCAAAGTGATCGCCTCGGCGGGGTCCGAGGAGAAGATCGCATTCCTCAAGTCCATCGGTACCGACGTCGCGTTCAACTACAAGACAGAGAAGACGCTCGACATCTTGCAGAGAGAGGGCCCGATCAACATGTGCGCACCCATACTGTCGGTGCGATTGCCTAAGTATTCAAACCGATCATCATAGATACTGGGACAACGTCGGCGGCGAGAGCCTAGAAGCCGCGCTAGACGCAGCTGCGCCGCATGCGCGGTTCATCGTGCGCTCATCCCTGCACCGCTCCCTAGCCGCATCACCTTACGCTACCTTCTACAGATGTGCGGCATGATAACGTCGTACAATACTGCGGACGACTACCCCGTCAAGAACCTCTCCCAGATCTTCGCCAAAAGCCTCACGCTGTACGGCTTCACCGTCTCGCCCCTGCACGACAAGTACAGCGACCGATTCTACAACGAGGTCCCGCAGATGGTCAAGGAGGGGAAGATCAAGTTCACGGAGGATGTGAGCAGGGGCTTGGAGAGCACGGGCGAGGCCATTCTGGATGTACAGAAGGGCAGGAACAAAGGGAAGAAGGTCATCCTGGTCGCGGAGAAGTGAAGCTAGTCTCTTAATTTGTATGTAATACTGTATACTATAGCGCGCATGGACAGTCTCCGGTCATTTGACCGAGGCCCACGTTTCTTTGTTTGATCATTATGCCATCGTGCTTTGTACCGCCTCGCACGGCTGAGACAGCGCGTATGTGAGTTATACCTGGGCCATGCGATTCGTAGGAGGAGGTCAGTTCGTCGCATCCACGAAGCGCCTCACGGAAACACGTCGGGGAGCCTTAGGCATCACTCGGCATAGCTCGCCGCTGAGGCCTGAGGCCTGAGGGGCCGCGACGTCGTGGTCCTGCATGAGCACCCCATTTGCGGGAGCTTTCTACTAGCTTGCAGCACGGAGTAGCCTGATGTAGTTTTGCTGTTTTCTGCAAACAAGATGGCAAAAGAGATAGCTTGAGGTTGTCGCAGAACAAGACTGACTCAGTACACTTATGATATGCTTGCAATGCCGGCCATGGCGTACTTGTGACTGAATTGACAGAAGGAGCAGTAAGTAACTGGCGTTCAGTATCAACGTCACGCTACGGGCCGGCCTTTGCCGGTGGGGCCTGCATGAGATCTGCCGCAAGGTCGCGAGGCCGTCGACGTCGAAGACGGGGTTGCCCTCCTCCATCACATCTGAGTACTTCTTATTCCACAATTGCGACAGACGTACATGTCCTGACAGTTGCCTACAACGCCTATGCGGCTGAGTACTGCGGCCCGCACTGAACCACCTCCTCCACCGGACATCTATTGCTCCCCGAATCTCGTGCGGATGTTTCTATAAATCGGCCATCTATATGTCTACTTGTCGATGTCACTTGTGATGATCCCAAGGGAAGCAGAAGAATCACGAGCGACTTCCCACCAGTCCTCGGATCATGAGTAGATCACTCGTCTACATTTTGCTCAGACACCTCGCGCCAACCTGTCCCGTACCTCCACACCATCCCAACACCGTCAACTGCACTACGACCGCCCGAGCCGTTCCCTGGCCAGTACTGCTCGCTGCAACCGTCTTTGCAAGTCGCAGTCACACGTTCACAGTTGAATGATGATTGCCACCAGATTACCAGGTCGTTCCGCAGCCCACTGTCCAGTGTCCGCAGGCTGTCATCTCCGCGCTTCTCGACGTCAATCTATAGGACCACATTAGCGCAGACACCGTGACTCACTCGACCGATGAAGCATAAAAGCCTGAGGCCATGTGCCAGCGCGCCAGAACTCTGTCGCTATTTCTACCATGGCTCCTGTCCACAACGCGTGTGTGATCTTCAACGAGATTCCCATCAGGTACGTTTTTCGAATCGCAACACCCATACATGTGTGTAACCTCTGTGTGCATGTAGGGTATCCAGAGCCCGGAAAGACCGTCGTCTACGATGCCTCCCAGACGATCGATCTCGATACCGTCCCATTAAACGGGGGTTTCCTCATGAAGATCCTTGTCCTCTCGATCGATCCTTGGATGAGAGGAAGGATGCGCGACCCGTCTATCAAGAGCTATTCGGTAAGCAGCCCGCATGATCTCCAAAGTTCGAATTCTTGAAACCGTGCCAGTTGCCCTTCATCCTGGGGAAACCGTGAGTTGTGTCTGCCTCAAAGTTGTTGATCCGAATCTCTGATCGACCCATAGGCTAGACAACTTCGGAGTGGGACTTGTCGTTCGCTCCGACAACCCGGCAGTCAAAGTTGGGCAGCATCTGTATGGCTTCTATGGTACAGTCGCATCTCCGTTTTTCACCTCACAATCACTTGAATACTCGCACCCAAAAGCCTTCCAGGAATACTCCGTCTTCAGGGACCTGTCCGAGCTGAGACGTGCGCGTGTCCTGGACTTGGGGATCAAGGAAGGTATACCTTTGTCGGCATATGTTGGCGTATGCGGGATGCCAGGTAAGCCAAGGCACTCCATCTGCTGTCCAATAGCAGATTGGGACATCCGGATCCGCTGACGGTCTACCCAGGCCAGACTGCATTCTATGCATGGAACGAATTCGCAAATGCAAAGAAGGTATTTTCGCCCGTCGATGAGCCAACTCGTTGTTCATGCACATCCGCTTGAACAGGATGATGTCGTGTTTGTCACTGCCGGTGCGGGGCCCGTCGGATCGTAAGTCATGAGCTCAAGAAGAAGCGAGTACTGATCCTCTGTGTGTTGCGCAGGACCGTCATCCAGCTCGCGAAGCAAGTGGGCTGCAAAGTGATCGCTTCAGCGGGATCCGAGGAGAAGATCGCTTTCCTCAAATCCATCGGTACCGATGTCGCGTTCAACTACAAGACAGAGAAGACGCTCGACATATTGCAGAGAGAGGGCCCGATCAATATGTGCGCACCCATACTGTCGGTGCGGTTGCCTAAGCATTCAAACCGATCGTCATAGATACTGGGACAACATCGGCGGCGAGAGCCTGGAAGCCGCGCTCGAGGCAGCTGCGTGGCATGCGCGGTTCATCGTGCGTCCATCCGTTCATCATATTCCAGTCTCATTGTTTCATACTACTCTGAACAGATGTGCGGCATGATCTCCTCGTACAACAGCGAGAACGACTACCCCGTCAAGAACCTGTCCCAGATCTTCTCGAAGAGCCTGACGCTGTACGGCTTCACCCTCTCGCATCTGCACGCCAAGTACGTCGACCGGTTCTATGACGAGGTCCCGGCGATGGTCAAGGAAGGGAAGCTCAAGTTCAATGAGGACGTGAGCAGGGGCTTGGAGAGCGCGGGCGAAGCCATTCTGGAGGTACAGAAGGGCAGGAACAAGGGGAAGAAGGTCATCCTGGTCGCGGAGAAGTGAAGCGGGTCTCGTAATCAGTATGTGAGTCTGGCAAGTAGTCGTGCTGTCCCGCAGGAGTTAAACTTCACGTAAAAAGACCGCAAATCAAGTTGTATACTATAGCGCGCACGGGCAGTCTTCGGTCATTCGACCGAGGCCCACCTTTGTTCGACGCGAATGCATTATGCCATTGTGCTTCGTACCGCCTCGCGCGGCTGAGGCAGCGCGTATGTGAGCTGTACCTGGGCCGTGCGATTCGTAGGAGGAGGTCAGTTCGTTGCATCCATGAAGCGCCTTACGGAAACACGTCTGAGAGCCTCGGGCATCACTCGGTATAGCTCGCCGCTGAGGCCTGAGGCCTGAGACCTGGTACCTACAGCGATGCATTGTTGCTCTCGAGCTTGCGGATATATAAAAGGGGTGGGAGATAGGCATGTCTGCATAAGCGGTTACACCAATGGCTCCCATCCGGAATGGACGCGTGCTCTTCAATGAGATACCCTCAGGTAAGCATCTGGACTCACCAACTGCCTCTGCTTCGATAGTTGCGCTCATATCGTACTGCGTAGGTTACCCAGAACCCGGGAAGACTATGGTCTATGACGACTCACAGCTCATCGACGTCGACAATGTGTCTCTCAATGGCAGATTCTTGATCAAGGTACTCGTTCTCTCAATTGATCCGTACCTACGCGGAAGAATGCGCGACCCCAGTATCAAGAGCTACTCTGTACGTTGTTTATTCAAGCGCGAGTGCATATATGCTGATGCTCTGCCAGATGGCGTTTAAGATCGGAGCACCGTGAGCGCGTTCATCAGCCCTTCACTCAGTTCAGCGTCTAGTACTGACGCCGTGTTTTCGAAGGATGGACAACTTCGGAGTAGGCGTTGTGCTCCGTTCCGAAAACGATCAAGTCAAAGCTGGAGACCATGTCTATGGTTTCTATCGTCAGTCGATCTCGCACAAATGTCCACGCGGATGGACCGGCGCTCACAGCAATACCCTCAGCATTTCAAGAATACGTCACGTTCAGAGAAATCTCCGAATTGCGCAGAGCACGAGTACTCAAGAACGAGGGAGGCCTGCCGTGGTCTGTGTACGTTGGTGTCTGCGGTCTAGCCGGTCAGTACCAGGCCCCAATCAGATGGAGGCTTCCATGGATGACAGTGCACTGACACAACGAACAGGCCACACGGCGCACCATGGCTGGGTAGAATTCGCAAAGCCTAAGCAGGTACGATTTTTTGTTCAACGGACACGTGTAGGGTATATTTATTGCGCACCGACCCAAGGGTGATGTTGTATTCGTCACCGCCGGCGCAGGCCCAGTCGGCTCGTAAGCGGTCACTCGAACACTCCGGATCATCCTCCGCTCATGTTATGACTCAAGGACTGTCATTCAGCTCGCGAAACAAGCAGGGTGCAAGGTGATCGCATCCGCCGGCTCCGAAGAAAAGGTTGATTTCTTGAAATCCAATGGGACCGACGTGGCGTTCAATTACAAAACTGAGAAGACACTCGATGTGCTGCTGAAGGAGGGTCCCATCGACATGTACGTTAGGAGCTGAACGCAGTCCTCCTAACGCTGACAGATCGGGTATTACGCAGATACTGGGATAATGTTGGCGGGGAAAGCTTTGATGCCGCTCTCGAGGCCGCAGCATGGCACGCACGTTTCATTGTCAGTCTCATGTCTTATTTCCCGCTGCCGCCTGCTTATCTGCTCCGTGGTGACAGGAATGCGGCATGATCTCCGCATACAACAACGCGAACAGCTACACCGTCAAGAACCTTCCGCTCATCTTCGCCAAGAGCCTCACACTGTATGGGTTCACCGTCATGGACTTCCACGACAAGTATGCGGAACGGTTCTACGAGGAAGTCCCGCGGATGGTGCAGGAGGGGAAGATCAAGTACACCGAAGACGTTAGCTTCGGACTGGAGAGCGTAGGTGAAGCGATGCTGGACGTGCAGATGGGGAGGAACAAAGGGAAGAAGATCGTAGTAGTTGCTGACGAGTAGGTGCTACTGTCATGATTCCGCCGTATTTTCACGGTGGCACATGGAAGCATCTCGTCGACCGAATTCATAGGGCGGCGTAATTTCAGTTGTTACGGTTATGCTGTCTACATACGTGCACAATGTCTCAGACGTTCCCTGCTACACAGCATGGACCTGTCAAATCAGCAGAGTCATCACAGCGAGTACTTCTGGCAAGTGCGTTGTGTCCGATGTCACTAGTACAACATGGAATACACAGCTATGTAGAAATGTCTCGATAGCATCTGAGGAGGTACTCTCGGCTTCGCGCTCATGCGGGAGCACCCCTCGACCACTCTCGCTCATTGCCGGTCTAGCAGAACGTCAAGGTGTACGCCGTGGTCGTAGTGCATTGGAAGGTTTGGCCGCAGCCATTACCCTCGCCGTCCGGACCGGTGCAGTCCACAGCCGCGACCGAGCCTATTCACATATTAATCGCTGTCAGGAACCGTCCCGGATTCAAAAGCTAGATGCTTACATCCTGGGCCGGGCGTGATAGTCACCGGGATATTATACCCGTCGACTTCACTCACACCGAACGAGTCCTGTCCGTTCGTCCTGCACCTCTCACTATCAGCTGCGCAATTGACATGGAAGACATAGCGCGCTCACACGTTGAGGGCGAACTGCGCGATCGTCGCCGTCCCCGACGTCGGGCCCGTGCAGCTCTCGCCGCCGGGGCATTGGCCAGTGGCGCAGTTGCCGTTCGCGTCGCAGCCCGTGCGGCCCCAGATCTGGCCGTCGTAGTCGTTCGCGAGGAGCACCGTCGCGGAGGGGTGCGTGGAGTTCAGCGCGAACCCGCCCGTCTGGGTCTGGTTGAACTCGACGGTGGGGTAGAACGCCGCGTCGACCTGGAATTCACAGTTGTTGTTGAGGGTCACGAACGAGCTGTGGGGCAAGCGGGACGTCAGCCAATGGATACTGTGGTGGCGAGAACGGCAACCTACGCGGAGGAGAGGGCGGTGAAGACACCGAGGATGACAGTGGCGATTCCGAACATGTCGTTGATGGCCTGTCTGGCTCAGTGCTTGTCGTCTTCTGGTAAGCTGAAGGCTTGCTGGACCTCGCCAGAAAGTTGACTGTCTTATACTCCCAAACAGCAGCGCCTCACGCTACTGACAGGCGCGTCCGCCACACAGAGAAGGCATGTATCTGCCGCCCTCTGTGCACCTGACGAGGCGTAGAGGGGACCAACGCGACGTATGTTGGCAGCACGTTTGCAAATGTCGGGCGGGCGCGATGACCGATTAGGTCTGGTTCGTCCGCGAACGCGCGCCGCGCAGACCAACGTGCATATGTGGTCGAGCGGTAGACGGAAGTATGGGCGGCTCGCGAGCTGAATCCGTGGGTGCCGGATGTTTTCGAGGACGTATGCGGGGACTCCACCCCGCCAAAGGGCTGTACATGTGGGCCGGACGCTGCGGTGGCGCGAATCAAGAGGTACATCGCAGAGGAATACGGGAGGACGACTCAACGGATTATTTGACTTCTGTCAGTGGACGAGCGGTGAGTCCACCAAGGGCACTGCTGCTGTAGAGCAACTGACGTAGCGGCGATGTAAAATTCCTCCCGAACGAGTGATACGATATAGTGGCGAAGTACACTTGAGGAACTCCAGCTCGTGAAAGACCAAGTGGACAACTCACAATGTACTATCTGAGCGACGAGACGCGAGAGTTGCGTCTGCCCCGCTGTCGGACGGTGATTGCATCCCTCGAGGATTGGCCGGGAAGGTTGAGGGCACAGTTTGCACTCACCTTGGCTTGGACGCCAACCAGAGGAATACAAAGCATTGGGTATACTTGCGCGCTCGTCATTGACAGGCTCAAGTTTCAACTCGCCGATTTAGCCACATTATCATTCCCCGCCGCGCTACCGTCCTGCCATTAGTTCCGGGTCCCAGTATCGTGTAGACGCATGCTCTGTGTTCATCGGAGGTCAACGGGTTCAATTTTAAGACTGTTTAGTCAATATTGCTGTCAAAGGCACCGATCGGAACAAGTCGGAATATGTAAACAAGACAGTGACTTTCCGAGTATTTCTTTATAAAACGAGCGGTGTCCGCTAAGGCGCCGCTAGTGCTGGGTGGAGCATGGACATCGCACGTGTAGGGATTACGCTGAACACCCACACCTTGCCACACCGGACTGTCCTTCATCCCGACGGTGAACCGCTCAGTATTCGGAGGGTGCATAGAGACGCGAGAACTGAAGAACTGATGCGCATGGGGCGTTTCGGATCTGGTCTGCCAAAATGTGCGGTCTTTCGGACTCTGAGCGCGTCGCTGTTGCGCCAGCCTGTGACCGCAGACATAGCTGCTCTGCATCGTACATGCAATACTACGACTCGTCTAACGAGCGGAAGGTGGCCTTCAGCCAGTTCAAGCAGTTAGAGCACAGGTCACCCAGGCTCGGTGGAGTAACTCACCCGGAATGGAGGATCACAGCCTGAGGATACTGTCGTCTTTATGCGACGTGCGGAGCGAATCATGACGCAACACGATGACCTCGAGAGCCCTCATTCGAACAGTGCCGCCACGCCAGTTCTGCGTTTCCTTGCCACAGTGGTAACGGGACGCCGTCCGGTTCTCCCGAGGCGGTATTCCGAGTATTGCTTTCCATCGAAAGGTGGGCGCAGACGATGCAGGAAGCCAGCGGCAGCTGTCCATGTCAACGCTCGTGCTAGCGTCGCGAGTCTCCAGACTTGCCTAGGCCCGCCACTAGTGCCGACTTGAGTGCCACTCTATATTAGCCATTAAGCTTCATGACGAGTCTCCGCACTTCGATGTCAATTGAGCTCTGAACGGTGAAATCAGGTGTCCGCTAGAGCAGTGAGAATGTGGCCTGGGACTCCGAGTCGGAGGAAAGGAGAGAACGCGAGAAAGGAAGCTCAGTACAAAGTCAAACGCTTGCTGATGTACCGGTACGTACTGGTACGTACCGTACGTGTTTCACACGTGACCGGAAACATACCGTACCTCAGGCGTCTATTTTGTTTGAGTGGGCCTCATACTTACAGCGGTCGACGTCGTCCATCGTCTCCGAGTCCGTGCGCATGCACGTTCGACTTTCTCTGGCCTCCACTTCCCGAGACAGCCGCTCGAATTCGTCTGGATTCGTCCCTGACTGAAAGACGCTCTGGCTACGGGGACGTATGGCCGTCGATGATCCACGCTGTCTCCCAGGCGTCCGTGACCGCTCACAAGACCGCCGAGAGCGGGGCCTCCAGACCGCGCATGCAGTGCGAATCTCGTAACGAACGCGGGGCCCATGGCATCCCGCACGCTCTGGAATCCGAATTACCTGACAATCCCTTGCAATGCCCTGCGCCTACGCAATAAATGCTCTCAGTATGACCTCACGCATTGACAGCTCCGGGCGCACCGCGGCGAGGGCATGCCATCTGACGATGCGCTACGTCGGATGGGCTCGAGGGGAGGAGCTATAAATAAGGTGAGCAGCATCGAGAGCCTTCAAGCCAGGATCTCCTACTCATTACATCCTCGACCCACCACATCCAGCCTACACCTCTACCATGTTCGCCCACACCGTCCTCGTCCTCGGCGCCCTCGCAGCGACCGCATACGCTCAGTAAGTGCAGCCCAAGCATCGTACCTCACTCGCGGTTGACCCTCTGCCTCTCGCAGGACCACCATCACGCTCACTAACAATTGCGTGTACGAAGTCGACCCCGCGTTCTACCCCGCCGCGACCGCCTCCGACGGCTCGTCTACCGGTGGCTTCCCGCTCCATGCAAGCTTTTCCGCCGACGTAACGCTCGACCCGACCTACTCCGGGCGCATCTGGGGCCGCACGGGGTGCGACGCCGACGGCAACTGCTCGACGGGCGAGTGCCCCGGCGGGGAGAGCTGCACGGGCCCTGCGGCTGCGGGCCCGACGCTCGCCCAATTCACGCTTGACGGGTGCGTCATAAGCGCGGTGGTGTGCCTGGAGCTGGAGAGCTGACTGTGCGTGTAGGTACGCTGGCCTGGACTATTTCGACCCGAGCACGACGGACGGGTTCAACGTCGCCGTGACGATCACTCCCGGTCCCGGATGTACGTGTTCCTTATGTTTGGTCGTGGATTCGCCGTGCTGACGCGACTTGTCTGCAGGCTCGACGGGCCCGCAGTCCTGCACGGCTGCAGGCGAGGGCACCGGGTGTGGCGACACCTCGACGTGCCTCACCGGCACGAACTACACTATCTCGTTCTGTTGAACGTGACGATGGACGCGTGGACTGTTTCAATAGGACGTTTGTTGCACTCGCATTTGGACTGTCTCGTGCTCGGACATGATCTTGGACTGTATGACAATATCGAATACAAGCTCTGTTGTCTGCAGTGATGATGCTGCGGTCGCTCCGTATTGTAGCAGTGAGTTTTGTAGTTTCGTCGAATCTGATACGCGTACGAGGCTGAGAACACAATAGCCAGTCGGTGTGGGCGTAGATGGGTTCGACGCATAGTAGCAGACAACAATAGTGTCCCGAGGGGTCTAACGTGAACAGCCCGTCTGACTACCCTTCTCGAGGCGACGCTCCTAGTATATAACGGACACAGCGAGCGGATGCAGACACAACATCTTTCCTCTCGACTCACTTCCACCGCACAAAAGCTACTTACCACCGTCATGTACATGCATCGAACATACTTCATAGTCAGTCTTCTGCCTACATCCCTTGGAAGCACCGCTCACCACCCATTTCAGACGCGAATCGGCGAACGACAGCCCGACACGACCGGGCCCGCTCGCTACGACGTATGCCTCAAATGCCGTCTCACGGAGACGCAGAGTCACGCTCAAGTGCAATGTGGCCACCTGCGCACTTCGCCAGTCGCCGCATGACGGACTGCTGAAGACGCGGACTGGAGTGCCCGAGGCCGCCAACACATGCGGCTTCGATTACGACGTCGACACACGAATGGGGCAATCTTCATCCCTGCCATCCACGTCGTCGTCGGAGTGCTCGGTACGTGGCAACCTCATCAGGAAGCGCGTGGCATGGAGTCCGACCCAAATCTTCCTTCCGACTGGCGGGCGACACCCCTCGAAGACACGCGGCGATGCCTTCGGACGTCATGGTTCTTGTCGGCATGTGGGGGGGGCTGCAGGGTGCTACGAAGGACCACACGAACCGCGTCGACTTCCTCGATGCGTGCCGTCTTCCCCGGTGGGCGTGCAATGACCAGGCCGTACACGGTCCGCATCTTCAAGGAAGCTTATCTACTTCGCGTACCCGCTGGTCTCGAGGTCTCAAGTTGGCTTGTATGCTGACCGGTCTACCGCAAGGCCGGGCATGGCTGAAGCAGTCGAGGCGGACTCGGTAGTGGAGACATCCCTCGCAAAGTGCGCAGGCGATCACGGCCGTGAACCGGGGCGCGTACATCACCGAAGTTCCTGAGTATGCAAGAGGTGCAGAAGGCGTAGACGTCTGCAGCGAGACGCGCGAGGATCAGGCAACAGGGACGGGATGGGATCGCTAAGCGCACCTAGTCGGGCGCGCGTTGACAATGGTACCCTCTCCAATTGATCACAAATCCGCCTTCGAGGGCCTGCGCTGCAGACGTGCGACAGCTCCCGCTCAATACCACTCTGTATCAAGGGCCGTGCTGCGCGTCTATACCGGCAGGTGCAAGCATATCGCAACAGCGCATCTCAAGAGCTCCAAAAAGGGATGCCCTTACTGCAGTGCAGCTTTGTCGCGCGCAGACGGTGTGGTTCGTCACGTCCGAACCGCCTGCTCAAAGGCGCCCAGACGTGAGGAACTTGCAAGGGCGTGTCGAACTGCTAGGCGAGAAATGATGGTGAGCGCCCCGTCCTCTGTTGGAATGCGCTACTGCTCAAGAGGCGCAAATGACCTTGGGATGCTCGCCACGCAGTGCTGACCTGTTGTTCTTAGTGCTCGGATAACGCGTTCAACGCGGCCGGTGCAGCCAGGCGCAGCCAGCGGTCGTCGCGAGCACCTCAAGATCGCATGCCACTAACGTGGCGACGCATCAACACTTCGCCGGAGTAACCCTTCTCACGGCATGCCAGTATGTTCGAGTTGTCCCTGACGCTTGGTCGTTCACTCTAGTTTTCATTCGGCGCATCCAACTCATGCTCTCCCGGAGTCCTCCCTCCTTGGTTATTGATGCCATTCCACCAGTACCTCCCCATGATACGACACACATCTGGATCTTTGGCACCTTGCACGATTCGTTTGTAGCTGTGCTACGCTGGCCCTCCAACTGCATCATCAACATGAGGCTCGGACATCGTTGTATCGTGCGCTTGACGAACTCTCGTAACCCTGCAGCCCCATGAATGTTTGATATCGATGCTTGGTGCAGATACTCAGCAGTGGAGACATCCCTCGCAAAGTGCGCACGCGACATCGACGACGAATCACGGCCCGTGAACCGGGACGCGTGCACCACCGTCGTTCCTGAGGATGCAAGAGGCGCAGAAGGCGTAGACGTCTGCAGCGAGATGCGCGAGGATCAGGCAACAAGGACGGAATGGGATCGCTAAGCGCACCTAGTCGGGCGCGCGCTGACGATGGTATCCTCTCCAACTGATCACCAACCCGCCTCCGAGGGGCCAGCGTCGCAGACTCGCAACAGCTTCTGCTCAATACCATTCTGTATCAAGGGCCGTGCTGCGCGTCTGGCCTGGCAGGTGCGCGGCCTGGGTACCGTCGCCTTTGGATACCGATACCTCGAGCATCGTTCTCGCTCACAACATTGTTACCGCATGCAATGACCTCGTCAACACCTTGTCTCCATTCAACAACGGTGCAGTGAGGAAGGGCAGAGGGGCGAGCTGCAAATAATGACATTGACTGGGACGGTCGGCATGAACATCCAGACAAGGGGCTGCTTACATGGGACTGGGCAGGCTACCAGTATGGTACCCGTCGTCTATGACCTTGTCCGCCAGAGATGAGCGCTGAGAATCAGTTGTGGAAATAATCGTCATTCCATTGTCATCCGATGACGATACTTATTAGCGCGAAGTATGTGGCCGACTCGACGCTCGATTCCGCCACCGCCTTACTAGAGAGTTTGGCAGCCTGTGAGTTCCGCCCACAGACCACGCTCGCACCGACTCTGTCAGTCTGCGGTGGGCGTGACCGGGCGCCGCCGCCTCGAGCGTGTCGTGAGCGAATTGCCATGAATGTAGGAGTGTCACGCCGTCATCGGTCCACTCTCGACCAGCCCACGGAGCCCCACCACCACCAGACCTCAGCTCCACCTCCACCGTTCAATTCAACTTCAACAGTTGTTTCCAAACTCTCTACTGTGCATACAACGCCCGCAAGCATCGCGATAGTTTTATTCTGACATGCAACGTGGATAACCGACCAGCGACTCGAATGGACGACTCGGGCGTGAGAACAGATGGATCCACACACGCGCCCACCTCCGAAGTTAGGGCGTTGTTTCTTTTCTGAGCCTTACCGCAGTGGTCTCCCGAAACCGAGCTCACTTGCAGCGACGATATGAAGAACTCCCATCATTGCGTCAATTGTCATAGTTTGACACGCTAAACGACCGTCCTGATTTAGCTCTCAAGGTCCCGGGAAGTACTTAGACCTGAATCCGCAGTGCTTCATCCGACGGGCCTTTCAGCGCGAGGAACACTACCTCCATCGAATGTCTTGTTTGCCACGTCACGTCGTGTATCGAAGGGTATGGTGACCATGTCCACAGTCCACCCACATGCCAGGTTGTTGGTTGAACCTCGGTTTAACACAGTCGCGTCGTGCATCAACGCGATCACCTGACCGTATCGGTACCGTTTGTTACCATCACCACGTGTGTACGTTACGAGTCCTATTGCGCGGCTGTTCTTGCGCTGGTCGTCTCTGCTTTCTTCGGATGATACATGCATTTCAACGTATGCCGCATGCGCAGCGTTGCATTCGTATGCTCAGCTTCGCTCGTGCAGCACAGTGCTATCAATGCCACGACCAAGGAATGTGGGCTCCCAGGGAGAAGGGTATCACCATGGTGTCGGTCATAACTCGCCGTGGATGATCTCATTAAATCGCACCCGTCAGCAACCCGCCAGGCTGCAGTGCAACATTGTCTGCGTCGGGCAGGGTGTTTACATACACTCGCCGCAGAAGCTGTGTGCACCCACTGGCACAGTGCCCGCCAAGGCTGTCCAACGCCGCTGATATACCTACATGCGGAGCCCCAGAGAACACCGCGTGTGGCTGGTGCGGCGACCGTACGCCATGATGTGGTGGCGCGCTGGTCTTTGGTGTATATAAGAGAGGGAGACGACGGTGAGTGTCGACTAGGCCATCTCATCCGCTTCGCATTCTTCGTCTGACCACCTCCGCTCCTCGCTACTCATTCCACGATGTTTGTCGCACATCCGCTGTCCTCGCTGCTCTTGCTGCTATCGCGTCTGCGTAAGTGCACCCCAACCCAGCCAGTTCGCGTCCTCGCAGCTGACTCAGATTGGAATACCTGTAGGACGACTGTCACTGTGACGAACAACTGTGGCTACGAAGTCGACCCGGGCTTCTACCCCGCTGCGACTGCCTCCGACGGTTCCTACACCGGCGGGTTCGCCGTCGCTGCAGGAGCTCTTCATCCGTCTCGCTCGACTCGGCGTGGACTTCAGGCGGGCGTATCTGGGGCCGCACGGGCTGCGACGCATCGGGCAACTGCCAGACCGGCGGTTGCTCCGGCGGCGAGAACTGCACTGCGCCTGCGGCAGTGGTGTTACGCTCGCGCAGTTCACCATCAACAGGTGAGTCTGGGAAAGGCAACGGAGAGGGGCTCGGGTGCTGACTACGTGCTGTGTGTAGCTGGGAAAGCTTGGACTTCTTTAACCCAAGCACGACGGATGGATTCAACGTGGCGGTGACGATCACTCCTGGGACTGGATGTACGTTGCATGCTGATTTCCCTCGTCTGAACGATTGAACTCTAACTCTGCCTTTGCGTGTAGGCACTACCGGCGCCCAGGCTTGTACCGCTCAGGACGAGGGTGACGGCTGCGGCATGACGAGCTCCTGCCCGACGGGCACCGACTACACTGTCTCGTTCTGCTAGCGCAGGTCTAAAAGTGTTGATCCCTGTGAAGGGTAGTCCTGAAAGGCGTGCTAAACATAGGGATAATCCCGGACTTTGAGACTGTTAGTCCCCGTTGTTGTACCTTACGATTGATCATGTTGTAATGGAGTACGTTGCCCTACGGAAAGAGCGGGCGATCGTTCCCTCATGTTGCTAGACCGGCACGTCTCACAAATACGCAGCGCCATTGGTTGACATCCTCTACCCGAGCATCCAGCAGTCTATTGCTACACATCCACTGGCACGACTTCTCCTGTGTCTCGCGGAATCTCCTGTACGCTAGTATCGAACTCCGTGATTCGTGTTCTTCCTGTAGGGCTCGTGTCTGCTGCTCCACATCGTCCTCTTGATCGATCCCATTGTTTCTTCTGCCTCTTTATCTTGTTCGTACTCAATCGAGCCTCCGATGCAGCCAAACGCTCTCTGAAATTGGGCGTCGGACATCTCAGAAGCACGTGATGGTATATCGGGAACCAGGCCGCTTCGCGCAGATTGAGGAGGAAGCGGGTCTGTATGACCGTCTGGAGGCTAGTTAGAGGTTTCGGGTAAAGGGGATATATGCGTGAGCTTGTGAGCCGTTTCGATGACGCGTGACTCACGTCAAATTATGTCAGTCAACCCCGAGAACCACTGCAGGTGAAGCCTTAGTGATCGTCGCAAGCCCGAGGAGATGATACGCACCATCGTGGAGGGCACGAGACTCAACACAGTGCTGGAAATATTGAGCAGTAACATTGCACTGTAAACAGATAGGCGTCAGCATTACTAGATGTGCTCTCATGCCCGCCTGTAGCTCGGCATACCCGAAATACAAACTTCCTGAGGAGATCAATCGTGTCTATCAGAACTTGACAATGCATGAAACAAACGAGTTGATGTACCATCTCTGAGTAGCAAGGTTGACACTGATGCGCTGACGTCGGCACGATCAGCCATTTCTTGGTCTTATATGTTCGCCGCCACGTAACGGCCAGCACGAGCCCGTTCCCAATTGCCGATGTCGCTGTGGCAATGTTACCCACTGTGACGTTCACGTGCGCTCATGTTAATGCATCGTCGAAGTCAGATTGTGATGAACACGCACAACTGTTTCAATACGAGCATGTTAGTTTCTCCAGATCCAAATAACATCGCCACGTACTCGTTCAAAACGTCTCATTAGCAGGTATATGAAGCATCCTGTCACGTCAGGATCCGGGAACGAGCAGGGTGCACACCTGGTACTGTGCAGAATACAGGTGACGTTAAAGACACTCTTTCTAAGGTGCATACGCACCAGTAGATATACAGGGTCTACAGGAGGATGCCGAACACAATGAAGGCCCCCCGCCGGTCAAGCCCTTAATGGCATATATCGTAAAGCAGGAATCACTTAGTGATATGATTCAACTAGCGTCGAGAATGATCAAGTAACGGTAGCTGGCGCACCTGCACTATCAAGCGTAAGGATCACCAGGGATGCCGCGCTGACAAGGGCCATCGAATAATCGCTGCACATCACGGCATCAGAATTCAGTCATCATCGAGCGAAGAAGGTCGCATACATCTACCAAAGGACTACTATGTCAGTGACAACGTACGGAACATGCAGTCACGGCAAAGCGTACCTCGCAAGAACTGGTGTACATGAGCGCAACGCTGGAGATGTAGAACACCAGTGTCATCAGGCGCAGAGCGCCATACAAAAACGTCATAAGCGACAGCTTCCGCTGCCATATGAACCTGACTTCTTCTCGAGAAGTAAGCATTGATCATAGACTGCAATTGCTGCAATGTGCGTCTGTTGCCTCAGTAGGATGTTTACGCATACATGGCCCATGAACATGGATCACTGACCAAAGGCAGAAAACGTGCAATATCGCGTGACGAAACTTGGGGCCGGAATGAGTTGACCAGACAGGTTGCTGGTAAGTGGTGTGTACTCACCCAGCTGCGAGAACGCCATCGATCGCTTGAAGTTGGGCCTCGTTTCCAGATGACATGCTGCTGTAGGACTCTGGGGGTCAGCCGCTACGAGTCAGACACGCTTTATATGTGAGGAAGAAAAGCCATTCGGAGTACGCATTCAGCCATATTTCGTTTTCAGACGTTAACGAATGTGCCACGGCATCCTGCGTGCCCACAAGGTGAGTGATTTGCAAGCTGTGCCCTGGCCACAGAAGGCGTCCTGGTGAAGCCATGCAGTGACAACTGTATGCTGCGCGAAGCAGTCGTGCATGTGATGTTCGGACTGATAATGACCGTGGTTACACACTGGCAGAGAAGCCCGGCAGCAGGATGCATCGAAGTTCATGATATGACATTGTCAAAGCGCCGACGCACTTGAGACATATGAGGTAAGTGCTCAGGCTGTTGGTGAGCAGGAAGAAAATACGGTTCCTAAGACTCGGATCTAAGTAAAATAGAATGGACGTAGAGCCAATAGTCATGAGCAACTCAATGGCTAGAAAGGTGAGCCGGAGGTCCGCACCGCATCGGAACACATCATAGCCGTAGAGTCAACATGAAGTGCTCTTCCCAGTCTTCATGGAACAGTTAAAGGAAGATTGAAGAGGATCGCGCCCTTCGGGGCATCTCCTGACGCAGAATGAGAGGCTCGTCTACTATGTAGCAAAGAGCGTGACACTTACACACAGCTGCGCTGTATCACGCCGTTGTCATCTTCACTGCCCGACTCGACCGCCGCCCGCTCGCTCTGGTTCAATTTCGTAACGCGTTAGCACTTCAGAGCAGTACAGTGGATGCAAGTCCAAAGCAGGTGCACGGTGATGAGCATGCAAGATACTCAGCAGCACGGTTTCAAGTTCTCTGAATGACGGGGCCCGGCAGACAGCATTCCACTCCAATGGCAGAGACAGCGCTGGGTTCCGTGTCACGACAAAACATCCAGCATGAACGTGCGCACCCTGACCATCCATTATCTACAAGACGTAGATTTTGAGACGGATGGAAGGTGGCGGATACTATGGAAAGCAAATTTCAAGTTGAAGTTGCCATGGAGAAACATACCTCAGACACACGATGATCTCTCTGATTCATATCGCATGAACCATTCAGTAATAAATCGTAGCTGCGCGGCCGCCGCTTTCACTATTCCAAGCAACCATGGCAGTTGCGAACTTCGAGTTTGGGAGTGTTCGGCCCGCTCACTGTGGCAGCGCTGAACCGTAACGTGAGCAATGAACCTCCGTAGTGCTTTGAGACCTATACCTTTGCGCCTTTCAGTTCAATTTGAGACCCGATGGGCGATGTTTGTGCAGTCCTAGGTGGGAGTCGAGAGAAAACTCAAGCGATGGGCCTTGTGAGGCCCGCTACTGTGACATGCTTATTACGTAACCACTAGCAGTGGTGGAAACACTAAGTATTAGTACTACTTTATCACCCTCCGTCTCTTCGAATCCAACGCGAGTCCTCGAGCTTCCCTTGTCATTATTGCGCTCGAATGTACGCCCATGAGCAACTCGAACGTTGCTGGTGCGCGCAGTGGCATGCCTTAACTTGGAGGCAATCCAAGTCCAGTGAAATGAGTAGTACTATACTATTACTGCCAAGGCCTAAACATTCCCTTTGGCCGCAACGATGCAGACGGTGCGCTGGGGCGAAAGTCGTTAATTGACAACAAGCTCGATACGTCGAAGTTCACTTCTCTGCTATCGCCAGTGACGAAGTGACATGTTCAGGATTACGATACAAGTATATACTAACTAGCATATTATGGGCACATGCCACGCAGACCGAAAGCTATAGGTGTGCCCGCGCCAAATCTGCCGCTAGTACCCGTCCACGCTGAGCCATTCTCGCAGGTGAGACACCCAGAGAGAGTTCCTTTAGCAGACCGAGTACTTCCCCGGCGCAACCGAACGAGAGGGAGAAGCCTGATCCGCCTTGTCCGTAGGAATGAACGATCCGGCTAGCGGAACCGTCCGCTTTGAGGCGCATCTCTCTCTCGACGCGGACGTTCTCGGACCTAGCCGGACGGTTTCCTTGCACCAGTGGCGCGTCAGGATCGTACTCCGCGTTGTCTAATCCAGGCACGAAGTCATTGCAGCGTTCCCGCATGCGGACGATCTCCGGGCTCTCGAGTGTTAGATCGAGGTTCCACTGCCGCGGCTGTGCGATCCCTATAGTACGAGATTGACTAAGTCCGTAAGCCGCGTCCAACAGAAGATGAACTTACCTCCGAGGATGAGGACGTTGTCGTTCCTCAGCACAATGCACACGAGGTCCTGTTCGTCTCTGTGCGCGTCGTCGATGCCGACAGCCAGAGCCTCCGTGACTTTCGGAAAACTCTTCCCGTCGTTCACCACACGGATGAGTGCGCCGCGGAGAGGATAGACGGTCTCATCTCCTGCTAGTTCAACTGCGCTGAGCCCCGTGGCGTTGACGATAGCATGCGCTCCGTACTTTGACAGGAGCTTGTCCTCTTGGCTCAGGAGGTCGCCGGAGATGCGTCCTGTGATGAACGTGGCGCCTTTGGGTGACAAGATCCCGCAGCCAGACCATGTAATGGTCAGTGTCGACAACGGGAGCGAGATGGCGGTAAGAGTCGACGACGCTGGCTCTTTGGTTTACTGCATGCTGCTTCACGAGGTTGGGATCTCGCTTGAATCCAGCGACCTAAAATCCTCATGAGCGAGCCGAAAACGATGAACTTGTCTGTCGCTTACCCCGCAGTGCTCAATCTCTATCATTTTCTCGTACTGATCAGGCAGGTTCTCCAACGGCCGGTCGAAAAAAAGTTGCCAGGCGCATGCGGACGCCGTGTGCCTCCGCGGGTAGGAGCTCCATCAGTTTCTCGAATACGTGGTAGGACGTCATCGCCCATCCCTTCGAATGCTCCAGGGAGATAACATCGGTATGTCTACCACATACTGCGGGCGGCCGTTCCCACCTAGGAAAAGTTAGGATGCAGTAGATTTGAAGGGGCGACTACAAGGCTCCGGCGATCTGAGAGGTGATGCGGTTCTTGGGGTTGGCCCATCGGTCCGAGACGACGGTTACCTGGTAGCCTGCGTCCAAGAGAGCCCATGCAGTCTGCGAATGATATTCTCAGAAACTGTCCTCGGATGATGGGGCAACTAGTAGGTTGCCATCACTCACCGTTAAGCCGGTCACGCCACCTCCGATGATTAAAATGTGTTCCGCTCCTAGGTCGCAACGAGAAGGTCCCGCTTCAAGGACCAACTCTCCGGCAGCCGATGTGAGGTGAATTTGGACGCTCTGCGTGCTGGGAGACATTATGTTGTGTTGCGGTTGACTTTCAGAGTGTTACGAAGAGGGGGGGTTGATTGCTGTTGAGCCTGATGATGATGTGGACATAACACCAGACTTATATACCACGAGCCTAGCAACGACGAACATTCCCCCGGGGCATTTTGTGGTGTCCCACGTCGGAAGACGGTGATCTCACAGAAGCGGGCAGCCGAAGGACGAACCGCTGGAAGGGTTGTACGGATGAACTGGAGGATGAAGCGAGCAGGCGGTGAGCGCAGGACGCTCAATGCGACAGCGGACGGTACGAGACTTCGACCAGGCATTTGACAATGTGTCCGAGTATCTGCACGACATCGGACCGGAAAGCCTGAGGCCAGACACAGGACGCCACAGAACCCCGAGCACCGTGTTGTGCTAGCCGCCGTGCAACTCTGGCATAGCATGGAGGCGCAAGTAAACCTGATGAAAGCCGAAAGCTTTCCTACATCAATCTTCTAGCACGAAATGCGTATCCTTGGCTTACCTCGTATCACACGCCATAGTTACCTCCGGAGACTTTCTCATGGCAGAACCACAGGAGAGCCCGCAAAATGGAGAATACGGGAGTGGAGCCGAATGGCCCCCGGTGTAGCATATACGTATCGGATGGCGAAGTATCATCCGGCGATCCTCGCTGGCAGAATCTTGTGGCGATCGAAGGGTCAGGCATGTCATGCGCGGCGAATCAGGGAGGTCGCCTTGGAGGTGTCCGACGCACGCCACCCACACGCGTTGCTGTATCGTCTAGTCAAGTCTCCAGCATTCTCTGGGAAGATGCTTGACTTATGACCATCGGCATCCCACTGGCATCGAGTCATGCTGAATGACTAGTATGCCGGTTAGCACTGGAGGCATGCATATCTTGGCAGAGCTTACCACATCGAGAGAGTTCCAGGCCAACCGAGGTGTACGTCCCAAGTGGCAGCTCTTAACGGCGCCGCCAACGTGCCGTCATGTCAAGCTTGTGTCTATAGCCAGCGCCTTCAAAGGTCAATTGCCTGAACAGGTACTTACTGTGCAGACTGTATCAGGACCCAGAAAGGCCGCGCTGTGTCTAAGTACAGTATAGAGGAGACTAACGAGAAAGTCGCAAGGTGCTTGCGTTAACGTGCCGCGTTTCCACAGACCGTCGAGGAGCATGGACGGACATAGTGACAGCGAGCGGGGCCGCTGTACACCGGAGGACGCCTGAAAACGTCGTATCCGGAACGTATTGCATTGTCGAACGCTTACCCTCTGGAGCGCCTCCTGCCTTCTCATGCCTCCCTATTAAAGCGTCCAATAATTCCGGAGGGGCATCTGCATGTCGCTTCAAGAGTCCGACTCCCAAATCCGAATTCATGTGTACCAAAAAAATGCACTCAACGTCCGACGTTCGTGAGCTGTTCCATGGCCAAATAAATCTCAGATACGCACCAGTCTCTCCTATATGATCTCCAACATTGAACGACGGCGACGCGCCTCCGAGGGCCTGTCCATCAGCGAATGCAGCACTTCAGGTTGATGGTCGGGCTACACTGCTGGGAGTTTTCGAGTTAGACACCGGTGTAAGCATACGCCGAGGGTATTCTGGCCTGGATTCGGCCAAACCATTCACTAGTATTCACTGTTTGAGTCCAAGGCATCCTCCGTGACTACCATGTAGTTCCGACTCGGACTCTCCGGCGTGCACAAGGCGTGCCCGCTTCCTGATGTTCGAGGCTGGTTTATGAGTCGTAATCATGTCGAGAACCACCCTGAGCACTGAGAATGAAGGAAGTATATCAATTTGTCCATCACAGCAATCACAGAGAACAAGAACAGAGCGAGCCGGCCAGCGAGGTGTGTCACGGGTCCAAGCGTTGTGTGGCGGAACCAAAATGAGATCCCATACCAGATCGCGATCTGGAACTATGCATGTCACGTGCAAGGCCACACTTGAGTGCCACGTAGCAAGTCGCGCGTTTCCATTTGACTTACTGCAGTCTACTCCATCGCAATTACATACTATCCTCTATGAATCCTTTGAGGCACCCAACGAGATCTGTGTGAAACAACCGGAACGACGCAAGGACGGGAATATGGCACACTGAGACGGTGAGAGGCTTGCATATGGGTTGATGAGATTTATATTAACCTGTTCACTATAAGACCAGTAGAAACGGAGGATGTGGACGTCTACAGATACAAAAGTACGTGAGCGATAGGAGCGCGACAAGTTCAGAGCAAGGTCAGTATGATGGGACAGCGCGACAAACGTGTAATCGCAGCGAGACTGGACGGAATGAAGAGCAGAGATAACGGCGACAGCGAGACGATTGCGAGACGATAGTACGTGAGAGGTGCGAAAGAGATGTCAAGTCCAAGCTCAAAGGTAAGTCCATCCTGCTCTAGGACGATCTTGGTTCGTGACGGATGGCTGTGATCCAGACTACCAGTCCCTCTGTGCTCCCAGAGGTCGTGGGAGGACGGCCCTCGATGGAGCTGGGGGAGGCGCCGCTACCGACCAAGGGTTGAACTCGTCGCTCCCTGAGAGACGTGGTGCGCGGAGCGATTCGTCGTCGGTGGTCCCTTGGGGTGACGCGCCGAAAGTGAAGTCGAAATCGCTAGGAAGGTCCAGCCATTCGACCAATTCGGCGGAAGGAGCATCCGTCCAGAGGAGGCCGGCTGGCTGCCCTGTGCTCTCGGGGACGGGTTGCGGCTCGGCGCCGAGCAGTGTAGAAGCCGCTGCGGTGAACCCTTGCACAGGCGCAGCGTTGAAGTCTTCGAGACGTTTCATTATCACTCGGGAGTCGGCTATATTGATACGGTACTCACCTGTGGAGGCCTGTAGGTCGTCCTGTTTTCCCTCGTTTTCTGTGTCGGGTGCGTCAGGACTTCCGGACGCAGCAGCCCTCAGTATCGCAAGCCATTCCTCGATCGGGATGATTCCGTCGCCGTAGGCTCCGTTCCATTGCAGAGGCTCTGGTGAGAGTTCTAGGTTCCGGATTGTTGTTTGCGCAGATGGTAGCTCGGAAGCTTGGCCATCGTGGGATGGAGTGAGAGAGGTCGCGGAGGTGCTGCGAGGGTGGGGCGAGAATCCGCTGAACCCTTCGATGCTCGGCGAGCTCTCGTTCATGTAGTCAGGACGGGGACCGTACGTGGCCGTCGTGCTATGAGGTCCATGCTGCGGGGCCCGTTGCGTGACTGACCCATGGTCTGCAATGGCTGGTGCAGCATACAGGTCCCTCGTGGCAGCGTACTCGCTGGTCGGATATGAGTACGCTGATACCTCGTGCGAGTAGTCGAGGTACGACTGGGGGCCTGTGTGGAACGTCGTGGACACTGGGGTTGTGTTGAAGATGGATGTAGAGTCGAGGACATTCGCGCTCATGCCTACTGTCCGTTGTCATCAGCGGGTTCGAGACCGAAAGCACAACGAGATGCTGGACGTACCTAGCCCCGAAGATCCATTCACTGTCGTCGGCGAGTAGCCCATAGGCGACGCGTACTCCACTCGCTGACCCGAGCCCACAGCCTGCTGGCCATGGTGCTGCGCGGAATAGGTCGAAACTCCAGAAGATGTGTCCGCGACTTGTTGGGGCGCCTCCGATGTGGCCTCGAACGAACCCTCGCGACTTCCACTCGCCGCGGCGAGGCGAGCAGAGGCAGCGTATCCACTTTCTCCCCATCTCTCGCGCCAGACCGCGAACTGTTAGTGGAATGATCAGGAGTCGCGTCGGTAGTCGCGGGCATTAAGCACAACTCACTCCGGTCTGGTCCGGCACCCTCGTTTGAGTAGCTCTTGTAAGTCTGTCTTCTTTGCCATCGTGTTGTTCGAAGCACTTGATCGCCGTAGACTAGGCCGATACAACGTATCGAAGCGGAGTACAAGGAAGTACAAGGGGCGGAGGGCGAACGGGCCCGCGGTGGTTGGAAGTAGGAGGGATGGTGCTCAGCAGTGCGCCGAAGTTCGACTGTGAGCTGGGCTCCTGCGAAATTGGGAGCCATTCGCTCACGCACCGCCCGGTCTCAGGTACAGTACGCGTCGTCCGGCTGGCTCGTCGGCTGGCCCGTTTCTACGTAGAGAACTGACGCCGCCGACGTTCGACATATAGGGGTCGGCGGCGCGGGGGCTGCACTGGTTCAGCGTCAAGATACCGGACGAATTTGGGAGGAGGCATCGGTCGGCGCGTCGTTGACGGGATGTCGACATCTCGGGGGCAGTTCAGGTCGAGGGGCCGGTCGGGGCAGCATGGTCGAGCGTGCTATATTATACTGTGCCCAGCCGACCAGACGCGCACTATCTATACGGGAGAGAGCTAGAACGGCCGGTGCTACTTGGCAGTGAGGTAAGTCTGTCCGGCATATGTATGCAAGGACTACTCTCACAGACGTCCGGCAGTGATTGACGAATGGGATGTCTGCCAGATGGTCCTTACCGTCTTCTTATCGGAGACGAGCTCCCCGTCCTGGGTTAGACACCGGACTGACGCGCTAAGAGTGCCTGAGAAGCCCTGCAAGCGCGACGCGGAGCGGTGGACAACGTCGTTACAGCGTGCACGTGATCGCGTGCCGGACGTACGAGCGTCTGCTCTCCGGTCTTCCTGCAACTGATAATTCGTCTAGGTTCAATTTGTGCTCGTACTTCGATAGGGTCGCAGCCCAAGGGTATGTATTTCTCTCCCTCGCTTGACGTAATCATCCTCTTATCACCTGGAATCCTCTGCTATACATCGTAGAAAATCCTCCAGTACGCAACGCACCTGCAAGCTTTCGTCGCTGCGAGCTGCACTCCTCCAAACGAGACGAGGGTTTCACACCACGACCTGTGGGGCTCGTCGACTCTGGCATAGGTCTGTTTTATGGCGCTCCAAATCATGATTATACGTATTCATCCTTATACTCAGGCTTTCTTCCGTTCCCACGTCACCTTCCTCCCTTGTTGCTCAATCTCACTTCTTATGGTCAGCCTTGTTCATCGGCAGCCCGGGTGCGAGGCCTCGTGTGACCTCATGGCATGCTGTGTCTCTTCTTTTCGTCACTATTTGGCAGCCTGCGAACACCGCCGACTGCGTTCCTCAGGCAGCTTCCATACTGGCTAGCATCGCCCGCATGCATAATCCGAATATCTGGAATGCAGTGTGTCGGTATAAAGACTTACGCCCTCCGATGAGCCCTCTACCCTGCGTCTTGAACTCTATACGCCACCGAACAGCTAGTGCTCGTTGGCTCCAGTCTCCTTCCCACCTGGCTCACTCTGAACCACGCTGCCCTCCTGTCATCCGGACTTATCCTTCGCTCCTCGGAGTCCCCCGTCTTACGCTTAAGTATGAGAAGTACTAATTGCTCTTTTCCGCGCCGTTAAACCCGACCCCGCGCACCGTCACGCCGCCAACGCGCGGCGGTGTCCTGCCTGCGCTCGCGGGGAGCATCACGCATATGGGCCTCGCAAGTGAGCAAGCCCTGCAGGCGTACATAGCGCGCCCTCTCCCGGATGCAGCGGTGGGTGGTTCCGTAGCGGGAACTGTTAATGGGCCTTACGCCATCCAGTGCATGTCCAGTGTGTCTGGAAAATGGGTGAGGGAGACACTTCGAATCGTTGATGCACGTGAGCACTCGGAGAATTTGTTGTCAGTGTACTGGTGTTGGCTGCAGGCAACGCGTGGCGAGCTAGGGCGAGTTTTCCGCACTGATGTGTGGATATAGGGAGACCCGTACGGAGGTGCTTCTAAACAAAGATAAATGGTGTTCAAGGCCAGGCGGTCATGCGATATTTTGAGTGTGGAACCTCAGAACGCAATGCCTCATCATGTCGTCGTCCGTATGAAAAGGTTCTCCAGCGATGCTTTAAGTAACGTCTCGTACCGATTGAATCTCACGAATGCAACATACAACGTATGATGTCCCTGAAAGCTGCAATGAGCATCGATGTTTGGAGGGCAAACACAGCAGAAGGAATCGGTATCAGAGGCCTTGGTCTAAGAGAACACCGATTTGCATTAAGCCTGAGTGTCATAACTTTATATGTGCGGTACGTGAAATCTAGTACTTTAGATGCGAAGCGCCAGAGACTGCATCTTGATTGATAGCCCGTTGGATATGAGAATGAAATGTCTAGGTTCTGCGAGCGACGAGCCTCTTAATCCATCCGAACATGCTCCCTGACCTGAAGCGGAAGAGCCACGAGAAGGCGAAGATGCAAGCAACCTGTTTGAAACCTTGTCAGCACGACCTCGTCACCAACACCACGATCACACTCACGTTGAAAACAATGTATGCACAGAAGATGCCGAAATTGCGCCAGTAATTCGAATAGTAGATGTTGAAGCTCTCGCCGAGGAATGCATCCGTCGTCGAATACGCACAATACTGGCACCCGCTCGTCGCATCCTCGTTCGTGAGGTATCCACCCACAGCACTGATGAAGTCGTCCATGTACTGCCCGCACGTCTGGCTCGAAGGTGGCTCGATCGTGACGAGCTCCGTCGACGAGCAAGTGATGGCGCTATGTCCGATGGCCTGTCCAAGCAGGCCCTCGACGAGGTACGTGAACGGCGAGAGGTGGTACATCCACCGCCACCAGCCGAGTTCCCGGAAAGGTTGCAAGACACCATTGCTGCAGGCCACATCAAACCAAGACCGACACATGTACGGCAGAATTACTCACAAGGACAGCACGAACGAGAACAAGAAGCTGAACACCAACGCCGCGATCTCCGCGTTCGGGCACATCGCTGCTACGGCTTGGCCAATGCTTGTATAGTATAGCGGGAAGACGATGCCTAGCATGAGATATGTGAATCCGCCGCGGTCGCTCGGGAGGCCGACGGTCCAATACCAGCATAGGAAGTACAGCGTCGAGCCGAGGATGTTCCACGGCAACTCAACGAGGAGCTGGGAGGTGAGGAACGCAGTCCAGCTATACATGCTGCTGTGGCGCTCGCGAATTTCGTAGATCTGGCGTGAGTCCAGGAACGGCACCTGCAGCTGGTTCGAGAGCGGTACGGAGATGATGGTCGACATGAAGATTGCGAACAGCTTGTTCTGCGTGCCCTGGATACTGTCCTTCGCCTTGAAGAAAGTGAAACCGATAAGCAGACCAGAAGCGATGTTGACACCGAGCTTCGCCACCATGTAGGATGGGTCACGCCAGCGGTGCTGAACGTCACGGCTGAGCAGAGTCCACAGCTGGTAGCCCCATCTCGTCGGGAATGCGCCGGTCATCGACGCCTGGACAGGCGGACGTCCACGGCCCTCGCGTTGATCTGCTCCAAGTCCTTGTTGACATTCTGCGCTTCCTGCGACTTCTTCCAAACGTCGTGCCATTCAATGTCTGTTGTTGCCGTAGCACCTGCACCAATGACGTCCAGGATGTACTCAGCCCTGTCCACAGCAGTGAGTGGATAGTCTAAATGCAACGCGAACGACAGGGCTTACGGGTTCTCATCCTTTGCACAGGTTCTACCGCCGTTGCTCTCAAAATAGTTGATCAGTGTCGAGGACTTGTGACCGAGGTCACCAAAGTACACCGTCTGACCACCCTTGCGCAGGAGGAGCAGCCTGTCAAAAACCTCAAACAACTCCGCCGACGGTTGGTGAATGCTAAATGAAAATGATCATCAGTAAACGAACGCCCATGCCAGTGGCATTGACCACGTACGTGCAAACGATCGACTGACCGGCATCCGCCAAGCTCCTCAGGAAACAGACGATAGCCCAGGCACTCTGCGAGTCAAGGCCAGACGTAGGCTCATCCAAGAAGATCAGGGACGGCTTCGCGACGAGTTCGACACCAATAGTCGTGCGCTTGCGTTGTTCGACGCCCAAAGAGCCCACAACGGCCTCCGCATAGTCTTGAAGGCCGCACATCTTCAGACAGTTGTCGACCCAGGCCTCTTTCTCCTCAATCGGGACAGAGGCGGGCTGACGGAGCTTGGCAGAGAAAAGGAGCGCCTCGCGGACAGTTGCAGACGGTAAATGAGTGTCCATCTGCTGGACATAGCCACTGCCGATGTATAGTGAGTGTGTTGATCTGTCCAGCTCGAACACGTGGACTTACGTTTGAGAGCGGAAGTCGATGGGGAGAGACTGGCCGTTCATCAGGCGATCGCCAGTGACGACACCACCCGCCGTACGATCAGAGAGCACGTTCAAGAGCGTCGTCTTACCCGCACCAGACTCGCCCATGAGCGCAGTCAGCTTGCCGGGCGCAACATAGCCGGAGACATTATCCAGGAGCTTCCGTTTCCCGCCTTGCACCGGCACGACGTACGTCAGGTTCTCGAACGAGAACGTGTTCCTGCCCCCGGGCACCTCCTCAAGAGCCTTCTGGGACACCTCCGACACGCGCCGCACCGACGCACCGTCACCTTTCGCACCCGACTTCTCCTCGTCCGCCGTGCCCTTGGGCTGGTCTATGTTTACCTTAGTGCCGCGCTTGAACAGCGTGACGGACGACTCCCCCGCGAGACCGAGGTTGAATTCCGAGATGACCAGGAGGAGCGAGATAAAGCCTATGCCGAATGCACAGATGATACCGAAGTTCCGCCAGAGGTGACTGTACGCGTAGCCAAACGATAACGCGACGTAGCTCATGCCATCGACGGTCGCCTGACCCGGGACGGAGCCGACTGTCGTGCAAACCTGGTTCGCGAGCGAAACACCCTCGTACCTTGGGCCTGAGGGAACGATCTGGGAGCACGTCGCTTGAAGTCCATGGAACTCGTTCACCAGGAGCGCCTCAAAACCGTACTTGAGCGGCTATGGAACATTGGAAATGCATTGGTCGGTGAGAACCAGAGGCCGCTTCGTGGTTACAGTGTACTCACGTTGATATAGGTGATCCAGCGAAGAGCTCCAATCATGGACGGCTGCGGGATAGTGTAGCCGGTGTAAAGGGTCAAGATGAGGACTGAGACTCCAGCAATCGCTTGCGCGGGCGCAGGGCTCTTGAACATCGCAGCGATCATACGGAACCAGCCCTTCATTGTGATCGTCATGCTGAAGATGAGCAGAACGAACGTGCTGCAACACATACATTGAGACGATGGCAAGAATAATGAAAGCACGACACTCACAAGAACTTGCCGGCAGTTTCCTGGAGGCCGACAAGGAAATAAAGGATGATACAGAAGAGAATGAGCGTTATAGCGGTGATTGGGATATCAACGAGTGTCAGCGCGAGCGCCTCGACGAACGGATGGTACATCGCGGCTCGGGAGTGCCGCTGTACAATAGGACGTTGAACGAAGAGCGCCGGGATTTCCGCCATGGTCGAGAGAGCTCCGAACAGAAGGGCGCTATACAGACCGACGTCAGAAAGCAGGAAAGACGTGACATAGACTCTTCACTCACAAGTAGATAACACCGCCTTTGGAGAAGAACGTCCCGGTGGTGTTGTCCAGCCGCAGGAAGATCGTGCCGACAATGATAGCCTGGAAGACGAAACTCAAGGCCTGGGTTACCTGCGTAGCCATCGCACCCTGGATGATCTGCCACCGACGAAGCATCAGGGCCCGCGCTTGCATCGCGATCGAGATGATAAAGGGACTCTTCTTCGACGTGGTCTTCGCATGTTCCGCACGGTGGCTGAGACGGTACATCTGCTTCTTCTCCAGCATCCCGCTCTCCTCCTCGCGGTAGCGGCGCATGTCATCGCGATTAAGCCGGCCGAGCTTGCTGTTCTTGAAATACGCCGCGAACTCGTCCGCGCTGCGCGGTGGAGGAGGGCCTGAAAAGCCTGCGCGGGGGATACGGCCGTTCGGGTCCGTGACTGCGACTAGGAAGTCTGCCGTGGTCTGCCGGTTCGCGGGCTCGTACCCCATGTCGATGAAGTACTGGCGGGCGCTGGAGGCCGGCCCGAAATACGCCATCTTGCCTTCGTAAATGACGCAGACCTGGTCGAACAACTGGTAGAGCTGCTCGCCCGCCTGGTAAATCGAGACAATCGTGGAGACACGGGCAATATCTGTAGCCAGCCGCAGCGCACGGACGAATTCGAGAGCGGTTGAAGCATCGAGTCCACGGGTGGAGCTGTGATTAAGAATGGTTAGAATTATAGCGAGTGTATACGGTAACGCACGTACTTGTCCCAGGATGTAAGGAGGCTACGCGCAGTGAGGACCTCGCTGATGGAGACACGTTTCTTCTCGCCCCCACTAACACCCCTGACACTCGCGTCGCCGACAAGTGTATCCCTGACATGCCGCAGACCGAAGATGGTTGTCATAACGTCGATCATTGTGTTACGGTGTTGTTCACGCATCTCGTACACACGCGCGCGGGGGTACGCATCTTTGCAGCAAAGTCGAGTGTCTGACGGACGGTGAGCGTCGCGAAGTGGACATCGTCCTCCGGGCAGTATTGCACATCGCCGCGATATTGCTTCTCGATCTCCTGCGGCGTGAAGTCGTCGTACCACACGTCACCAAGAACCTGGTGGTAGTCTTGCCGCTGGTTGGCGAGCGTCTTGAGCAATGTGCTACAGCCTGCACCGGGACGCCCAAGTACCACTGCCTCGATGCCGTGCAATCAGTGTTCGTATCTCACGCATGAAAGTTGACTTACGCAGCATCTGCCCTGGCTTCACACATCCTTCGAAACCGCTCAGAATATCTTTCACGGGAGGGTGTCGAATCTTCTTGACGGTCTCGAATATCTGGAACGGATTCAAGACCGAGCCGACGGTAGGCTGGTAGCTGACGGATGCGCCTAGGCCGACGACTCGAAGATCGTCGAAAACGACACCCAGCTCTCGGCGCTTGATGTCAGACTGGTCCAACCTGCGCAGAGGTTAGGCCGACCGAGCACCAGGTGCTGGCAGGCCTATGTATAGAATACCTGTAGTTAGCGCAAAAGGGTGTATACATGAAAGGCCTGTACTTACTGGAGGGCGCCTTTCATACATGAGCCGCCACTCGCTCATGTATGAGCGAGGCGCCGCACTCACTACCTAAAGAGGCAGCTGCCCTTTGGGGACAGCTTAGGTCATCCGGCGCCGGGGAGAGCTCGCGGCGGCGGCCCTACCCTAAATAGGTCGTATTGCACACTCTTCCACTTTGGGTGCCGCTGCGGGCCCGGATCGGGTATTGCAATCGTGATTTGTGATCTGACGGTTTCTGGGCCTAGATACACTGCCGTTTATAGTGATTTATGCACCGTGCCTAGATAGCCTGTATCGAGATCCGGCAGATGGACAGCATGTATGTCGTGCGCCACGACATACACCTAGTAGGAATACATTCATTGCAATGCCAATTGTCACTTACTGCTTCAACTTCAAGTCTTGATGCAGTTCGTGGACACTGTAAGTAAAGGGCCAAGGGATCAAGCGGCAGCCTTCCCGATTTGGTATGTTTGAGGCCTTGACAAATTATCCCGCTGTGACAAATGCAGCGGTTGTATAGTGCTTCATTATTTGTGCATAATATCGACATTGGAGAGTATACTAGGCACTATGTAATAGGCAGACAAGATCACCATCATTCCCCTGTCCTTCACCTGCTCGGAGGAGGGGGTGTACAGGCTGCGGTCGATGCCATCGATGACGACGGTGCGCATGATGCTGCATGCGTAGTCCACAGGGAGGGTCTTCCCGATGTTGCGCCCGTTGTGAAGTGTCTCCTGATCGGGGCTGTTCTCGCTGTGCAGTTCTACCTCAACGTGCACGCTGCAGCCCTTGAGGTCGAGTCGGTTAGCTTCCTCCTTACACGGATGCAATCTCGTCCGTGCTTACCATGCTGCGAGATGTCTTGATGTAAGTAGCTGGGCATGGGCCATGCCGACATGCCATTCACATGTGCTCATTGACGCGCCATCGGACGTACTTGTTGAGTCTTGATGTGTGATTCGGCGAGTGGCAAGGAAGGGACATGGGGAACAGGACAAGAGGCAAGAGGGTGCGCCTGGGTAGAGGGTAGAGGGACGGATGTAGCACCTTGTAGACCGCACGCGCAAGAGGTGAGTTTTGCGGGCGCCCCCGTGAATCGAACATTTGTGTCTATTTGTTTCCTAACCAAATTGGGCAAACCCGATGTGCTCGGACTGATTCTGGCCAATCAGGACGCGAATAATGGTCCCCCTAGAGCTGCAACATACCTACGATTCGCTTTCTGGACGTTATCACACTATGTCCGCATGTCTAAGGTATGTCTAAGGGATCTAATTCATGTTTAGTGGCATCTACTTCAATAGATGAGTACAGCATAAAGGCCAGGGTTCTCGTGTACAGTAGGGGTGTCTATCTACACTTCTGTACTGGTTCTCTTAGTCTCGAGTCGTAAGGGGTGTTGTGGTGTGAATATATCGGTCTCAGTTTTATAGTGTATATTCATACTAGCATTACAAGAACTCTATCTACGAAGACGTCTGCTGTATCTGCATGCAGGGGCACCAGGGCAGTCGCCCTCTGTGTTTGCAATTGGCGTGTTGCGCGCCCCAGCCCTGCCCACCATCGCGGTCACCCGCTTTTCGCTCACGCGCCCACCTTACGGTCGTTGGCTGTGCTTGCCTGCTGGGCATTTGCCCTGCACGCTCGCAGTCACCGTGCGTGTGGTGCTGGTCCGCGCTCTGTGCCCGCCTGCTTTCCCTCTCGCCTGCTTTCCCTCTCACCCGCTTGCCCTCTTGCCCAACCACCCACTGTCCTGCTCACCCGCTTTTCCGCTTGCCCGCTCGCTTGCCTGCTTGCTCGCTCACCTACTTACCTGCTCATCCGCTTGTCTGCCCGCCCGCCCGTCCGCCCGCCCGCCCGTCCGCCCGCCCACTCGTCCGCCTGCCCGCTCGTCCGCCTGCCCGCCCGTCCGCCTACGCGCCCATTTGCGGGCCTGCGTGTGTATCCGTCGGCTGTGTCAGCGTGCCGGGCATTCGCCCAGCACACTCGCAGTGGGCGTGTGCTGTCGCCTGTCCACTTGCCCGTCTGCTCGTTCTCCTACCGGTCCGCTTGTCTGTCCGCCTTCCTTCCCGCCCGTCTTCCTTCTCGCCCGTCTTCTCGCCCGTCTTCCTGCCCGTCTTCCTGCCCGCCAGTCCGCCTTCGCATCCATCCGCTTGTCCGTCTATCCGCCCGCGCGCGCCCACCGACCCTCGCGCCTGTGCCCGTGGTCCATCCGTCGGCTGCGTCTTCACGCGGGGCATTAGCCCTGCGCGCTCGCGGTCGACGTGTTGTACTGCACGTCGCCGCGTCCTGTGGCCACGGTCAGCTCGCTCGCTCGTGTGTGTCTGTGCTCACCTGAATGCCAGTGTCGGCTACTCCCAGTCGCTGTCGTCGTGCCCGCTGTGCTCTAACAACGTCGGTGACCGACGCGGGATGGTGGTCGTAAACAGCGGGCGGAAGCGCTTGCCGCTCATTCGGCTCATTGCGAGCTCCCGGGTTTGGCCGAAACTGACGCCGCGCAGGGATCGCCTGGGGATCTCAGGACCTGATTCAGAATGCCCTGACCCCGATGTGCGTCCATATCGGGCAGCTCGCATCGCGCGCCAGTGGTGCCGCCCCGGCGGCCCCGCCACGGACGAAGGGACCGGACTGCCCCGGCATGGCTGCTATATTGGGTAGCGACCAACGGCGCCTCGCTCATACATGAGCGAGTGGCGGCTCATGTATGAGAGGCGCCCTCCAGTAAGTACAGGCTTGTTATGTATACACCCTTTTGCGCTAACTACAGGTATTCTATACATACATATGCCGGTATAGCCTGGACCGAGCTTGCAAGAAATTAAATTATGCTACGCACCGTCTGACCAAGTGCTGGAGCGACTTCTCAAAGTCGAACGGCCCATCTCCAGGCGCGAGGGTGTGGTCCGAGGACCGATCTGACGAGTGGTGAGACGCATAGGCCGGCATGAGCCCTGCTGAGGGTGCACCTCGCGTTTCGCCTTGCTGACCATGCGACTTACGAGACATGGTGCGCTTGAGCTCGTCTACGCCGGTGGGGTCGAAATGACCAACAGAGACGTGTCTGCATCGTTCCTCCTCTTGTGCGTCAGGAGGGAGCTGGAGCTCATGAGAGTGTTCTCGGTGAGCGACAAGATTATTATGTATGGTGGCATTTGCGTAGACGGCTGCGGGGGAAGTGCCGAGAGACACCTCGGGCATGTGGTCGCCGCTGTTGGCATTGTGAAACTGGGTGGGATCCATGGCCGGCCCGATACGGGGAAGAACGTACGGTAAAGCGAGGGCTTAGCACCTCCCACTGCAGGTCGGGACGAGACATTATATAGGGCCTGAAGGCCTGACGAATAGCGCGACTGCGCAAGAAGGAAGACGGCCAGAGCCAGGCATTATGATTAGCGTTGGGCTTGTGATTCGATGAGATCACATCACCTTCACAACTTTATTCCCTTCTCCGCCATCAGAGATCGTGCACGCCCCAGACAAATCTCGAACCAGTCACCGGGGCAGGCCCCCGCTCTCGCAATTCTGCTGACACGCGTGTCCCGGGCCTTCCTGTGCTGCTTCAGTATCATATAATCACTGTCAGCCCAGCTCTGCGTGAACTGATGATATACAAGACCTCACTATGCTGTCTTCCAACTGCCGGAGTATGCTCAACAGTACGTTCTTCGACTGCGCTAACATCCCGATGTGCGTAGATGTACCACGGCCATCATAGCCATCAAAAGTGGCATGTCCCTCGCACGCCCCAGACGGGCAGCTGGAAGAGGGATCCCGTATTCAAATAAGCTTCGCGGGAAGTTGAAGGAGCGAGGCATTCGTACTTACTAATACGCGACAGAACGACAAGGTCACGGGACGAGGGATAGTGCACTCAAAAGCAACTCAAAAGCAGGAAGAAGCACGCGGCCGTATAGAGGAGAGGGGGAGAAAGTCTTGGGGCTTCAAAAAAGCTCCCTGCGCCTTTACATACTCCGGGAGGCAGGCAGAGCGAATGCTCATGCGCACTGGCCAACTTTCAGATGCCGTCTGCACACGAATCTGGCAGTCGTGCTGCAGTTCCATCGAGAGCCCTCTGTCAAAAAACGCGCGGCTTCAGTAGATGCAGAGCTTTTCAACGACTCTGCTTCCAGATTGAGCTAAGATTTACAAAATTGGTCAGACGTGTATGCGGATGGCATGAATCCAAAGTCACAACGCGTCCAGGGCATACTGCCTGTCTGGAGTCATTTTGCCGAATGTGATAGCAGCACCAGCACAGAGCTGTGGCAGTCCCGTGCACGTCAAGTTTTATGCGGGCGATGCCGCCAATTCGAGCAGTGTCATATTGCAGTCTGATTCCATCGCGTTCATCGAACGATGGGATACAGGAGGAACACCTGCGGGTCCCGTTGAGTACACAAGAATATACTCGAGCGGCGACGATCATGCATGAATCAATGAGTGTCATGATGTCTTGCACCCCGCGAAGAAAGCCGAGATTTTGCTCACCCTGGTACGTTCATGGGCACGCTCTATCCATACGATGGCGTACATGCATCTTTGAGTCGTGTATGATCTTGGGCTACTAGAGATTCTCGTTCGGCAGCGTACATTCGACATAGCGTGAGCGACGGAGCAGATCGAAGCATATACTAGAATATGTACAGAGTGCATGGCAGATCGAGACCAAGGGCAATGTCTGCAAGCAGGGCTGGATCATATAGAGTTCAGATCGGATATCAATAGTCCATCACAAGTCCATCATTCGCGCTGTGGTCGATGGAGCTCTTGAGAGCGATATATTACCCTGTAATAAGCCTACAGTCGCCAGGGTTGACGCTTGAAGATGACCGGCGGCAAGGATGATATTCGCGACTACCAGGCACAGGCACAGCAGCATCACTTTCCATGAGGCAAATGAGAAGGGGTGGTAGGTACAGCCATAGAGTACAAGACTGACTATTCGGGGAGACACGCACCGGACAGGAAGGCAGATGACGTGGGAACAGCAACGGGGGCAGCTTCCGTTATAAAGGTCGAGTCCGGTGCTCGAGATCCCTCCTCGATACACTCTTTTGTTCAAGAGCCGGAGTGCCCGTCAACCTCGCCTAGCGCGGAGAATGCTGTGTCAGTGCGACCGGTGGATTGCCTCGCTTGGAGCGAGTGAAATACCAGCTGGTATCTGGAGTGACACTGGATGAGTAGTGTGCATTCTAATCCGTGCAAGCATCTATAATGGAATAAAATACGCACCCTCAAATTGACACAGAGTAGCGGCAGACAAGGTCATACGGCATCTGTTATACACCAGACGCGGTGTGTTGTTCTTGTTCCAGGAGTAAGGCGAGCGGGACGATCCCAGTATCATGCGAGTGCAGCAAGGTCGTCGCCCAGGCATGTCTGGTAGCTTTCCTATGCTGTAATGAAGCATAGGACAGTACAGTGATGCGAGCCATTGTAGGGAAACGGACGAGGGATAGATCAGTAGCGAGCGCCGAGGCGGACAAAAACAACGCGTTGCCAACGCGGTCACGTGTAGTTTTCGGTATGTAAAATTCCACGCGTCGAGCGTTTACGGTACCATGGTTCGACCACGTTCAGATGGAACAACCTCTTCTCTACGCCCGTCACTCAAGTTCATATAGCCAAATTCACCAATGCTTTGCTACAGGCTTGCGCCTAAGAAATTCTACATTCTACACTGAGGAACAGGCTCAGTGGTGCCCTCAACACAGGTATTGACGAGACGACATCATTATTGTTGCATGCCACCATGTCGATCTTATCTATGCAATGAGATTTAGATTACTAGGTTTTAACGGAGTTCTTTTCCCCAGATGCTGTACGCCAACCCGCGATCTAGCCATCCTAGCAAGGTTACCCGCCCAACGTGTTACCATACCCGGCCCTGACATCGGCTCCCAATCTGCGCAGCCCTCTCGCCGCCGACCCCTATGCGTCCACTGTCGATGAGCTCCATTCCAGAGCACCGTGCCGGTCGTCGTGGTCAGCCTTGCGGGCCGTATCGGTGACCCGGCGGTGCACAGCGGGAGGCTTCGCGCGTACAGGTATTCCAGAGTATATGTATGCGCGTCGGGGGTCGCTGGACAGCGCGCCTCCGCTTCTCTCCCACCGCGGAGTCGTTGGATCTCCGCCCCTTGTTCTTCGCCTGGTTTCGTTATACCCTGTCTCTGCGGCTATCAGCCATCATGAAGAACAAGACACCAAAGACGCGCCCCTTACAGAAGCTTCTAAGGGATAACTGCCAGATACGAGCAAGGTCTGCCCTCATCGTTCCTCTGCAGGCCCACTCTCTCAACCCATTGCTTTAGTTCGGCGTCTGGGGAGTGTCGTGGGGGAAAAAGGACAAATCGTTGTCCGCGCGCATTGCAGCTTCCAGGAGTACCGAAGGCGGCTTTGCCACTCCTGGAGAAACACACGAGGATTCCAGCAGCGGCTCTGCTGCCCTTCCGCTCCCGACGGCGTCTCGAACCATGATGAAAGAAACATACCCGCCGAGTGCAAGAAAACGCGACCGAGAGCCTCGCGAACCACAGCAGCAGCAGCTCGCCTACCCAGTCCAACCGATGCCATTGCATCTTTCGTTCCAGATGCCCCTGGACCCTCCCTCTGAATACGCCACCCTGGGTCATCCAACTATTCCATCCAACAACATGCAGTCGTATGGAAGGAGCGCTCTGCAATCGCCAATACAGCTGCGAGCAACTCGCCGACGCCACACACCCGGGACAGCAATACATCAAAGACAACAGCGAGATCATCACGGCACGGTATGTTTGCAATGCTAACTTCATCGTTGTCCTGAGCTTGCTGACCACGGCGGTGTAGGCAGTAGCCCTTACGCCCGACCGCCACAGATCGTCGTGTCACCTCCTACATCTACCTCGGCTGCATCTGCCTCTTACAACGCCCCGCCGTCGCCATCCGTAGCCCGACAATACTGGGCATCGGCGAGGTCCACGCCAGCGACCTCGACCTCGTCTCTGGGATCCATCCACTACACACCTTCATCACCTCTGCAACATGTCGCAAGCCGGGTACAGCTCCAGGACCAGCCCAGTGTCGTCATCCTCCTCAGACTGGTACCGGTGAGACGACGCCCTTCGGCCCGAGAGCTCAGGAGCATACGAGGAAGCAAGTGCACTCTACATTACCGCTCCGCGCACGGCAGTCTTTCCCAGTCACGCCAGTCTCTACGCCATCAGCGGAGGACTATCCGAGCCGTACAGTGGCATAGAGCTTCACCCGCAGCGACACAGTCATCCTCGGAGTGGTCTCCCGGACCTCAGGTGTCTTCCGCTCTGCCACCATCCAAACGCTCTCGCTGTCAGCTCCTGAGTCGATTACGTGGGTCGCGAACGCAAGCGAAGACCACGACGCGGCTCCACGGACATGCTGTCGCCGAGACTGAGACGTACGCGGAGCCTGACACAGAGGCTGCGTTGAGGGCACTAACTCTCATGCCCAACGATGGTGGAACAGCACCATGGCGACAGAACACCCTCTAATCCTGTCGGATGTGTCTCGCACAGAACAAACAGTGATCGAAAACCTATATGGACCGGAAGGTACGCACCAGTGTATGTTACATATCCTCAGAAACGTGTCTGATGATATGCACAGAGAGACAAGCTGTTGCTCCGCGTGTGACACCCGCGTACGAGCCTTCGCACGGCACAGGTCCTGGACAAATATATCAGATGGACCCCAACCAGCCCGCGGGGCTCTTGTGGGCGGGCGCACCTGCACAGGCGGTCGCTCCAGCACCTCGATGGCTCAACTTACCCACAAACGCACAACCCCCACTGGAAGATACACGGGATATGTTTACAAGGCTACCGCCACTGGAACACGGCACCGGCTTGGTCTTACTGCCACTCGGGGCGGACACTGTTTTCGGAGATGGCGCCTCCGGGGCAATTCCAGACTCGCTTTCTTTCGATCCGACTTCGCAGTTCTTTCATGGGTCGGGAGCTTGGTGATGGCCTCGGTGCTCTGCACTGCCTGTCAATCCCGTTCAACACTACCTCAGACAGTCACCCGACGGACGTCTGACCTTGATTCAACCCTAGACTCGGACTATGTTACATTTTGCTTTCCTCCCTACGTTGTCTTGCAAGCTATCTGTCTGCTATCGCTGTTATGCTCCCTCGTCGTGTTATCAGTGTCACGTACTCACCTCCATCCACCTTCCGATCCATACACTGATCCTTTTCTCTTGCTCGATGTTCCTTGCACCTCCTTTCGACCACGACGCCCTCGCACGCTTCCCTCCGCTCTTCCTAGCACCTGTCTTTGTGATGCCTTGCTTTCAAGTTTCATTGACATCCAGCCGCGACGTGTAACTGTAGCCTATATCATCTTCAGTGTAATCATATAGTCAAGGAACGAGACGCGAGGTCGGAACTCAGTAGGAGGACATCAGCGATCCCGAGGGAGTGTCGGATGTACACAGTACGCAGTACCGTCGTAATATTGTAGCTCAAGGTCGGTGATGGCACAAAGCAGAAGTCTAAGCGCCGAGATTTGTGCCGCAAGCGCTCCTTTTGCACGCACTGGCATATGCGTGTCACAGTTCTGTGAACTTTCCCCTCCTCCTCCTCCTCCTCCTCCTCCTCCGCGCGACTGAACACACATACTGCCAACATAATACAGTCTCTTATCTTCAATGAGCTTGATTGCTCACAAATGTGCATTGAGTGTGAGTCTGAAATATAGCCTGTCATGATGGTCTGCCGAACGCTTACCCTGCAGCGCTAGATTGCAACGACGACGTTATGCACATTTCACAAACGTGCAAGCTCGCTGTGATCCCTTGCTCTGCGGTCGAGCGAGGCATTTTTCTTGAAGACGTCAAATCCGTTCAAACGAAAGTGCCTACTATGACACGTACATGAAGCTCCCTCATGCATCACAAATTCAGGAAGTCGGAACGACATCGACGTCGCCTGACGCCTGTGAAACTAGTTCGACTCTGCGCGCTGTCGCGTTCGTTACATTGTGGTCTCGTTAAGAAATCAGAGTCTTCATCTGGGACGTACGCCATCGGCCCCGGGTATTCATGCCTTCACGGTACACCCATACACATGGTGCGTTTTCGTCTCTTGGGGGTCATTCGTGCAGACGAAGTCTATACGATCGAAGCTCACTGTTTATGTGCCTTGTCTTTACTTCTTTAGAAGGAGGACATGCACCATCTCTCCTGTCTTCGCATCAGGAAAAATCGGATTAGCTTTCAGGACTTTCAAGGGAAAAAAGGTAAACCAAGGCACAAAGACAACCTCCCTTCTTTATCTACGTTCAAAGTCCCAAAAAGTCTTTGTAGTCTTCCGCAGTGGTAAAATACGTTGAGCACATCCAATGCTTTATTACAATAGATTCTTGACTGTCTTTGGATATTTGTCCACACATTCAAGACGCATAATGCCTCAATGGCATGTCGCACTTTCAAGTCTTTTTACACAATGGTTCACTTGATTGACTTTTATGACGGACAGTTCTTTTGTGTCTTATTAGGTTGTGCAGATGATAGTGGCTTTGGGCTGATACTAATACAACGGTACAGATACGGTACAGGATATTGCTACTACGCTCCGAAATACACACCGCGTGAGGCGAGACAGATGGCAGAAGTGGAGGAAACGTCGACGTCGACTGAAATACGTACTCTAGTAGTCCAAGGGAGTGTTGATTGGTAGGATATATGCCTAGGAACAGTCTTCAGTTGTGCATAACCCAGATACTACGTACAGTACTCACCTTGGAACTCGTACGCACGGACTGTAGAACGCTACGGCACTCACTAAGTGGACGAGCCCCCCTCACTGTCTCCTCCTTCCTTACCATCGCCCTGCCTACGACCTTCGGCAACCGGATCCCGTTCATCTGCAGGAGAAGGTCAGTGAACGTCAATATACTACCACGTCTTCTAATATCATACCTTGCAGCTCGTCGACCTCGTCAACCGCGACCTCGTCAACCGCGACCTCGCCGTCCTTCTCTTGCTCAGCGGTCCGCGCTGACTTCGCAGCGGCTCTTGAAGAGGACGGTTTCGCCGAGGACGGTTTCGCCGAGGACGGTTTCGCCGTGGTTGGACGCGATGTTGACGGCCCACTGGCAGGTCTGGACGGTGACGCCGGCTTTGCGGCCTGTTGCAAAGCCGTCCAGTCCATGAAGTTCTCGTCTGGCTCGTCGTCCGACTGATCGCTGGTGATGCCGTCGACACGCTGACTGCAGATCATTCTTGATCAGTGGCTCTTTTCTGAACGCAACTGACTCACCTGATACGGCCCCAAACGTACGTCTTGAGGTCGCGGTAGTAGTCAGGCGCGTTCTCCTGCATGGCCTCCAGTATAGTCATGAGACTATCCCACCTAGGCTCACGGTCGTCAGTGAGTTAAGTTGAGAGACGGCGACGGCAACTACTTACTTTGGAGCGAACTGCCTGTTCGTGAACATGATCTGAGTAGAGCTAACGGCTTCCTTGAGCCCAAGCTCGATCTGATTCCAGCAACCGGTTAGCGATATACTGAAGAGAAATACGGCGTCCGCTCACCGAGTTGCACACGAGGCAGATGAGGTTGTCGGGCACCTCGCGGAAGCGATGGACCGCTTGACCGGCGCCGCCGTTCCCCAGGAACCATTGCTGCACTATAATCTCGGCGATCGCTGGGTGGCGGAACGGCTGCTCGGGGCTCACGCGGCATTTCTGGTGGGTCTCAGCGTTGTTGAGAATATGAAGACGGAGCATGGGACGCACCTTAGTGTCGAGCCCGTCCTTATTCCACGCAAGCTCCATGTCCCCGAACACAAAGTTCGGGATGTCGTGCTTTACACCGTTCACCCGCATTGGATGGGTCTTGAGGAGCCATGTTGCGAGAGATACACGCCGCTGCTTTGGGTGCATGTTCAAGCCGTACGCGTGTTCAACCACGGTCTTAGCCTTCTTCTTCACCTCGTTGCGCAACTGCGCAGCCACCGCCCACACCTGACCAACCTCACTAAGTAACTGAAGACGGAATACATTGAGAGACTCACCACGGTATTCACTGACGTCCGCAGATGATTTCCCTCGTCACCCTCCCCCGCCTGCACCTTCGCATACGCCCGCCTAAGTTCCTTCTTCTCCCGCGCATCCTTATTCTTGCCCTTGCGTGCGTCTTTGAGAGCCTCGGCTGTAAGGTTGACGTTCGCGAGCAGGCGTGGGCTGGAGACGTTGGAGTCGCTGGTCCAGGCCGACTCGAGCGAGAGGGTGAGGCGGAGCGAGTTTTGAGCCACGACGGCAAGGGCGCGGATCTTGGGAGGGAGGTCCGCTAACTTGACACGCTGGCGCGGCTTGGTGTTCTTGGCCCTCGCGGACTTCTTGTCCTTCCCCTGTGTGACGACCTGGCCAGGCTCAAACGTTCTGTGGACGTCTAGTCAGATGGAAGACTTACCATCTCCGAGTCGTCTTCATCGATTAGCTGGTCACCGCTGACATCCTCGTCTGAGCTGTGGACGCTGAGAGCGTCTTCGTCGTAGGCACCGTCGTCGTCGTCGTCGTCGTCGTCGTCGTCGTCGTCATCGCCATCATCATCATCATCGTCGTCAGTATCCCTCAGCTGCTTGCGTGAACCGCCGGCCTTCTGGCTGCCCGCTGCCTTCTTGGCAGAAGCGGCGGCCTTCGACTTACCGACGGTCGTGTAAGGTGTCAGCTCGAGGTAGCATTAAGTTCTGACGGTGGTACTTGCCTGGAGGCTCTTCTCCGTGAGCCTTACCTTCCTCCCTCGCGCGCTCTTGGGCCCGTCAGGTTCCGTCTCATCTGCTCCGTCATGATCCTTCACAAGACCGCTCACCGTCACCACCTTTCCCTTTCCCTTTCCCTTGCCCTTCACCTTCGACCGCGGGGACGTCTGCGTCTCATCTATGATTATATCAGGTTGATTAGCAACGACAGCAATATACGACTTACCTAACAGACCGGCAGCAATGCTGCCCTCTCCTTCGTCAAGCCCGGGCCTCGCGTCACGCTCGTTGTCGTCGCCACGAAGTTTGAGGTTCCCCTGCTTGTAGGCGGGTTTTGGCTGGGCTAGGTAAGAGTCACGTACCGTTAGTAGATCCTATGGCTTCGTTGGGTCGCAACTGAGTACTTACGGCGACGCTTGGCCCTGGGGCTCTCAGACTGTACCACCTCATCACGCTCTTGCTCGTCCTCCTGCTCTGTCTGCTCATCGGCTTCCTCTCCGCTCGCAGGCTGACCAGAGCCTGATGCGTTCTTCGCTTTCTTACGTGGTCGCGTCTCCTCGCCCTCGGACTGCTCTTCTTCTTGGATCATGTCTAAGGCCTTCTTACGCACGTCTGCAATGTATCAATACTTGTACATCTTGGAAATCTTAGTGCACTCACCGCCCTGACGGCCGCTCTCCTTGCGCTGAAGCGCTTGCTTCTTCCGCTTCAGCATCCTCTGAAACTCCTTCTCTTCAGCATCGTCCCAAGTCGCTGCCTCGTTACCTTCGGTATCTGCTTTTCTTGCTTTGCTCTTCGCGGTACCCGCCCTTGGAGGTTTCCGGGATGTCGCTGTTTCCTTCTGGGCTGACTTCGCATTGGATCTTGTGACGCGAGGAGACGACATAGTAGGAGGTGAAGCGCCGTGGTAGTAGACGTCGTGGATACGTCCAGAGAGGTCGTGCCAGTGGAACCGTCAAGAGAGGTCGTGGTAGCAGCAAAGGGAGCGTTCAAGTTGCGAGAGAGCTACCACGGATATTCCCACAGCGATTGATGATAGCGTAGGCTTCAATTTCCCACCGCGCAGCTTTCAAGACGTAAAGGCCAAGTTGCACATGTCTTAGAAGACATGGGCGCGGAGAGGTAGAGTCTTATTTGGTGTACAGTACCCAGTGTAACGAATGTTTACGGGCGCCGTTCGTACTTCCGCGCACGCATTCAGCCAGTCGCTGCCACGGTAGGACCCGACGGTGTTCACGCCCTAGGTACCAACTCTCCGCCCCACCGTACTCAGTTCGTCCGTCTTATCCTAGCCCGTCGAACGGAACGGGCAGGTGAGTGAGACAGCAGGCGCCGAGAGACCCGACGCGTGAGCGAGATAGCGCATGAGAGACATGACGGGCGAGCGAGACGGACAGCGGACAGAGACGGCGGAAGGCGGACGGCGGACGGCGGACGGCGGACGGTGGACGGTGGACGGTGGACGGCTGAATAGTGGGCAAGCGGAACAGCGGGCGAGTGAAACGGTAGGTTAGTGAGACAGTGTCAGTGCCAGTACGTGTGCATTTGACTACATGCGCACCGTCGCAGACATCCCACTCACGGGAAGACTATCCATATATACGTCACCTTATATTGCTGAGGTAGGTTGTGGTTGCAAGACAAACGGTTATCCGCCGCGCCCAACGTACGAAGACTCACCGTGCTTGGTATATGGCCAGAGGACCAGCCGACGTTCGTGTGTTCGTGACTGATACTGAGTGCGAGGACTCGTACGTATTGTGTCTACGCACTCATTCTGTACAGTAAACGTAGCTGGGTGCCGGGTGATCAGTAAACTCGAAATCGAGACATAAGTGGGTACCTATCCTGCCACGATATCACGTCCGGCACGGTCTTGTCTCACAGGTCCTCCGGCTGGTGCCCCGCTGCCCCGCGTGCAGATAAATGCCCTAAAACGCCATCTTAAGTAGTCAGGAAGGAAGCTGAAGGTAAACTTACCAATGTTCTGGCCGCGTGAGTGTGAGGGAGGCAGCACAGTTGTGCAGAGGTTGGGCTGGGCGTCCTGGGCGTCCGGAGCGCTGTCCCTGCCACGGCGTTCGTGGTCGCCACAGTCTTGAAAGGTGAGCGAGAGGGAGGTGAAACGGTCGAGCGGCACTGTGCGGACGCGCCGCACACTTCGCGATAATAGTAAGTCACTCGGGCCGGCGGACAGCACAACAACAGTTAGAGAGAACGTTGTTGATTAGACTTGTACTAAGTGATGGAAAGTACAGTAGACACTACAGAATGTATGTGATGTAACGTTACATACCTACCTGAGGACCGGGTGGTAGGCTCGGCGCTGGACAGCCCGCCGTTTCGCCCACGAGGCACCGTGCACCGACGCGCGGGTGCTGACGGAGTGCCGATGGGTGCTGGGGCTGCAATTGACACCGCAGACGGACACGAACGGACACGAGGGCGGCGGAGAGCGGCGGGACGGGGGTAGGAGGTCGGGGTGGCGGGCTCGGCACTGGAGGGCCCGGCCTTCGTGCACAAGGCACCCCGCGTACGCGCGGAGTGTTGACGCAGTCCCAGGGCGGCCTGGGGCTGCGTTTGACGCAGCAGACGGGACACGGGGGCGGCGGAGAGCGGCGGGACGGGGGTAGGAGGTCGGGTGGCGGGCGTGGTACTGGAGGGCCCGGCCTTCGTGCACAAGGCACCCCGCATACGCGCGGGGTGTTGACGCAGTCCAGGGCGGCCTGGGGCTGCGTTTGGCGCAGCAGACGGGACACGGGGGCGGCGGAGAGCGGCGGGACGGGGGTAGGAGGTCGGGTGGCGGGCTCGGACTGGAGGCCCGGCCTTCGTGCACAAGGCACCCCGCATACGCGCGGGGTGTTGACGCAGTCCCAGGGCGCCTGGGGCTGCGTTTGCGCAGCAGACGGGACACGGGGGCGGCGGAGAGCGGCGGGACGGGGTAGGAGGTCGGGTGGCGGGCGTGGTACTGGAGGACCCGGCCTTCGTGCACAAGGCACCCCGCGTACGCGCGGGGTGTTGACGCAGTCCGAGGCGACCTGGGGCTGCGTTTGCGCAGCAGACGGGACACGGGGGCGGCGGAGAGCGGCGGGACGGGGGTAGGAGGTCGGGGTGGCGGGCTCGGCACTGGAGGGCCCGGCCTTCGTGCACAAGGCACCCCGCGTACGCGCGGGGTGTTGACGCAGTCCCAGGGCGGCCTGGGGCTGCGTTTGACGCAGCAGACGGGACACGGGGGCGGCGGAGAGCGGCGGGACGGGGGTAGGAGGTCGGGTGGCGGGCGTGGTACTGGAGGGCCCGGCCTTCGTGCACAAGGCACCCCGCATACGCGCGGGGTGTTGACGCAGTCCCAGGGCGGCCTGGGGCTGCGTTTGGCGCAGCAGACGGGACACGGGGGCGGCGGAGAGCGGCGGGACGGGGGTAGGAGGTCGGGTGGCGGGCTGGTACTGGAGGACCCGGCCTTCGTGCACAAGGCACCCCGCGTACGCGCGGGGTGTTGACGCAGTCCCAGGGCGGCCTGGGGCTGCGTTTGACGCAGCAGACGGGACACGGGGGCGGCGGAGAGCGGCGGGACGGGGGTAGGAGGTCGGGTGGCGGGCTCGGCACTGGAGGGCCCGGCCTTCGTGCACAAGGCACCCCGCGTACGCGCGGGGTGTTGACGCAGTCCAGGCGCCTGGGGCTGCGTTTGGCGCAGCAGACGGGACACGGGGGCGGCGGAGAGCGGCGGGACGGGGGTAGGAGGTCGGGTGGCGGCGTGGTACTGGAGGACCCGGCCTTCGTGCACAAGGCACCCCGCATACGCGCGGGGTGTTGACGCAGTCCTGAGGCGACCTGGGGCTGCGTTTGGCGCAGCAGACGGGACACGGGGGCGGCGGAGAGCGGCGGGACGGGGGTAGGAGGTCGGGTGGCGGGCGTGGTACTGGAGGACCCGGCCTTCGTGCACAAGGCACCCCGCGTACGCGCGGGGTGTTGACGCAGTCCTGAGGCGACCTGGGGCTGCGTTTGGCGCAGCAGACGGGACACGGGGGCGGCGGAGAGCGGCGGGACGGGGGTAGGAGGTCGGGGTGGCGGGCTCGGCACTGGAGGGCCCGGCCTTCGTGCACAAGGCACCCCGCATACGCGCGGGGTGTTGACGCAGTCCCAGGGCGGCCTGGGGCTGCGTTTGGCGCAGCAGACGGGACACGGGGGCGGCGGAGAGCGGCGGGACGGGGGTAGGAGGTCGGGTGGCGGGCGTGGTACTGGAGGACCCGGCCTTCGTGCACAAGGCACCCCGCGTACGCGCGGGGTGTTGACGCAGTCCTGAGGCGACCTGGGGCTGCGTTTGGCGCAGCAGACGGGACACGGGGGCGGCGGAGAGCGGCGGGACGGGGGTAGGAGGTCGGGTGGCGGGCTCGGCACTGGAGGGCCCGGCCTTCGTGCACAAGGCACCCCGCGTACGCGCGGGGTGTTGACGCAGTCCCAGGGCGGCCTGGGGCTGCGTTTGACGCAGCAGACGGGACACGGGGGCGGCGGAGAGCGGCGGGACGGGGGTAGGAGGTCGGGTGGCGGGCGTGGTACTGGAGGGCCCGGCCTTCGTGCACAAGGCACCCCGCTACGCGCGGGGTGTTGACGCAGTCCCAGGGCGGCCTGGGGCTGCGTTTGGCGCAGCAGACGGGACACGGGGGCGGCGGAGAGCGGCGGGACGGGGGTAGGAGGTCGGGTGGCGGGCGTGGTACTGGAGGACCCGGCCTTCGTGCACAAGGCACCCCGCATACGCGCGGGGTGTTGACGCAGTCCCAGGGCGGCCTGGGGCTGCGTTTGACGCAGCAGACGGGACACGGGGGCGGCGGAGAGCGGCGGGACGGGGGTAGGAGGTCGGGGTGGCGGGCTCGGCACTGGAGGGCCCGGCCTTCGTGCACAAGGCACCCCGCATACGCGCGGGGTGTTGACGCAGTCCCAGGGCGGCCTGGGGCTGCGTTTGGCGCAGCAGACGGGACACGGGGGCGGCGGAGAGCGGCGGGACGGGGGTAGGAGGTCGGGTGGCGGCGTGGTACTGGAGGACCCGGCCTTCGTGCACAAGGCACCCCGCATACGCGCGGGGTGTTGACGCAGTCCTGAGGCGACCTGGGGCTGCGTTTGGCGCAGCAGACGGGACACGGGGGCGGCGGAGAGCGGCGGGACGGGGGTAGGAGGTCGGGTGGCGGGCGTGGTACTGGAGGACCCGGCCTTCGTGCACAAGGCACCCCGCGTACGCGCGGGGTGTTGACGCAGTCCTGAGGCGACCTGGGGCTGCGTTTGGCGCAGCAGACGGGACACGGGGGCGGCGGAGAGCGGCGGGACGGGGGTAGGAGGTCGGGTGGCGGGCTCGGACTGGAGGCCCGGCCTTCGTGCACAAGGCACCCCGCATACGCGCGGGGTGTTGACGCAGTCCAGGGCGGCCTGGGGCTGCGTTTGGCGCAGCAGACGGGACACGGGGGCGGCGGAGAGCGGCGGGACGGGGGTAGGAGGTCGGGTGGCGGGCGTGGTACTGGAGGACCCGGCCTTCGTGCACAAGGCACCCCGCGTACGCGCGGGGTGTTGACGCAGTCCTGAGGCGACCTGGGGCTGCGTTTGGCGCAGCAGACGGGACACGGGGGCGGCGGAGAGCGGCGGGACGGGGGTAGGAGGTCGGGTGGCGGGCTCGGCACTGGAGGGCCCGGCCTTCGTGCACAAGGCACCCCGCATACGCGCGGGGTGTTGACGCAGTCCCAGGGCGGCCTGGGGCTGCGTTTGGCGCAGCAGACGGGACACGGGGGCGGCGGAGAGCGGCGGGACGGGGGTAGGAGGTCGGGTGGCGGGCGTGGTACTGGAGGACCCGGCCTTCGTGCACAAGGCACCCCGCTACGCGCGGGGTGTTGACGCAGTCCTGAGGCGACCTGGGGCTGCGTTTGGCGCAGCAGACGGGACACGGGGGCGGCGGAGAGCGGCGGGACGGGGGTAGGAGGTCGGGTGGCGGGCTCGGCACTGGAGGCCCGGCCTTCGTGCACAAGGCACCCCGCGTACGCGCGGGGTGTTGACGCAGTCCCAGGCGCCTGGGGCTGCGTTTGGCGCAGCAGACGGGACACGGGGGCGGCGGAGAGCGGCGGGACGGGGGTAGGAGGTCGGGGTGGCGGGCTCGGCACTGGAGGGCCCGGCCTTCGTGCACAAGGCACCCCGCTACGCGCGGGGTGTTGACGCAGTCCCAGGGCGGCCTGGGGCTGCGTTTGACGCAGCAGACGGGACACGGGGGCGGCGGAGAGCGGCGGGACGGGGGTAGGAGGTCGGGTGGCGGGCGTGGTACTGGAGGCCCGGCCTTCGTGCACAAGGCACCCCGCATACGCGCGGGGTGTTGACGCAGTCCAGGCGGCCTGGGGCTGCGTTTGGCGCAGCAGACGGGACACGGGGGCGGCGGAGAGCGGCGGGACGGGGGTAGGAGGTCGGGGTGGCGGGCTCGGCACTGGAGGGCCCGGCCTTCGTGCACAAGGCACCCCGCATACGCGCGGGGTGTTGACGCAGTCCCAGGGCGGCCTGGGGCTGCGTTTGGCGCAGCAGACGGGACACGGGGGCGGCGGAGAGCGGCGGGACGGGGGTAGGAGGTCGGGTGGCGGGCGTGGTACTGGAGGACCCGGCCTTCGTGCACAAGGCACCCCGCATACGCGCGGGGTGTTGACGCAGTCCTGAGGCGACCTGGGGCTGCGTTTGGCGCAGCAGACGGGACACGGGGGCGGCGGAGAGCGGCGGGACGGGGGTAGGAGGTCGGGTGGCGGGCGTGGTACTGGAGGACCCGGCCTTCGTGCACAAGGCACCCCGCATACGCGCGGGGTGTTGACGCAGTCCCAGGGCGGCCTGGGGCTGCGTTTGACGCAGCAGACGGGACACGGGGGCGGCGGAGAGCGGCGGGACGGGGGTAGGAGGTCGGGTGGCGGGCGTGGTACTGGAGGGCCCGGCCTTCGTGCACAAGGCACCCCGCGTACGCGCGAGGTGTTGACGCAGTCCTAGGGCGGCATGGGGCTGCGTTTGACGCAGCAGACGGGGCACGGGGGCGGCGGAGGGCGGTACGAGGGCGGTACGAGGGTGGTACACGGGGCGGAGGCGGGTTACTCACCTGCTAGCGGGGTTCCCTGACCGTTGTAAATCCCCTCTCCCTCACCGTACGTCTCCCGATGGCCCCTTCGGCGCGCGGCGCACTTGTTCGCGCTGCACGTCGGCCTGCGTGAACCGGTTGCTCGTCGCCGCGGGCCGTTGCGCTTGGTGTGGCTTGCGTGCCTTGCTGGTACCCGGCGCGGCTCGTTCCTTGGTTGGCGGGGCCTTGTTGGTGACTGCGTTCGTCGGGCGTGCGTGAGAGACGATGCGGGAGGTGGCGGAGCGTTAGTGAGGGTGGTGGAGGACGAGGTCAGCGGCAGGCGGAGAAGGAGAGTGTGGCGGTCGAGCTCTGGTGCGCTAGCGCCCACTGCGCGCCTGACCGGGAAGGACGGTTGGAAGGAGCGGACGGTCGAGCGTGTCGTGCGGCAGCGTACAGTAGATGGTAGACGACGGACGTTGGGTCGGACGGCAGACGGTGGACGGCAGACGGTCGCTATATTGAGGTATTATAGTATCCTACCTACCTAAAGTGCGCGTTGGATCCCCACCCGTTACGATTCCCCTGTGTCCATGAGCCTAACTCTCTGTCAGTATGCAAAACAATCGAAGCCCTTCTGCCCTTGTAGTGTAAGTTGAAATGAGTAACACGACACGACGGAAAAATGGCAAAATGTCCGTGCCGCAGAGGAAGAACTATACCAGGTTCTACTAGGCAGAGATCGCCGTCTTCAAATTCCCCGACGACGATGACCAGGCAAATGGTATCGTCCTTGCTGTCCCGATGAGCGTACGTGCAGACGTTCATGTTGATGACCAAGCCGACGAACGGGTGGACTAGAGAGTGGTGAAGGTCAGGTAGAAGGCTGGCGGTAGCCTCCAGGTGGTCGTATTCCCCTGGAAGTATGCTATGAAGCTATGCATGTGTCAGTTATAGCCCTTGATACTCAAGGAGACGCAATTATACCTTGTCCTCGACCCAGGAAAACATGTCAGCAAGGGTGACGGTCATGGCTTGGTAGATCGGTCTGTGATCCTCCATGTCCGCAGATACGTACGGCGTCATCTGAGCGTAATTCGTCCTCGAGCAGCCTTGCCGGCTGAGCTGTCGAGGCGGTACATCCAACGGTGCGTCGTCGCCCTAGTAAGACATTAAAGGGCTGTTTCTAGTGCTGCAGAAGGATACGCACTTTGGTACTACTTCTATTATACCACGAGAAGTGTATCGCTTCGAAACATACCATCTCGTCGGTCTCATGACTAGAGGCCCCGGTGTCCACCGTCTTCAAAGGGTCCTCCAGAAAGCTTGCCGTCAGTTTCTCTGTAAGAGTGCTCTTGATGGCGTCGGGCATGGAGGTGCACACACAGACGACTAGTTCGTCATTAACACCCCTAATTGTGAGCACGTCTCTGTGGATGACGGGAATTAGCACTGAGTAGCTAAATATAAGAAGATTTTGCTCTGAACTCACGCAACGCACTCTAACGGCACACGCACGTAGCTGGCAGCATCTGCCTTATAGCCTTCGGAGTATTGTGCTGCGAGCTATAGTGTCTCACAGATTCAGCAAGCCGTCTGCCTAAAAGGGAGACCGCGCGATACGAACCTGCAAGCCTAACTCCTCGAGATCGTTGGGTTCGGATGCGCGAGTTGCTTGGCGGCGAGCCGTTTCTGTCCAAGCAACGTTCCGGGTGCGATCGCCCCGCGGAGCTGGGAAGACCAGGTTGTGTGGATGTTGAGCGTCGTACGACGTCTTGACGACGTCCTGGGCAATATCTGGCAGTGCCATCTGAGCCTGGCAGTCACCCGGCCCTACCTCTGATCCTGGCGCGCTGATGTCGTCCAGCTCCGTCAGTGTCGACTCAGACGGGCTGGCGGCGTCTTGCACAGTGAGTGAGTGCGCGGCCTCCATTGCAGCGACGACATCGTAGCAGGGCTCCCATTTCGCCTTCGACCTCGGTAGAAGGCGGAAGGCACTACGTCGTGAGAACGGATGAGTGTGCGATAAATCATGTATAGAAAATTCAGACTCACTTTGTTCGCAGTGAGTCGAAGACCTTGTCAGAGGTGTCCAGGTCGCTGAGTAGCGCACGATGTTGCTCGTCTTGTTGAGTGCGCGCAGCCCCGCCTACTTCTATGGCTAACGGAACCTGCTGTCGAAGCTGCGCGATGTAAGGGACGATGATGCCTGTTATCATCCGTCCAGCCGCTGAATCTGAACATCATGTTTAGCAATAATATAGGCCTTGAACGTACGGGACTGTGAACTAACCGTCAGGGCAGCGTAGCATGTTGCCTACGGCCTCTGCCAAATGTCCGTCGCAATCCCCGAAGGGTTTTCTCAAGCCCTGTAGGGCAATCAGTACCAAGAAGTAGATAGACCCTAACGCCAGAACATCGTGAGTATGAGAGGACGGTACTGCGCACGGCGTGAAGGTACGTACCTCCACCGGCAACCCTTGCGAACTTTACGCCCTTGGAGCACCAGCCTTGAAACGTCCTCTTCTTGGGGCCCTTCTTAACGTCTTTGAGCTCTCGCCGCCAGATCCCGGCCACGGTCTGTTCCTTGTTGCTCTGAATCTCGCTGATACCAAAGTTATCCCTAGGTTGAATATATCACCGGTGAAAGTGCTCACCTTGAGACCCGGAAAGCCAACCTTATAAAATTGAGCATTGTCCAGAAGGACGCCGCAGAGTTGACGGTGAGGCTCGACGCGCATCGAGCTGCCAGAACAGGAAAAGACTCGCCGGGCTGGAATGCAACACCCTCGAGCTCAGGCGCGCTTCGAGGGATCGCCGAGGCCGTTTCGAGGACACACTCGAGAGAGAGATTGGAGGTGAGGTGGGCTAGGAACGACAATACGGAGCTCGTAGCTACTTGGGCAGGCGTAGATAGGGTGTTCCACCCGGCGGCTCTCCGGCTGCTAGACGTAGCGCCTTCCGGCACGAATTGAATCCCTCCTCGAGGGCAGCCAACGGGTTTATGAGGGCGTACGGCCTGGGGACTTGGGTCTGGATAAGGCACGTTCCGGGTGGCCTGTGCCCGTATGCGCTGCGAAGACCGCGTCGTGCGCACTGGGCCGACTTGAGATTCCCTTAACTCCTCCTCTTCGCAGCCTTCTATTGTACGTCCTGTGTAACACTTTTAGTATACGCTAAGTAGATGCTAGAATACTTGCCTGGACCACTTGTGAACGGCTCAAGATTGAGCCCGCCAGCCGCCGTCGTCGAACTGCACGCATCCGAGGCCCAGTCTAGGGACAGACTTGGGGGTCTCTCCAAGACAGAGTCAGAGGCGGCGCCTCCTGTACAGCTTTCCAGGCGTTGCGAGAGACCCTGAAGAACAGGGTCGAGGTCGTCAATTGCGGACAAAAGAGCCGCAAGAGCTCGCTGCTCTTCGTTCGTGAGTCGCATCAGTTGTGCGCTGAGGGCGGTAGACTTAGAGGTAGAGACCGCGCGGACTGCGCCTCGCTAGGGGTGCTTAGCGCCGAAAAGAAACCATATACATAATCTACTTGCGGTAACGTACACGGGAGGCTGAGAGCGGACAGTAAAGAAGAGTAATGCATAACATGTACGGTGTATGAAGCACCACCTACTCGTCGAGCGTTAGCCTGCGCCCAGCTCACCTCTGCGCAGGCCTGTGCGGAGGCCTGGGCGCAGGCCTGGGGCGACGCGGCGACGGGTAGGTAGGGTCGTTCTTACGATCCTTGCGCTCATCCTCGCTGCTGTTGCGAGGCGTGGGTGGTTGGGCGAACGCGTCCGTTTCGCTGGGGCTGACGAGGTCGCGAGGAGGGGATAGTGCAGGGACAGGTACGGTTACCGACAGACGCGCTTTCTTGTACTCGCTCTCGGCCTCAGCGTACTCGCCTTTGGCGAGTCGATGCTTGAGCGAGGTGAAGGTCTTGATGATCTCCCTGCTGGAGGCCTGGGTGAAGTGTCCGTGTTCCTGCGAGGGTAAGCCATAGCGCTTGTTGCGCCGCTCCTCTGCCAGCTGCCGCGCGCCGTGCCTGAGCATATTGAGCAGACGGGCCGAGGGATCAGGGATGGGTGGATGTTGCCAATCCACTTGGTTTTTCTCATCCGCTTCCCCCAACCGTTCGCACTCCTCTGGGCTGCGTTCGCCAGTCAGCAAGGAGACGGCGATGGTCTGCCTGTACATGGCCTGGCGTATGAGCCCCATGGTCTCTCGGTAATGAACCAAGAACTTCTGGACGTCCGCGCTCTCCTTAGGGCTGAGTTTGTCGGCCTTTGAGCGGATGAGCTGAGACCTAGTCAGAATAAGAGGTAAACACGAACTAGGCAATACTCACCATGCCCAAACCCTTATCCACAAAGTCTGACGGTCGGCTGTGTTGAAGGTAATAGAGATTTTCGTAGTCGTGCTCCGGATAGAAGGCCATGAGGTACGCCTGAGTCTCGCCGACGACGGGTTCATCTCCGTATGCGTAACCTCCTGTTATGCAGTCGTCAGGGCAGGGAAGCTCCCAGAGCTCTCCCTGCTTGTACGGGTGGCGTGGTAGCTTCATCTGGGCCGGGTCCTTCTCCTCGATCGTTATCAGCGTGAAGACTTGATGGCTGAGCTGTCGGTCTTCTGGCTGCCTTGGGCGATCACCTGCGGACGGGGTAGCAGACTGGCGTTGAGAGGCGACCGACGGGCCTGCAGGCGAGGCGGCTGACTGGCGTGGAGAGCCATCCGACGGGCCCGCCTCCGACGGTGAGGACGGTACAGCGTCGCGCACGCGCGCCTTGGGCGGCGAAGGGGTGAGGATAGGTAGCGGGGATGAGACCGGCGACGGTGTTCGGACGCCTGCGTACTTTGATTGCTTGGCCCAAGGGGCTTCTTCGGCCTTCGAGGCGTCGTCGACTACCATGTAACGCAGTATCTGAGAGTGCCTGCCCTCAGCTAACGGCGTTATGTTAAGATTCGCTTAGGTACGTACCTTGCCTGAGCCGTCCTCCAATGTCTGCCAGTGGCAGGACTCAGACACGGCGGCATCGAGGTTGATGTCGGGGTGCGTCTGGTACCCCTCCAGGAGGACCTTTCTTGCTGCGCGGCAATCCGGGATGCTGATAGCGGATCCGGCGATGTGGATCAGGCCCTCCAGGGGCATGATAGTTGAGTTCTTGAGAGAAAAGAGGCTGTCAAACGGCTTCATAACGTCATCGACGATTACGGTGTTGATTCCTGCGGTGCAATGTTGGTGGAGAGAGCCGGGGGAACCGGTTCTTAGCTCCCCTGATTCCATGTCGTAACTGAAGCTGAGGATATGATAGTAAGCAGTGACGCTCACGCTCACAAGGTGTTTTGATGTGCTTACCTGAAGTGTATGGCTAAGGCCTGGTGGGCGATGACGAACCCCCTAAAGGCTTCCCACTCAGAGATCGATATTTTGGTGGTCTGGATAGTATAGTGAGTACTCTATACTCCCAGCAACGTACGCAACTTACCCAAGCCTCGTCGTAAATCCAGGGAAATTCCTCCCTATCCAGTCGGCTTCCGAATATTGTTCTAGCTATTGGCCAGTTTCTCAGGGCTTCCAAGTAAGTTTCCCCTTCCTCGCTGGGCTGGTCTGATGCCTCCGACGGAGGGCCTGAGCGCAGAGTTTGCATTGAGAGAGGGTACAGGGAGTAAGGACGCTTCAGCTCACCGATAGCAGGCGATACGAGGATTGAGGGGAATGAGGCCTGCTGCTTGAGATCTGTGGCCCAGTGAGGGTGTTCGCCGTTATCCGCGGCCCCTGGGTCGAGAGTAGACAGGCCGTCAAAGTAGGCGTTGAAGTAGGGAGCTGGCGACATAACGGGAACGGGAACACGGGAAGCGATGCTGTAAAGAAGGTCCGATATAAGGAGGCGTGCATGCTTGAACTATAAAACACGAACTCACCAGGCGGACCTCGGACCTTTGAGTACGTACGGAGCTCGGCAGCACTAGAAGTCGAAGGTGAATAGGAAGCAGCAAGATAGATAGCCAGACGTACTCACCTGGAGAGCTTATCACGACTCCCATGTACCCAGGAGTAAGTACCGGCCGTTCGTCAGGGGAGCTTCAGACTTGAGGCAAACTTACCAACCCACAGGCTTAGGCTACAGCGCGTCTGCCTACGGCCCCCTGCGCCGGGCTACTCGAGCCCTCCGCCGTTACTACGGCGGAGGGCTTCTCCGCGTTGCCGGTCGGCAATTCCCCTTATGGGCGTGCCTCAGCAGGGCACGCTCCTTATATGGAAGAGGGCG